AGTGACATTCGTGTCTTAATTCGTTCGTATTTCAACTTTTAAAGCAATTCACGGTCCGCCATCTTGGTATGCTTCGGTTGCCGTGAGACGCGCATGCGCAGTTTGCATTACATCATAAACAGCTGAGGCAGTGCATCTCTTCAAGACAGTGTATCTCGGCGTTACACCGGACCGTCCGGGTCACGGGACATCATGTCATTTTGGTGGGGACTTTTTAGTCCTCACCAAATATTGGTGGGGACATGTCCCCATGGTCCCCACGCAAACCTACGCCCTTGGTATGAAAGGCGTCATGGTCTTCTCCACAGCCTTCACCTCAGATGCAGACCATGGCTTTCTTACACGTTCTAGGGAGAGAAATAAAAATATATTAGCAATATACACTCCCAGGGTTAGGACCAAGCAGCCTGGCTGTAATCCCCCACTGGTACACTTACCAGAAGGGGCACTGCCACTACCATGGGGTGCATCTGGATGAATGGTTGAAGGTTCTCCGCTTGAAGTTTCTTTTAGCCCGTCCGTTTGTGAGAGGATCTCTACTGCTCTCCCTGTCGCACAGAAAATAAAAATACAAGTGGCCTTTAGGGGAAAAAAATCATACATATTTTAATAATATCAAGAATTACCTTCAGGCTCAATTTGTATCTGGTCGAGGCTCTTTCCTTCGAATTCCGTCACTCTTCCCTGCTCCATGGCCATCAACACTTTGCTGATTATGGCCAACTCCAGTGTCCCCTCTGGTAGTCTGTAATATTGTCTGTGGATGCGAATGTCATGGCCGAGGAAGTTGGCTAGTATGTCCATTTCATTCTCTTTCATATTGAGAACTGTAGACATAGTAGCTATGTGCTTTCTAAGTTTGGTTGAGGATAGCATCTCTGGATGCACCGCACCACATTCTTTGGCTACCTGCCGTAGGGAGTCTGATCCCCTGATGTGAGTGTCTGCGCCCGGGCGGGAGAAGAAGTATGGGTTATGGTCAGAGATGGAACAGGCCCTTCTGTTCTCCACCAGCACCTCCATCGAAGCAATCATTTCAGGAGTCAAAAGAACCGGCACTTTCCGACTTCTTTTCCCTTTAATTTCAATGCGTTGAAAATGCTGACACAGCTTTTTCTCAAGTTCGGACAGTCCCAGAGCAATGTCAGAATGGATCCCAGTCTTACTTCTTAAGGTAAACGCTGTCAGTGGCATCTTTGAAACCTCACCTTCCCTTCTTCGATTGAAAATAATGACCTCACAAAGAGTCAAAACTGCCAGTTTAGACCAATGGTTAGACGTTGGCTCACTTATTAGGGTTTGCACATATTCAGGTCGACATACCTCAATATGTGCATGCATGGCTCTAACGTCCTCAGTCAGAGGGAGCAGGTCCGGAGTGTTCCACTTGGCTTGCCGGAGGGTCTGTAGGGCAGCAGAAGAAACACAGACGTCCCACCTCTTCTCAAAAAGCAGCCGGCTTCATTGGAGGTTTTTAATAAATAGTTCATCAACACAATGCTCCATTTTTGAGTCACATTCAAGAATATCTGCTAGCTTTCTGAGGCTATGGCCGAGTTTGAGGGCCAAGGATGGAGTCTTGTATTGATTTGTTTCCTCATCATATCCAGCCACAGACCTGACTGCATCAATCACATGGTTAAAGTTGGAAGGAATAAAGAAATCCTTAATTGTTTTCAGTTTCCCTGCAGTTTTTGCTTTGTTAATTAACCTACCGACTTCTCTCATTTTCTGCCTAATGTAATCATGCTTAGTCTTATCATGCCCGTGTTTTAAGTACAGGTGCTCTCCGAGTCTCAGAATCCCCTTTTCTGCTTTGACAACACCCGTGACCTCATCCTGATGCATTGCCGAAATTAAAGACCACAGCTTTTTGCTGATGCCCTCCGGTACAGGCTGGGCTAGGGAGCAGAGGGACTGGACCCTACTTCTACCTGGTTTAGCCTGGGCATCTTTCTGTGAAAGCCGGCACCTGGCCACATGCCTCCACAGCGACTTTCGCTTAAGCAATGCCCCACAGTCTATACAGTGCAAAAACTCACTGGATTTAACTGGGGAATTTGGCTGTTTAGCTGGGACTAAAGTTCCAATGCCGGCCTTTAAAACCTCAAAATTGTGCTCACGGTTTCCACTATTCCTGATCAAATCAAACTGAAGTTTACGTGCTTTAGATTTCACAGGTAGAGCCAATGCTCTGGCTACGTCACTTTCATTTCCATGTTTTCTAGTCAAATGACGGGACATTTTGTGGCAGGACATTGAACAGTAGAGGCAGAAGTGTCTCTTGCTATAAACTCGCCCCCCATTTTTCTTCTTTTGCAGCTGCATGATAACAATCTTATTTGCCTTTGGTTCGTCACTTTCCGAGTCTTGAAGAAAAGTGTTTTTGATTTTTCTTTTTCCATACTTTTTTCCAGGTTTCTTCTTGACAGTTAAATCGTCAGAATCTGAGTCGACTTCATCAATTAGGGACTCTTGACTAAGCTGCACAAACAACAAATAATTTGTAATCATTCTATATAACAATTTGAAGTCATGACTTGTAGTCAGCACTTACCAGTGGTTTGTAAGCGTGCGCTTCAGTGTGCTCCTCCATGATTTCTTGCAGCCTAATGAACCACACACTTGCACCTTTTTCTAGCCTGACACCTGATTTCCTCTGTTGTGCTGCTCCATGATTGGCTCCAGCCTGCTGGACTGAAATTGCCCCAGTGTGCACCTCCTTGATATCCCGCAACCCACCACCAGGGTTCCGACACATAACACACTTTTTTCAGGAAAGTAAACCTCCAGGGGTCCTTTCCATATTTTTACAGAGACTGCATAAGGACCGTTAGAAAAGCATTACCCATTGATTATTAAGCTTGGACCAGTGGGGTCCGGTGTTCGGGCCCCACCACGTAAAACCAGTCCCCATGACGTGAGTGGAATCTCAGGTTATGGAACCCACCAGGAGTTGAAAACAAGTGCACACACACACACACACACACACACACACACACACATGTGAAATAGAGAGACCAGAGAGAGAGACCAGAGAGAGACCAGAGAAAAACCAGAGAAAGACCAGAGAGACAAGAGAGAGACCAGAGAAAAACCAGAGAGAGACAAGAGAGAGAGACAAGAGAGAGAGACCAGAGAGAGAGACCTGAGAGAGACCAGAGAGAGACCAGAGAGAGAGACCAGAGAGAGAGACCAGAGAGAGAGACCAGAGAGAGAGAGACCAGAGAGAGACCAGAGAGAGAGACCAGAGAGAGACCAGAGTGAGAGACCAGAGAGAGAGACCAGAGAGAGACCAGAGAGCGACCAGAGAGAGAGAGACCAGAGAGAGACCAGGGAGAGACCAGAGAGAGAGACCAGAGAGAGAGAAACCAGAGAGAGACCAGAGAGAGACCAGAGAGAGAGACCAGAGAGAGAGACCAGAGAGAGACCAGAGAGAGACCAGAGAGAAACCAGAGAGAGAGACCAGAGAGAGACCAGAGAAAAAATCAAGCCCATAGCACGATGCTACTGTACTGAGAGTTTTGAGCCAAAACATTTAGTAAAAGGTTAAATGTTTATCTCATTCCGTCACTTCTTTGCTTTACTTCTTTCCTTTCCGCAATAATAATAATTAACAAATAATAATAATAACAATGATAATATTTGAAGTATTGAGTATAGTTTAAAATAGATCCCCCACTACACATTCCACAGAGTCATGAAGTGTGTCTGACAGAGCAGTGGGACTATGTGAGTGGAACTATGTGACACCAGGGTCAGACCTGAGAGGCCCCAGATTAAAGCTGATGTACCTGACTTTGCTACGCTTCAGAAAAAACACGTGTCGTTTGTCCTGACAGAAAGAGTCTTAGGAAAGTTAAATACTGACTTTCGCTTTCTCAGCGACCAGAGAGAGACCAGAGAGAGATCAAAGAGAGACCAGAGAGAGACCAGAAAGAGACCAGAGAGAGACCAGAGAGAGAGACCAGCGAGAGACCAGAGAGACCAGAGAGAGAGCAGTGAGACCAGAGAGAGACCAGTGAGACCAGAGAGAGACCAGTGAGACCAGAGAGAGACCAGAGAGAGAGACCAGAGAGAGACCAGTGAGAGAGACCAGCGAGACCAGAGAGAGACCAGAGAGAGACCAGAGAGACCAGAGAGACCAGAGAGAGACCAGAGAGAGAGATCAGAGAGAGTATGAAATGTAGATATTTGTAGATGTTAGACCTCCTGGATTAGGATTCTATAATCTCATTACATCACAGACACATTCCTCAGTCATAATCTTTCACTAAATCACCAACTATATTCAATCCACCTGTTCTCAATGCTATCGTTACCATGGTTACAGAGGCCGAAATAAAATAGGCCAAAGGCTTCTTCTTCTTTCTTAACGTAGCTACCATTTTTCGGACGGACCTCACGATGGAGGACGGACCTCCTGCTTCCAGCTCGAAGACAGAGGGATCTGAGTATTTCTGTAATAGTAGTACTGCTTTGTAGTGTTGAAAGTACTGGACAGTATTCTGGTATAGTCTGTCTCAGCCAACTCCTTTTATGGACTAGTCTGTGTGTGATAACATGAGAGCTCTCTCTGGTCTGTCTCTGCTCTCTCACCAACTATCTGAGTCGAAACAACTAAAACAATTCTGCCCTTAACTTAGAATCACAACAACTTTTCTCAGGGATTTTCTCCGACCAGTTCTGATGCAAACGTTGAAATAGAAATCTCAAAATAAACCGTTACTTCTTCTTCTGTGTTTTTAAATGTAATTGTTTGAACAAAGTGGGTCACTCCGGCCGGTCCCCTTCACACAAAGCATTCGTCCGTGGCCTACATAACCGCGGGCCTCTGCTTTGTGCTGTCGGCCAATCAGAGCGGGCCTCAGCAGCCTCCACACACCAGCACCCGACTGTGTCTCCACAAGGTCAACTGGAGATTCTCTGAACGCTCTCCTCTCCGCACTCTCTCCGGCTCTGATCTGCTCCGGAGCCGCCGCAAAACCCCCAGGACTGACCTGAATGAGCGTGTGGTCCTGAGTCTGGTCCTGAGTCTCCGGTGGGTCCTGGGGGTCCTGTGTTCTGATGGAAGAGTGGAGGATGAAGGCAGGCCGAGAGAGAGAGTGAGGGAGGGAGGGGGGAGGAGAGAGGGAGTGAGGGAGGGGGGAGGAGAGAAGGAGAGAGAGGGGGGGAGTGAGGGAGGAGGGAGGAGAGAAGGAGAGAAAGGGAGGGGGAGAAGGAGGGGGAGGAGAGAGGAAGGGGGGAGGAGATGGAGAGAGGGAGAGAGAGGGAGGAGGAGAAGGAGGGGGGAGGAGGAGAGAGGGAGGGGGGGGAGGAGATGGAGAGAGGTAGGCGGGACTTTCTCTCGGCACAGCGTGACACCAGTCTACTGCACGTTTACAAAGCAGTCGTGAAAACCAGATCTCTCATTGATGAGGGCGGTATCTGCATGTTGAAGCCAGATCCACGCAGACCACTGAAGCAAAGCATGTCAGGGCCTGGTCAGTACTGTGATGGGAGACCTCGTTGTCTGTGTGAATGGGTGGAGGTGGGAGGGGTCGATGGTCTGATGAAGCTGATCTAAGGATGCGGCAGATGCTTTGAATACCCAAGTGAAAAAAATATACATTTAAATATACTTATAGTGTATTCCATTTCTAACTAATACATTGTAAACATATTTTGTTAAATTATATTTAAATCGAGTATATTTAAAGTTTACTAATTGTGTATTTTAGAGAAGTACTCCAAATACATGTATTATTTATTATATTAAAATATATTTGAAAAATAATATATTAATTTTTATTACGCTCAAAATATACCTAAAATATATTACAGATCTGTATTTTAAATATATTTCACAGGAGTATACTTAAAATGTATTTAAGAAAACTACACTTAATTTTAGTACAAGAAAAATATATCATAAATACATTACAGATTTGTATTCTAAATATATTTTATGGTAGTATACTTGAATGTAAGAGAAAATAATTTTAGTACACAGCAAATTCAATAGTGTTGGATTGACAGCTGTTGAGAGATAGAAGGAAATATATATATATATATATATATATATATATATATATATATATATATATATTTTATTTTATTTTTTCATTTACACTAAGACTAAAATAAACTATTAATATGTTGTTAATCTGGCAAAAAAGATACTTTGCATTTCCTTACTTTTAATCTCTTTCAATATTATTTGGCAGAGGAACAACAAACAATTTATTCAAGGATCCAAACATTCAAGGATCAACAGCAAATACATTGCTGGTTCTTAACACTTCAGTAATAAATGTAGAAGATATCTTCAGCTGTCTCTCCAAACATGATCAGTTTTACTCAGCTTTAACTAAAACAGAAGCTTGACCTGACAATCCATTTTCAGATGTAAAATCTATTAGTGTTAAAATTTCACAAAACCTTTCATCATTCAGCTGTACAACAGAGTTATTTCTTTTTTCAAGAGTTGTGTTATAATATGAATGATACAAAACCCTAGCATGTGTGAAACGATCATAAACTAAACCAGAATGAATAGCTGCTAACTATGGAGGCATTCGCTCCAATGATCCGCGCCTAAAATATGATTGTCCAATCAGGTGCTGCATTCATTGCAGCTTTGTAACTATCAGCCAATCAGAACAGTTGGTCTTGCCAATCAGAACAGAGTTCAGGAAGATTCAAGCAGGTAACCTCCCAGCCCGATTTAGACGACGACAATTGGATAGAAATTAAGTGTGGGTCACGAAAGGAACCCAGCAGGACAGAGGCTGCTAAAGTGCTGCTATTTGAAGTTAGCTTAAGCTTGCTAGGTTAATTTTATTTCACGATGAAATATTTATGCCTCACCGATCGTTCCTTTTCAGATGTATTTCAAGAACTTTTTTCCTCCTGGGTAAAATATTTGGGCCATAGATGACACGTGTGTCGCTGCAAATGGCGACTGGTCTGAAGAAACATCTTGTCAGGTGAGACATACAGAACAGGGTATGTTTGCTTTTGCTAATGTTATGTTTGGGTCTATCAAACGTATGCTTTTTATTTTTAAAGTTGGGCTATATTAACTTGTAATGAAAACCCTACTCGGGTTTTAAACCTATGCTTTGCATTGAAAATATTAAACTCTTTCCATACATTGTTTTCTAGGCAAAGAAAAAGCTCCAAAAAATAGAGAGACTGCAAGTACAAGAAACGTAATTGAGGGACAAAAAAAAACACTTTCTCAAAAAAGAAATCTTGAACAATCTGAGGATCTGTTTGGCAGCAGTTCAGAGGAGCGTTTGTCACCTGTCCGCATGGTAAGTCTAATTTGTTGTGATGTTAATGATTCAATATACTGACCTGTGGTATTATAAAGTATATCCATTTTCTTTATTCTCAGTCAAAGAAGAGAAGGCTATGTGTATGGCCTCAACAATTCTCCCCACAAGCAAGCAGTTCTGATGAAACCCACATAGAGCCCACATCATTCAGACCATGTATGTATTTTGACATGCATACATACATACATAATTTACAACATGTGTTATACTTAACAGGAGGAAAATGTTGATTGTGTGGCTTCAGTTGTGGGGGAGGCAAATGGATTCATTCCCAGTTATACTGCAGCGCCTTCCATGGAAGAGATAGTTTCATGTCTTCGTGGTAAGTTTAGTGGCTTATCAAAATTTAACCTATATTGTTCATAATGTTTGCAAGTAAGTAATCTTTATTTATATACCGCCTTTTAACTGCAGATCTGAGTTTCAAAGCGGTTTACAATTGCATTAATGCATTAAGGAAATTTAATTTACTTTTTATTTTTGAAGAACTGCCTGAAACCTTAAAATTAATCAAGGAGTGTGTGGAGGGTTAGGGTTACTGCTCACTTTTATGTCATCCCACAGCACTTCTTGCCTGGAAACAATGTTAGCGTTTCAAAAATGGCTTTTCCTGAATCGAATTTGCATGTTTTTCACACAGGAATTAGCTGTCCTTGTTTTCACGAGGGAGATATTGGCAACATCAGCCCGAACTGGAAAATCAGGAAGAAGGGAAAGGATGAGGCATCAACTTGATGCTACAAAAGTGCAACCCATAACAGGTGAGTGACCAAATCTGATTTAAGTCTCAGATCTTTTGCACAATAGGTATGAATGTAAATGAGAGAGTGAATGGATGGTGTTGATTGGGGGCTGATGCGCCAGTGTGTTCGGCAACTTGCCTCCGTCATCACCGTCATTGTAAAGCGCTTTGGATGACCTTGGTCTGTAAAATGCACTTTATATATATATAAACATTACTTACTATATTTACAAAACGGATTTGAATTATTTTTTTTTGTATTTTTTTTGGCAGATGCAGTTTCCGAGGTTCGTGCAGCACTAAGACGGAAGTGCAAAAATGAGCAGTTCTGCCAAAAGAAGGAATGAATACTTTTAAGTAATTATTTTATGTATACACTGTGTGTATGTTAGCTAGTTCCGGGGAGAAACGGCGACATGAGCCGACCGCATCCGGTGCCTGTGTTTCGCTGGTGATTCAGGCTAAACTTGGAGGTCGTTTAGGTCCGTTTCAAGTTCTCTGCTGTTGACTATATGCCTCAAGTAAAGCACACACCTCTTGTTCATGCTCCTCAAAGTGACAAGTGTGAGCGAGTGTCTGTTTTTGTGAAAAAGCATTAGACTCTCATGTCAAATCAATGTTAAAAACACATCATATAGGGCTATTCCTTACTATTTTACGACCATTCTCCCTATAAATATTGAATTCTACCCCAGTTGGAATAAATTCAAAGACAATAGTTGATGGTTTTAAATAGTTTGTCTTTGACATGTAGGAGGCAGATGCCATGTCATACCTCAATTTAAAGCTATTAATGAGTTCTGTCCAGTCGGTGTTTTCAAGTTGATTTGACGCAAGAGCCGGACTGTGTTTGTTTGGGGTTTTTTTTTTCACAAAAACAGACACTCGCTCACACACTTGTCACCCTGAGGAGCTTAAACAAGAGGAGTGTGTCCTTTACTTGAGGCATTTGGTTGACAGCAGAGAACTTGAAACTGATCAGAAACTTCCTCCAGGAATTACTGGCGAATGGCGATAGACAGGGACTGGATGCGGTCGACAACTTGGACGTGAGATGTATATAAGATTTTTTTTTTTGTTTAATATGCATTTTTTTTTGTTTAATATGCATTTTATTTGAGTAAATTGAGTAAATAGTAAACAACTATTTTTGTAAAGAAACACTGTTGCAAATTTTATGTGCAAGCGCATAATAAAGTTTATGTTGAATTGTATCAATGATTTGTTGTTTTTATCTGTATAATACAGAAAAAAGATGTTTTTAAATATATTTTCATATATACTGTAAGTTAATTGAAAATATACTGTAAGTCAGTGTTTTTCAACCTTTTTTGAGCCAAGGCACACTTTTTTCACTGAAAAAATCTTGCGGCACACCTCCAGGAGAAAATGTAAAAATGTATACAGTACTAATGTAAAAATATATACTGTACATACTCTGTGTGATATATAAAGTATATCTCATCTTATCTTATAATGTATACAGTATACTCTGTAGCCTATATTCACAATATACAGTTATTCTCATCAAAATGCTTAAGTCCAGGCCTTGACATTAAGCTTTATTTAATATTTCTCGACACAATTAACAAGAGTTTGGGAATAAAGTCGCACTAACTGTGTGGAAAAAAACTAAGAAAATCCACTCTCTGCCCAAATAGTCAAATAATAACTCACACAAAGAACATGCATTGTTAGTGCATGGGAAAAATTTAGGTATCCGAGCTTTAAATTCAGGAGTTTTGGATGAGGGACACGGGAGGTCCTGAACGCGAGTCCATGGTTCTGTCCGGTCCGCATGTCTATGGTTCTGTCCACTCGACTATGGTCTGCGCTCGGTACCCAGTTCAGAAGTGCGTTCGCGAGAGCTGTTGTACAAAAATTGTACATTTCATAGTTAAACCACTACAACGCGGCCACAGCTGCCCCGGGGCAGAGCGGAGCATGTTAATCCTGTTCAGAAACGGCATAATTCATTTTCAAAAACGTCTCTATCACTTTCACTTCTCACTCGCCACAAAGCTCTTGTCTCGCTCCCTCCCACATTTGTTGGTCGCATCCAATTTTACCTTTCTCGCCACAATGCTGACCTGTTACAGCTAGTGGTCGCATCCAATTTTTCAGTTTCACAGTACTTAGCTATCTGCTGCCATCTACTGATTTGAAAAAGTATTACATGGTTACTCCACAGTTCAAAACAAGTCACCGCTCGTCAACAGCGAATGCAGTTATTTTTAGACAAAGTAGTGTGCCGTATGATATTGTCTGGTGTGCCGTGAGACAGCGGCACAGTGGTTGAAAAACACTGCTGTAAGTTAACTGCAAGTATGTTATGAACAGTGGCGGAGCCAGAGGGGTAGCCAGGGTGGCCACTGCCACCTCTAAAAATACCTTTGCCACCCCCAGTGCCCCCCTCGGAAGACGGCAATGTAATATTGTTAATCTGGAGAATCTTCCGCACTTTTTCCGCCAAAAGCTAACAATTCCCACGGTTTCCCCCGTCTGTGAACGCACCCTGACTCCTGTGGAACAGGTGTAACGCCGAGATACCATGGATGTATTATATTAACTGGATAGGGTATTACTAGCTTGTAGCTGAATAACTCATGTGCTCAGGGGATTCTCGCGGTACTGCAGACTGAACCAGACTAAATTCACGTGGGCTACCCAGAAATTTTCCCCATAGAACTCAATGCATATTAAAACAGCTCAACCTCAGCTGACAGAGAACCTACAGCTTTAATAAAGATAGTATTTTGTGGGGATTTTAGTGTCCCTTGTCATCCTGAACTTTTTTTCTTCTTAAATCCTTCGGTTTTGTTTAAATCCACACTTTAGTGGCACAAACTCTGCTCGTCTGGCTCTCGCTCTAACTCCCGCTCTGATGAACTGCTCTGATTGGTCAGAGCGCGGCCGAGCCCCTCTGTGCACGTGCGTGAGACCCGGTGTGAGACCCACACACGCGTGTTTGGCGCAACGCATTATGGGAGATCATCCACTGCGCAGAACCGGGAGGACCAGACGATGCCCAAATACAGGCGAGTTTCCCATAGATCTTTGCGAGTTTCAGGCAACTTCCGCTAATCTTTCAGCCCCCATGCCGTCACAAAGCGCCACTGAGCACAACCATTCATTTGAATAGGGCGCCATCTTGGATCGCCGGGGCTTGCGAGATACACTGTCTTGAAGAGATGCACTGCCTCAGCTGTTTATAATGTAATGCAAACCTGCGCATGCGCGTCTCACGGCAACCGAAGCATACCAAGATGGCGGAACGTGAATTGCTTTAAAAGTTGAAATACGAACGAATTAAGACACGAATGTCACTTTTAATGCAATTTGAGGCGAGATGTTGATGGTTCCGTTTTGTCACATGTGGGTTTTAAGAGTCAAAGTTTTGTGCAAAGTTTAGTTTAAGCAGTCAACTGCGCCTGTGAAACCACAAAGCTAATGTTTTCATAGCAGTCCGCGGCTGCTGACGTAGGCTGATGACGCGTCCTGTGGCCACTCTACACTATACACTGGTCTGTCGGGTTGATAATGGAAATAATAAATTTCATTCAATACATGTATCGTACTGTATTTAATATGATTAACAATAGTGTGTTCAAACAAAATATTTAATTAGATTGATTTTTTTCCCCATGTTCCATTATCTGCTCCTACGGTTTATTATCTTTATCATTTATCTTTAAGAAATGGTCCCAAACCCGAAATTCTCCAGTTTTACCATGAATTAAAAGATACAAGAATAAATAACTTGCTATGAATAATAGTAAAAAACTAAAACTTTCAGGACTCAGCGCCGTCCAAACTAAGGCCCAATTGTGGCCCAGTTCATAGTGTTATGTAACACTGGCATGTTATACCTCATCACGCTCAAAACCTTTTCAACCCGTTTCTGAATTTGTTAATCATAATGGCACTGGTGTAGATATTCTATCAATCCAATACAGCTCTGACTGCAGACGCTGCTCCCTCTTTACTACAATGGTCTGATACAGCGACCGCATCACTGCGCATCCAATCCGCCAGTCAATCTCACGCTCCATCCTTCCCTCACTGAGAACAAGACCCCGAGATACTTGAAACTCCACTTGCCTGCTCCACCTGGAGAGGACCAGGACCTGGCTGTGGTTCTGGCGGAGGCCAACATGCACCAGGAACAGGTCTGACTTACTGCTGATGCGACCACAGCTGACTCCGGTCATACAGGGACCAAACGGCCCTCAGCAGAGAACCCGTACTCCAGGGGCCCCGGCTGCTCCGTACCGAGCGACGTCACAGATTTTGTTTCAGTGATGTCGATATAGAGAAAGGCATTTACCTAACCTCAGCTCTCTCTGATGTTAGACGTATAAATGTTTTACCTCATTAACCACCCATGTTGCGGGCCCCTGGACAGTCTGCTGAACTTAAGTTAAAAGTTTGGACACCCCTGGTGAAGAATAACATGTTTCATTTTGGTGCAAAGACACGTGTTGTGGAGAGTCTTTATTAGAACAACAGGAATCATAAAAGCAGACGCAGGAGGCCGTCCCGTCACCTCTGCTCTTCTCAAATATACAGGGACATAAATACATGGGCTCCGTGAGGAAGGGGGGGGCGTTACTCTGTGAGACCCAGCTTCTTCTTCAGGGACTCTGGCATCTCTGGGGGAGGGGGGCGGGGCAGGCGGAAGTAGACCTTCACCGAGTCGTAGATGAACCACTGCAGAGCGGTCAAAGTTCCAATCATGATGATACGAGCCACCAGACCCTTCCACACGCCTGAGGACAGAGACAGAAGGGACAGAAGACAGGACGACAGAGACAGAGGACAGGACAGAGAGAGGTCACTTTCGGCCAAAGAACCGGACATCAGTCCCTAACTACTGCATATGACCCGCCTCGTGACCCAGTCTTTTTGGGAACTCTGACACTGGTCTTTTAGACAAAGCTCACCTGTAAAGGTCAGTTAAAGGAGGTTTAAAACTACATCCATAAGCAGACTTGGAGTCGTTTTTACCTCCATCCATGCAGATATATGAGCTGGGAACAGTCTTGTGCGCCTCAATCATTAGCATTAGCCTGGCAGACACCAGGGAGATCACAATATACAAACTTAAATATTTAAAAATATCTATAAAACCTCAGCAACATCAGAATTAGAGCTTGGGTAAAGGGTTGCCAGGTCTGGTGTAAGAACTCACCTTTGGGCCCCAGCTTCTTGAGCACTCCCACAGCAGTGCTGCCCTTCTCTTTGTTCAGCACCGACACCACAGAGTCAGCCGGATGGGACACGATGGCACAGAATACACCAGCTGCAAACACAGGCGCGACAGGCTCAGACACATGTGGCAAGGAGCTACTGCTGCTGCTACAGGGTAAGGAGCTACTGCTGCTACAGGGTAAAGTGCCACAGGGTAAACATACCGATGTATCCAGCCACGAAGGTGACCACGAGCTGCTCGCCCTTGGAGCACTCGTTGCGGGGCTTGGGCACCACGTGTTTGTAGAGCAGCTCCACGGTGCGCTCGAAGCAGGCAAACTTCATCATGGTGTAGGGGATCTGCCTCATCCACAGAGGGACCACGCCTTTGTAGAACCTGCACACATAAGCGTTAACCCCAGAGCGCCCCCTACAGTTAGCATGGGTCATGTCCGTCCCACAGACTGGCCCCACTGGTGGGCTCTGCCTCTGGGACAGGGGCCAGTGGAGCTCTGGGCTGGGGGAGAGGTGTACTGCTCTGACACGCCAATGACTCAAGCACCTCTGACCGTACAGCACCAGGCTGCAGAGGTGGATCTAAGGAGCGTGTGGTTCTGCTCGGTACTTACGCCCACAGACCTTCCTCGGCGTACATCTTGGGGGCGGCTTCTCTCAGAGTGTTGGCGTAACCGGGCTGGGTCTGGATCCGCACTTTAGCCGCCTCCATGGGCGCCAGAGCGATGTCTGCAAAGAACTCTGCACTGGCTGAAGCCGCCAGGTACAGAGAGGTTCTCCACAGGTATGTGTTCTCCTGCAACACAGGACCAGCAGAGTCAGGGGGAGACCAGGAGGAGAGGGAGAGTCAGGGGAGACCAGGAGGAGGGGGAGAGTCAGGGGGAGACCAGGAAGAGCGAGAGTCCAGTGAAAGTAATTTATCGGGGGCCACATATCAAGTAATTTTTAAAATCTGTGGATATTAACATCATCTGACCAAACTACATTTATCTAACGAAAGTTTAGCAAAAACACTTGAAATTAACCTAAAGTACAGACAACAAAACCCACTTCCTGTCGTCTCCTTTTGGCTGCATTCTGTTTTTAGAATCAACATGTGTATTTTATGGTATGTTTGTGCCATTTCATAGCCACCTGTAGGTGGGTTGGTCTGCATGCCGGGGAACTACAGATGGAAATTAGCCTAAGGCTAACTCCGGTGCAATGCATCACACGGAAAAATTGGTGTTCCAACTGTACATGGTCCCTTTTTAAATAATGATTTAAAAAAGACAGTGCGAGGACGTCACAGCATCAGGAGCCGTTTCCGTGTCACCGTCCTGCAGTTTAAACCCATTTTGCAACTAAAAATTAGTTTTAAGTACCGAGTAAAAAGGTAAAATAAACTAATAAAAGTGGTGAGGGGATTTAAAAATGAGAGCTCAGAGTTAAAGTAGTTCTAAATCTTCCACATAATTTCTGCGCATTTAAAGCTTAACCTTCTGTAATCAGAAACAGGATAACTCCTGTAAACATTGTTCAGTCAGATGTCCGTCCCACAGACTGGCCCCACTGGTGGGCTCTGCCTCTGGGACAGGGGCCAGTGGAGCTCTGGGCTGGGGGACAGGTGTACTGCTCTCACACGCCAATGACTCAAGCACCTCTGACCGTACAGCACCAGGCTGCTGAGTCTAGGCCAGGCCCAGGCTCCAGAGGTGGATCTAAGGAGCGTGTGGTTCTGGTACAGACAGACGTGGCGCTCACCTCTCCCAATAAGTCGGCGTAGAAGATCTTGAACACTTCGTAGAAGCCAAACTTGCACAGGCCTTGCATGGAGTAACCGATGAAGGTGGGAGCCCAGCCTTTAGCCAGGCCTCTGACGCCATCTTCCTTCAGAGTCACTGAGAAGCCCTTCCCGATGCTCTTGTATTTGTCTGGACTCACCTGGTGCAGAGAGACAGTCACACACCAGCAAGAGCCTCACACACATGGTTCATGCAAGCAGAGCTCCATCTACATTTACTTATAATTACTGTTTTTAACCAGGAGCTTTATCCATGGTGTGATCTTTAAGTTTTAATTTCACATTACTCCAGCTCTGAAGTCTGAAGGCACAGGACCATGAAGGAGCTCTGTACAAACCTGCAGCCGGCACTTGACCAGGTCCAGAGGGACCACCGCGGTGTGTGTGAGGCCACAGCTCAGGATGCCCCCAAAGCCACACAGGGCATAGTACTTTGAAGACCCAAACTCACAGCTCACTTCATCTGGAGCAGAGGGAACATGCAACATGCAACACACATGCAACACAGGTCAATCATGACACCTCTGTCCAGCAGGGGGCGCTGTCAGGCTCCCTGAGGACAGAGGCTTTCCACAGATCAGTGCACCACAGCTGCAGACCAAGTCATTCAAAACAGTCATGACCGAGGCCTGTGGGGGATTTCACTTAAAGCTGAGGTACCAAACTTTCAAACCACAAAAAAATGCACCAAGTCCTGAGAACTGGACTAGAGACTAGACTTCAGATCAGCGCAGGGACTGGCCTCCTGCTGGTACTCGGGGGAGCGCAGGGACTAAACATGAGTGTTTCAGATTTATGCTATAATCTGGACAGGCTTCTAGTCTGAACAGTTTCCAGATTGTATCTCACTCTAATGCACTGAGATCATGTATGATTTCAAGGTCTGCTTTGTTACGCACTAGCGAGACTATGACTGAAGTGATGTACCCCAGCTTTAAATCCCACTGCCTCCTTGTCTAATAAAGGTCAGTGATGGTGTTTTGTCTGAATTGGGATGCAGCCTTTGATTAGACATGAAGACGAGGAGCTGATGATTCAAAAGCAGCAGCGTCCTCAGGATCAAGCCTGTCACGAAACCAAAACATGTTACACACACGGGGATAAAAACAAAATCACGAGTGGTTTAATCAAAGAGCTCAGGCTGTTGCATTAAAACGGCGAGTGATCGGCGAGTGGGCACAATCATGCGTTCACAAAGGGAGACGTTATGGATGGGTGGGGTCTTCAGGCTCGGACTCAGACCTGCATTCTGCACTTGACCAGGTCCAGAGGCACCACGGCTGTGTGCGTGGTGCCACAGCTCAGGATGCCCCCGAAGCCACACAGCAACAGGTACTTCTGAGAGCCGAACTCACAGCTGTCCTCTGGACACACACCACAGCCCTTTACCGCCGGTGTCATTCTACTCATGCACCATTGGGTTTTCATAAGTGTGATTTTAGTATGTAGTTTATATCTATGTCATTATGTTCATGAAATGATCTTGATCAGAGACTGTTCAGCACAATCTCATCTTGGAGAAAGTGCTAGTTACCACAACTGTTAAAATTGAATGAAAGTGAAATACTATCAAATGTTAAAGACAAAAACTATGAATCACTTAATTTAAAACAGCAAAAAGGTGAACCGCGTTAAACGTTGACTTAAAACAAACTTGCTTATCAAGACACGCAACTCATTTAAACAGATGTCTGCATAGTGCTCAAGGTGACCGATTTTTTTTTCATATAAAAGAAAAAAAAAAAAGGTATCAAATTACATTTGCAATATACATTTCATGCACATAGCTTCAGCCTACTTTAAATATTTTTGTCTCATTCAAAATCTCTCCCATTCCAAGGGAGATATTTCTTGCATCTTTATAAAACAGAACTACTTGTCCCATTGGCAAAACTTATTTCAAGGCAGTCAAAATGCCCAGACTAATATACTTATTATTCATCACTTTTTGCAGTGAAGTGAGAACACCTGCTAAAGTTAAAGAAATAAGACTATTTACTACACAGCTACTCAAAACTATTGTAGACTCATCTCTTTGGTCCAGGTCTTAAGTTTCATCCCCTATTTCATGCAGGAACATAATGTTCTTGGAGAGTCTAGGTCACAACACCATAGACCGGACTCTGTTCTCATGGTCTGTGGTTCTGAGTCTTTATCAAACTGGTTTGTCTGGACGCGCAGGGATCAACTGTAATCCCACATTAAAACTTTATGGATCACTTCAGAAGACACAGTGTCCTTCACCGTCCTCCACAGGGCTGCGCTGCTTGGAGGTCCCTGGGAACACTGACACAGGTCACACAGTAATGACTTCAAGGCAACAGCAGCTACACGTCCATTCAAAGCCACGCTGATGTTAAACCATTTAACATCAGAGGGGCTATGCTAACGGGGCTAACTGTGTTAGCTCCAGTCTCCTCCACTGCGTCCGGGGCTTGGCTTACCATCGGCGGCGGCGGCTGCTGCTGCTAGTCTCCGGGGCCCCCGAGTGTCCTGGAGCCTCTGCGGGGTCTCGTCCACCTTCTGCAGGGTGAAGAGGGGGGCGCTGAACGGGTTAGCCCGGGCCAGCTGCGTTAGTGCGCTGGGGAACATGGCTGTGGAGCTAAAGAGAGTAACACGTTAGAACTGCAGAGAGCGGACCTGTGAAAGATTCTAAAGTTGTAAATGCGTCATAAACGTGAAACATTATCCCTGTGCATGATATGTCCAGACAGCCACGTGCGTGCAAGTGTGGCTATGTGACCGATCAAAGTAGCCTGTTAGCATTAGCATCCCCGTATCTCTGCATACACTGCGATGCTAATGCTAACAGGCTAATTTGACCGCTTCAAGGTGGGCGCATATTGTTAAACTAAAACACGCAAAAAAAGACTTATAAATAAAAATGGCATCACGTCCAAGCTTTGTGACGCCCACTCGAGCCTGTACGTACGCCTAAGCAGCTGTATTTAGTGATTAAAAAGCCTTTACTCTTTGGGCCGTGTGAAGATGGCGCCTCTTCGGTTGCAGCCGGTTTGCAGAGAGGCAGATGACCTCTCCGCCAGTCAAGTATGCTTTGTTTACGTCACTGGTGTGAGCTTTTCCGGGGGTTTGGCCAATCACAGAGACTTGGGGGCGTGGTGCAGGGAATGACGACCGCTTCCCATTTCGCACACACGTACCGTCTAGTCTCCTCGAAGGGTGGGCGGGGCTGAGGGCTCAGGAGAGAGGAGTCGAGGCAGTGAGGTTTGAGACACATATCTGGTACAGTATCCTAACAATATACCCAGAGCAAACCAGTATCCAGGGAAATTCCTTGGTAGCCATGTCTTCCAGTAACACTCTTGTCAATCACTTTCAGTTAGAACACTTTAGTACCAGCTTGGCCTGGATAGAACCAGGACCAAGAGAGGGACTAAAGAATTACATGGTACTCGTTCAACAGGACCAGTGGAAACGCCAGTGGAAACACCAGAGTAGAGTAGAGTAGAGTAGAGTAGAGTAGAGTAGAGTAGAGTAGAGTAGAGTAGAGTAGAGTAGAGTAGAGTAGAGTAGAGTCATATAACACTGGGTAACAATGTTAACAACAAAGTCATTTTATTTGGGCAGCATGTGTTAAAGAGTGATGGGGAAACCTTCACAGACACAGGGAGAACATGCAAACGCCACACAGAAACTCAGGAACCTTGTTGCTGTGAGGCACAAGTGTAGATCAGTGTATAGAGCCGCCGCTCCATGTTGTTTGTTGTTAACAAATTTAAGTAAGCAATGTCTATTTATATAGTGCCTTTCTCAGACCAGAGTCAGAAAGACCTTTTTTACATTCGTCTGACTCCACACAGAGATGGGAGGGGCCAGTACAGGAGGCACAGACCTATTGTACATGTTTTTAGTGGTAGGGGAAACCGGAGCACCCGGAGAAAACCTACGCAGACACGCAGAGAACATGCAAACTCCACTCAGAAAGGCCCTGTTCCAACCAGGATTTGAACCCAGGAAGCTGAGAAGCGAGAGTATTAACCACTCAGCCACTGTGCTTCTGTGTGGATTATACTCTTTCTGGCAAACAGGTGAAGAAAGAAAATCAAAGTACCTCAGCTTTAACGTATTCTAGACAAATCAAGATCTTAACATAAGCAATTAGAAGTATAGTGTCTCACATCTTTGCAGCGTTCTTGTTTCTTACACTAGAATTTACTCACTTTTGTATTTTCATTCATTCCTAAAGAAGTATATTTAATGTAATATTTTACACAGTTTCAACAGTAAGACTGCGCTTAAATATAGGAAAGAAAAAAAAAATTGTACTTAAATAATGATTCAATTAAAATGTTTCATTCATTACGAACTGCAAAGCCTCACAGTGAGTGATATTCTGGAGTGGGATCTTTGTCCAGAGAAGGTTTGGACTCTGGTGCTCTTTAGTTTCTAAGGCTTGGTCTGCTGCCCTCTTACATCTGTCGTTTACTCACAGAGACATGTTCATATGGTTTGGATCAAATGATCTTTTGTTGCTCTCTGTTCCTCTAGCACAGAACTGGGGGAAAAAAATGTTTGTTTTTGCTGCTCCTTCTACATAGAACGTGTTGCAAAAAGACTACAGTAGAAAGGATCTGATCTTATTTCCTTGAATGCTTTTAGATCCAGATTGAGACATCTTCAGTGAAATGTAACTGTTTTTAAAATCCGTAATTTTATGAAATTGTGTGTTACTGTTGTATAATCTGTATGTGACTGCTTTATAATCTGTAATTTTATGTAATTTTTGTACACATAAAAGAGGTTCTCATTGACTGCCAGCCATTTTTGATGACTTCACTGATTTTTAAGACTCACAGAATATTGTGTGCTATGAAAAATATGAAACCAGAGTCTGAAAGACAGGACTGTCTACTTTCAGCAGCAAAAATAAGTTTGTTCTTAGTTAGTTTCGTTCTTCTGTGATCTCCAGTCGAAAAGAGGGGAGTGTGACAAAAAGCACCAGTCTGAGACAAAAAAATGAGAAAATGAGGTTTTTGTGAAAACAGACGAACTGCAGAAAAGTGATTGTAAAACTATTTAGTTTAACTTTAGCATCTCCTCAAACATGTCCAGGATCATACATGTTAGAAAAGTTATGAGAAAGTGTTTTTAATGTAAAATAATGAGTTTTATGGCACACTCACATCCACAAAGTGTTGCTCGAATGTTTCAAAAATGTACTCATCCAAAAAATGTCAAAATGTACATATTGAAAGTAGAGCCCATGACAAACTATGGCAGATAGAATGGCCAGTATTCATCCATTAGGTGGTGCTATATTTATGTCAATAAGAGTAAATCAAAGAATAACAAAATTACAATGATAAACACAGTTTATCATTGTAGTTTAAACACAGTAGCTCAGTTGGTAGAGCATTGGCCTTAAGCCCAGAAGGTCGTGGGTTCAATTCCCACCTCTGCACCTTCTCCACCGACTCCCACTGATGACTGCTGTCGTTGTGTCCTTGGGCAAGACACTTAACCCCACTTTGCCCAAAGCCCCCACTGAAAGATCAAGGCTATGCTCACACTCAGAGAGCAGCCGTCCTCCTGTGGACTCACCACCTGCAGAGGATCAGTGAGGGGCTGGTGCTATGAGACTTGGGTGGCATCTCTGATTGCCACCCCCCTGACCCAGAAATGGATTAAAGGGTAGAAAATGGATGGATGGACAATGATAAACACTATACATGACAATAAATCAAAGTGAATACTTATACTTATAGTATAAGTGCAATAGAATACTGCTGTGGGTTTGGGCGCGCATGTATGTGCGTTTATGCCATAGACTGTATATATTAACGGACAGAGTCACGCCTATCTCCACCGTTCTAACTAATGGGCCAAAAAATGTGCTCTACTGAAGCTATCCAAAATGGCCGCGAGTGGTCTCGCCCACAAGAAAATTGTGAAAAAACGCATCTGTGCATGCGTCAGCCGGCGCAGCTCCATTCATTTAAACGAGAGACTTCAAAAATTCACAGCAAGTAAAGTGGACCAAAAAAATTCACCCCCTTCAGCATTGACACACATGTGGAACGGAGCTTTGGGCCAAGAGCCAACTTTTGGTCCATCCTGTAAAGACGTTTTTGAGAGGTCTGCCAATGACATTTGTTAGCATTGGCTAATTCTACTTCTGGGTCCACCCCCATCGGCCCGTGGTGGTATTGCAAGCATGTCAGCGCACGTCATTTTGGACACTTTTGAGCTGGGACCCTTCTCCACTGGTTTATGCACGCGTTTGTGTGTGTTTGTGTGATTACATCTACAGAGCGTCTGTTTAGTCCAGCGAGCGCTGTGACCATAACTGGACTTTTCCGCTGGCTCCTGGTGCGGACTCAGTGATAGTTTTAGCAATAGTCCACTTTTCTGTTGCTTTTTTGGGGTGCACCGCTGGTCTGCTGTCCTGACCTTCCAAATGGTCTGCTGCTCTGACCCTCCACATGGTCTCTGTCAGCTCTGGAGACATTTACTGCTCAAACTGCCTCCAAATGTAGCCTGACCCTGACTATATTACTCCATGTCTGCTTCACCTTTGTCTCTCCTGCTCAGAGTGCTCAGAGTGATCTTTGACCAAACCAGGGAGTTCTGCTGCCACCTGCTGGCTTAATAAAATACTGTCTACAGCCAAACCCCAGTTTGAGAAACACTGCACTAGGATGACTGGGACTGAAGAACCAGCTGCTATTGCCACCGTTTCTTTTATTGACACTTTTTTTTGTACATAATTATATCCTGTACAGACTATAATTGTACCTTCAACACTTTCTCCAGTGTGAGATCAAAAATCGTAATTTTGTATTATACTTATCTTGTATTATGTGCTCCTTATTCCTACTGTTCTGTTCTGATGCAACACTGACATTCCTCAACTGTGGGACAAAAAAAGGATAACTTAATCTTAAATATGTGGCATTATTCTAAGCCAAAAGCACCAGTTTCCTTCTGTTCTAATGACTGCAGTTCCGGAGGCCGCCGGCAGAGGGCGCACACAGCTCCCAAAGGTGATGGCAGTTACAGGTTACGTCATCGTTTCCATTTCCTCACAGCCTCACCCCATGGATCTATTAGACGCAGCTCTGCAGCTCAAAACACCAGGAGAGAAGGCTTTTCAACACCAACTTTATTATGAGAAAACAAAAGCACATTTATTCAACAGACAAAACAGGATAAAACATAACTTTAAACTATAATTACAACATATGAAAGATCTGAGAAAAACGTATTGTGTTTAAGGCTTTTGAAATATCAAGATCTCCAGAAACAAACACGTCCCCACGCACCTTCTGTCTGAATGTTTCTGTCTCCAACTCGTTACAACACTGTAAGTTTAATGCACTTTTCTTCAGTTAAAACAAAAGAATCTCCCCCAAATCTGTGGAACATCTTCAATTTCTGTGAGTGACGTTTGATGTTGACCAAAAATAACAACCCCGAGACGACTCCATCTGGTGGTGGAAGTGGGAAATGACATTCAACGGGACATAAACCTGAATCCAACATTCCACGCTGTTGTAAAGAATGTAAGATGGAGCAATACTTTTGTTTTAATGAAGCAGTGTCTGGATTGGTCGCTGTGTGACAGGTTTGAGTTGGGAGGGTTTTGACAGAAGGGGCGGGGGAAGGACATTAGCATGAACAGAGCAACAAACTGGACAGTTGAGCATGTTTAAAAGCTTTGGCAAACTCCACTTTTCCCAAGGATGACTCTTCACCACCACTTTAGGAGCTCGGGCCGCCATCTCTGAGAAACTGACACTTTTTGCTCTTTCTGTTCGACAATTCAAGAATATTCTCACATAACGACTGCTACAAACATTTCCTCACTGGTGTTTTCTAATGTTAGACGATATATTCCTTTTTTGGACAAAATCTGGTTCTGTTTTAGTTTAAACTTTTAAAAACAGAACTAGCTTTGTCGTGTTTGACAGAAATGAGATATTTTCCCCAAAGCCTCAGTACAAACCCTAAATATTCAAGGCACAGGAAGAAGTCACAGTTGACTTGAACAGCTTGAGGGGAAACTGAGTGGGCGGGGCTACTCAAAATGGGCGTGGCCAATTCGAAAGGAGACATGCCAACTCGATGGGGGCGGGGCTACTCGATGGGGGCGGGGCTGTTGCTCTCCATGGCCTGGTACACGAAGAAGAGGAAGGCAGCCAGGACGAGCCACAGCAGCAGCTTCTTCCACCAGGCCGTGTCCCTGCGCCCTGCGGGGACAGAGGGGGCGCTAGAGGGCTTCAGGCTGCTGCTGCTGCTGCTGCTGCTGCTGCTGCGAGCGGAGGACGAGCGCAGGACCGAGGACGCCGTGCTGAGCGTGGACTGGCTGCGGTCAGAGGGAACGACGGGGCGACCGGCGGCTCCTCTGATTGGCCGACGACAGATGGCCCTGAAAAGAGAGACATACAACATACGTATTTGTGGTCCTGGGTCGAGACCAGAAGGCCTTTGTCCAAGGTCCACTGTTCCAGCACCAGACCAGGTCGAGCTCTGTTTCTTTTATTATGTATTTATTTAATTATTTTAACAGTATTGGCTGAGGAAGGAGACTTTTCCTCTCACAATAAGGCTATATCCACACGAAGACAAAACGCTTATAATTTCAGAAACTTTTTCTGTAAACACGGAGTTAGCTCAGTAAATGTGTGCGTCCATATGAATGTAGTCAATACGCCTGAAAACGCTGTGAAACTATGCCAGACCTGTTGGTGGCGCTGTGACGCAATGACGGGATCAAGCCCAAACTTCCGTGGGCATGCGCGGTATTTTGTAAACAGACAACATGGCGAGTGGGCGAGCTGGTACTACATTAGTATGGAGGACGATGAGGTTGAACTGTTGCTTCGGGTCACACTGGATTACAAAACCAACAAGCTACATTGTTGTTGTCATTATTTTCTGAGTGCGGCGCATGCGTGCTTTAACAAGAGGCGGGGCGATGACGCAAGCGTCTCAGATACATTGCGGAGAGGCAGTAACCACGGAGCGGCATATACGGAGTTTTGAAATCTTTCCACTCTGGGACCTAGTTTCAAAAATGTTCGTTTACACCCCCCCAAAACGCCGGCCTCGTATGGACGATACACTGGATTGATAAAGTATTTTTGCGTTTAGGCCTGAGCTTGACTTCGTGTGGACAGGGTCTAAGATCGTAGAGAACACAGACTCAAAAACAGACTGAACAGGCCACATTAATTTAAACAATGCAATATTCTATCTTTTTGTCACTTTTATGATCCACGGTTTTTACTCACGTCAGTCTGAGCTCCGACAGTGTGGGGTCCTCCTCCTGCTTCTCCTGCTCCGTCTGCAGACCACACAAGTCATGTTTATTCATACAGCGCATTTTTACAGACCAAGGTCACCCAATGTGCTTTACGCCATCAAACTGTCAGTGCAGCAGTGTCCCCCTGTGCAACTCCCAGTGTTCCCCAGTGCACCTCCCAGTGTTCCCCAGTGCACCTCCCAGTGTACCTCCCAATGCACCTCCCAGTGCACCTCCCAGTGTTCCCCAGTGCACCTCCCAGTGTTCCCCAGTGCACCTCCCAGTGTCTTATGGGACAGAGACCCTCTGTGCTCCAGGTTTTTTAAATCCATCTTGCCTGGAAAACAAAGGAAAAGGTCTGAGGCTCTCTGACTTACAGCCGGGGGGGTGGGTCCCTGGGGGGTGGGTCCCTGGGGGTCCATGTGCGGTGACATTGTAATCTGACTCTTTGTGGGTGTTGAAAACAGCTTTACAGAATGGTCCAAACGTCGGCTCAACGCCACGTTCAAGAAGCTGCCAATTCTGAGCGTATTTCTTTTTGGACCAGTTTGGTTCAGCCGCTGTGAACTTTTGAATGCACTCGTTAGAATAATGTTTGTCAGGCTCTTGCCGGCTAACACATCAGTTAGCCTCCTCATTCTCCTGTGGGAGGGGCTGCTTGTGGCCCTGTTCATGAGCCCCGACACCTCACATTACATGTTCGAAACGCGACGTATTGTCCCCACTAAAGTCAGAGGGCCTCAGACTGTGCTCTCCCCCTGTGCCCTCTCCTTCCGTGCACTCTCTCCCGCTGTGCCCTCTCCCTCTGTGCCCTCTCCCTCTGTGCCCTCTCCCTCTGTGCCCTCTCCCTCTGTGCCCTCTCCCTCTGTGCCCTCTCCCTCTGTGCCCTCTCCCTCTGCGCTCTCTCCCTCTGCGCTCTCTCCCTCTGCGCTCTCAGTACCGCTGGTGTAGGCTCTTCTCTGGGCCTCTTTATGGGGGACATGTTGCAGCTGGAGATGAAAGACAGAGGGTCCCGTGACGTCTGCAGGACACACACACACACACACAGAGAGAGAGAGACACACACACACAGAGACACAGAGACACAAACACACCGCTTCAACATGTCCTCGTGTCTGTGTGTGCGTGTCTGTGTCTCTGCTGACTGTCCCTAGAGGCTGACACTAAAGATGAATGAATGTCCTTTGAAGCATCAGGTTTAAAGAGTGACGTCCTCTTCACGTCAGTATGATTTCAGAGAGTGTAAAGTGGAGCAGACACAGACCTAAGGCTTCAGAGCAGACAGAGGAAAACTTAGATCAATAACACAGTTATACTGTACGTGTTATAGTTATAACTACACATAGAAGAAAATTACATATGAAACATGTTGGTAGAGATTAGTGGGAAGCCAAGTCCCTGTATATAAAGTGTCCAGGATTCAGAAGCTTGTGGCAGTTTAGCTTTGACGCCTGAAAGGCTAAAGCTGGGCCGACACTGAGGTTCCATTTTCAGACACGAGGAAAGAGACGGGACCACACAGATCCTGTACGAGATGAGAGCCCATGGACTTCTGCATGAGACGGGGTGTGTGTGTGTGTGTCTATCTACCCCATGTAAAAACATAAGATTAAAAACACTAACCAAATGTTAACAAGTACAGAGACTGTGCTGTACTGTACTGTGCCATGCTGTACTGTGCTGTACATGTATATGTATATAACAGTTCAGCATTGACGGCACTGACAATGGGACAGGACCTTCTTAAATGCACCGTGTAGAGTTTTGTAGTATGTTTGTGTTTGTGATTCTGTCTGACCGTGAGCGACGCCATGGACTTTAATCGAGTTTGAACTCTCTGATTTGCTGATCTGTGTCGGCAAATTCAACGGTTTTGTAAAGTCCTCCTCGATAACTACAGTTGTGATTTAGGGATACACAAATAATAAATGGATGTGAGGAACTGAGGACATGAATTGTAGAACAAAGTTGTTGTGCGACGCAAAAATCATGCACAGTGTTGGCCCAGCTTCAGCTTCCTCTCGGCGAGTGAGGATGACCTGTTCCTTCTCTGTCCACCCTCTCTCTAGTGACGGTGACGGGGCCAAAACTACTACCTGCCGAGAAGAGGAGCCAAGAGTCAGGGAAGAGCCAGGGACCCGTCCGAAAGGATCCGCTGCACGAGAAAGAATGGGACAAAACACCGGAACCACAGGATCTGGAGTTGGGCTGATGGAAGAGTCTGAAACCCGAGTCGCTCCTGTAGAACAGCCCATGGACTGGACCGACCCGACAGAAGAACCACGGCACTGAGTAGCTTTGGTCGAGAAGTCTTGGGCCTGAGTCGATCTCGTAGACCGGACTTCAGCCATGTTCAGTCTGCCGGAGGAGACCTGGACCTCTGTGTCTTTGGTAGACCGGACTTCAGCCTTGTTCAGTCTGCCAGAGGAGACCTGGACCTCTGTGTCTTTGGTAGACCGGACTTCAGTCTTGTTCAGTCTGCTGGAGGAGACCTGGACCTCTGTATCTTTTGTAGACCGGACTTGAGACTGGGTAGATCTCGTCGCAAAGCCAGGGGCCTCAGTAACTCTGCCAGAATGGTCTTGAGTCTGGGTGGATTTGCGAGCAGAACCCGGAGTCGGGGTAGAACTGGTGGAAGAGCCCAGGGACTGAATAGATTTGGACTCTGTAGACCCCAGGGTAGAGTTAGGGGCCAGTGTAAAGCCTAAAGAAACTGTTTGGGCCTCAGTAGATCTGGTCTGATTACGAGTGGTGACAGCAGCAGAAACCAGAGAGGCTGAGGACGGGAGGCCACGGGCGCCGCTGCAAGACCGTTTTTCGGACCTCTTTCCTGACGACGAGACCTCAAGATCCTCAGCGACCTGAAGATACACATGGTCTGCTCAGAGACAACACCTGAACCAGCAACACCTGAACCATCAACACCTGAACCATCAACACCTGGACCAGCAACACCTGAACCAGCAACACCTGAACCAGCAACACCTGAACCAGCAACACCTGAACCAGCAACACCTGAACCAGCAACACCTGAACCAGCAACACCTGAACCAGCAACACCTGAACCAGCAACACCTGGACCATCAACACCTGGACCATCAACACCTCAAGCAGCAATACCTGAACCAGCAACACCTGGACCAGCACACCTGAACCAGCAACACCTGAACCATCAACACCTGAACCAGTAACACCTGAACCAGCAACACCTGGACCATCAACACCTGGACCAGCACGAGACTACAGGACTCGAGGGAGAGCTCTCAGAGAATCTTTACCATTTCTGTTGTGAAGAACAAGACAATTCTAACTTTAGGACATCTTTGGAGTTTCCTTTATTTTTCTCTCTGGTCTCTCTCTCTGGTCTCTCTCTCTCTCTCGCTGCCAGAGTTCTATAATATGCAACAAGAAATTAGTTTGATTTTCTGACAAAAAAAAAAAAAATTAAATTGTGCAACAGTAATCATCAGAACCCTGAGGAGAACCAGCAGAGGACCAGCGGAGGACCAGCAGAGGACCAGTGGAGGACCAGCGGAGGACCAGCAGAGGACCAGTGGAGGACCAGTGGAGGACCAGCAGAGGACCAGTGGAGGACCATCAGAGGACCAGCAGAGGACAAGCGGAGGACAAGCGGAGGACAAGTGGAGGACAAGTGGAGGACCAGTGGAGGACCAGTGGAGGACCAGTGGAGGACCAGCAGAGGACCAGTAGAGGGACCAGGACACCAGTGAGGAGAGGGGTAGGCCTCTATTGAACGACTTAGATCACCGTGTGCACCAGAACAACATGTGTGAGTTCCGACCGTTCTCTGGGACAACCTCTGGGACCTGCGTGTGACATCAGCGCCCCCTGCTGGCCGCTCCGTAGGCTCCTGCTCACAAAGCACCAGAGAAAAACACGGCACTTGCTTGAGTCATTGAGTCATTGCGCCGTGATCGAGGTGTAGAGAGACCGGACCTTTTCTACTATGGCTGCCAGTAACCGTGGGAACCGGTGAGAGACAGAAGCATTTAGGAGCGCAGGGAAAAGCCATGTTGATTCAGAAATGTATTTTAATCTCACTCTCTGTGTGACTGCGGCTGTGTGACTGCGGCTGTGTGACTGCGGCTGCGTGACTGCGGCTGCGTGACTGCGGCTGCGTGACTGCAGCTGCGTGACTGACTGCGGCTGTCTGACTGCGGCTGTCTGACTGCGGCTGTCTGACTTACTGCTCCTGTGCTGCGCTTCTGTGAAGAGTTGCTCCTGTAGCTCCTCACGGTCTCCTTCTGTTCCAGCTCAAGCTCAAGGACTGGATCAGAGACTGGATCAGGGACTGGATCAGAGACTGTGGTCACCTCTGATAGAAAGAAATCACACATCACACATTATTGTGTGCAGTTACAGTGCCTTGCGAAAGTATTGAACCTTTCAACATTTCGCCACATTTCAGGCTTCAAACATGAAGATATAACATTTAAATTTTTTGTCATGAATCAACAACAAGTGGGACACAATCGTGAAGTGGAACAAAATTTATTGGATAATTTAAACTTTTTTAACAAATAAAAAAACTGAAAAGTGGGGCGGCAGCAGTCTTCAGCTCTTTCCACAGATTCTCGATTGGATTCAGGTCTGGACTTTGACTTGGCCATTCTAACACCTGGATACGTCTATTTGTGAACCATTCCATTGTAGATTTGGCTTTTTGTTTTGGATCATTGTCCTGTTGGAAGATAAATCTCCGTCCCAGTCTCGGGTCTTTTGCGGACTCCAACAGGTTTTCTTCCAGAATGGTCCTGTATTTGGCTCCATCCATCTTCCCATCAATTTTAGCCATCTTCCCTGTCCCTGCTGAAGAAAAGCAGGCCCAAACCATGATGCTGCCACCACCATGTTTGACAGTGGGGATGGTGTGTTCAGGGTGATGAGCTATGTTGCTTTTACGCCAAACATATCGTTTTGCATTGTGGCCAAAAAGTTCGATTTTGGTTTCATCTGACCAGAGCACCTTCTTCCACATGTTTGGTGTGTCTCCCAGGTGGCTTGTGGCAAACTTTAAACAAGACATTTTATGGATATCTTTGAGAAATAGATTTCTTCTTGCCACTCTTCCATAAAGGCCAGATTTGTGTAGTGCACGACTGATTGTTGTCCTATGGACAGACTCTCCCACCTCAGCTGTAGTTATCTGCAGTTCATCCAGAGTGATCATGGGCCTCTTGGCTACATCTCTGATCAGTCTTCTCCTTGTTTGAGATGTAAGTTTGGAGGGACGGCCGGGTCTTGGTAGATTTGCAGTGGTCTGATACTCCTTCCATTTCAATATAATTGCTTGTACAGTGCTCCTTGAGATGTTTAAAGCTTGGGAAATCTTTTTGTATCCAAATCTGGCTTTAGAATTCTACAGTATCTCGGACCTGCCTGGTGTGTTCCTTTGTCTTCATGGTTCTCTCTGCGCTTTAAACAGAACCCTGAGACTATCAAAGAGCAGGTGCATTTATACGGAGACTTGATTACACACAGGTGCATTCTATTTATCATCATCAGTCATTTAGGACAACATTAGATCATTCAAAGATCCTCACTGAACTTCTGGAGTGAGTTTGCTGCACTGAAAGTAAAGGGGCCGAATAATATTGCACGCCCCACTTCAGTTTTTTATTTGTTAAAAAAGTTAAAATTATCCAATAAATTCCGTTCCACTTCACGATTGTGTCCCACTTGTTGTTGATTCATGACAAAAAATTAAATTGTTATATCTTTATGTTTGAAGCCTGAAATGTGGCGAAATTTTTAAAGGTTCGAGGGGGCCGAATACTTTCGCAAGGCGCTGTATTTACATCCTGCAGAGTCTCTCCCTCTGGTCTCTCTCCCTCTGGTCTCACTGAGATGGTATGTTGGGCGTCTTTAGACCATTTCCTTCACATTCCCTCAGACTTTGGTTTGTCCTTCACACGAACAGCACAGATCAGATAGAGTTCACCGATAACACACTCCACATGTGCTCGGCTGTACACGGCTGTATGCAGCTGTACACGGCTGTATGCAGCTGTACACGGCTGTATGCAGCTGTACGCGGCTGTATGCAGCTGTACGCGGCTTTATGCAGCTGTACACAGCTGTACGCGGCTGTATGCAGCTGTACACGGCTGTATGCCACATCAGTTTTTGCTTTGCTCTGAGCGTCTTGAGGGAGTTTTCTTCAGGCAGAGCCGAGGACAACCATCTCCTCATAATGAGGACCTCGAGCTCCACAGGAACAGTTTCAATAAACTTTTATGTGAAAAAGTTATTCTTAAAAGGAGCTGATAAAACAAAGGTCACACACATCAAGAGGAAGTTACACCGATAGCACTTTTTACAAAACGATACGAGTACTTTCATTTGAGTACTTTAATATGAGTACTTTGTACTTTGAGTACTTGCCGATACCGATACCAGTCCATTGTGTAATCCCTGGGAAATCATAGAACTAATACAAGTGGAATCTAAAATGTTTTAAGAAAACGCTTTAACAACATTTTAGCAACAGTTTTAAATGTGCTTCTTTACCTCGTCCTGAAACTTAGAAAAGCACAGTCTGTAAAGTGGATATTTGTTTTTGTGACGCAGGTGCTATGTGACTTGGGTGCAGCTCTGATTGCCACCGACCCAGAAATGGATTAAGGGGAAGAAAATCGATGGATGGTGACGCAGGTGACTTCAAAAGCAAACATTCTACACACATGAAAGTGTCCGCTCAGGAAGTGATATTCTGCAAAGAGTCCAGTGGCAAAGGTGTCTCTGTGTGTGATGGTGTCTCTGTGTGTGATGGTGTCTCTGTGTGTGATGGTGTCTCTGTGTGTGATGGTGTGTCTGTGTGTGATGGTGTGTCTGTGTGTGATGGTGTGTCTGTGTGATGGTGTCTCTGTGTGTGATGGTGTCTCTGTGTGTGATGGTGTCTCTGTGTGTGATGGTGTCTCTGTGTGTGATGGTGTCTCTGTGTGTGATGGTGTGTCTGTGTGTGATGGTGTGTCTGTGTGTGATGGTGTGTCTGTGTGTGATGGTGTGTCTGTGTGTGATGGTGTGTCTGTGTGTGATGGTGTGTCTGTGTGTGATGGTGTGTCTGTGTGATGGTGTGTCTGTGTGTGACTTCTCATACTCTGGGCTCTCTCTGGGCTCTCTCTAGGCTCTCTCTGGGCTCTCTCTGGGCTCTCTCTGGGCTCTCTCTGGGCTCTCTCTGGGCTCTCTCTGGGCTCTCTCTGGGCTCTCTCTGGGCTCTCTCTGGGCTCTCTCTGGGCTCTCTCTGGGCTCTCTCTGGGCTCACCGTACAGTTCCTGGTTCTTCTCAGTCTCTGGTGTCTTCTCTCTGAGCAGCTGCAGTTTCCTCTCGTACAGTTTCCGTGTGGACGCTGCAGGAAAACACTTTGGTTAGTTCATCCAGTCCAACAAACACTTACAACCTGCTGCACGTGATCCACATGCACGTGATCTGCGTGCACTTGAGCCACATGCACGTGATCCAGTCCGAGGTCTCAGGCCGACTTCTGTCCTGGACCCTTAAGCCCCGTGACTCGCGCTCAGACTCTCAGAGTAGAGTAGAGTAGAGCCATAGACTGTATATATTAACGGACAGAGTCACGCCTATCTCCGCCGTTCTAAATAATGGGCCAAAAATTGTGCTCTACTGGAGCTATCCAAAATGGCCGCGAGTGGTCCCGCCCACAAGAAAATTGTGAAAAAACTCATCTGCGCATGCGTCAGCCGGCGAGAGCTCCATTCATTTAAACGAGAGACTTCTAAATTCCACAGCAACTAAACTAGACTGGTCCCGAACACTCCCCTCAGCATTGACACACATGTGGAACGGAGCTTTGGGCCAAGAGCCAACTTTTGGTCCATCCTGTAAAGACATTTTCCAGAGGTCTGCCAATGCTATATGTTAGCATTGGCTAATTCTTATTCTGGGTCCACCCCCACAGGCCCGGGGTGGTATTGCAGCATGTCAGCACACGTCATTTTGGACACTTTTGAGCTGGGACCCGCCCCCACTGGGTAGGGTAGAGTAAAGTAGGGCTGCTGGAAACAGGGCTATAGTCACCACATGTCTCCCTGGATGGCTGAGTGTTCCTGTGTTTGTGCGTGTGTCTCACCCACGATGGGCCCTGCGTGGACCCCGAGTCCTCGCAGCTGGTCCCTCAGAGCTTCATCCGTCAGGAGAGAAACCTCCATTTTCTGAGGGACAAACACAGGATCATGTCTCTCTCTCTCTCCTGATATAAAGTGTACTCTCTCCTCACTGATATAAGGCAAGTTTATTTGTATAGCACAATTCATACACAAGGCAACTCAAAGTGCTGAACAAAACAAGAAAGCATTAAAATCATAAATAATCACAGAACATTAAAAAGAAAGATAAAAATATAAAATCCCTCAGTTGTATGCACAGCTAAACAGAACTGTTTTTAACCTGGTTTTAAACATTGTCAGAGGAGGCCTGTCTCACATCTTCAGGAAGATTGTTCCAGATTTTAGCAGCATGAATCTGAAAACCAGCCTCCCCATGGGTAGTCCTGACTCTGGGCACTAACAGGAGTCCAGTCCCTGTGCTCCTCAGAGTCCGGGCTGGTTCATATGGGACTAACATGTCACTAATATATTTTGGTGCGAGGCCATGGAGAGACTTGTACACAAGCAGAGCTGTTTTAAAGTCTGTTCTCTGAGCCACAGGAAGCCAGTGCAGAGACCTGAGAACTGGACTAATGTGGTCGTACTTCCTGGTTCTAGTCAGGACTCAAGCTGCTGCATTTTGAATGTACTGCAGTTGTTTTACAGCCTGTTTGGACAGACCTGTGAGCAGGCCATTGCAGTAGTCTAACCTACTGGAGACAAATGCATGGATAAGAATCTCCAAGTCTGCTTTAGACACTATGTTTTTGATCCTGGCAATGTTTTTTAGGTGGTAGAAAGCTGCTGATGTTACTGATTTAATGTGGCTATTAAAATTTAAGTCTGAGTCCAGTATTACCCCTAGATATCTGACCTTGTTTGAAGGTTTTAGGGAGAGAGACTGAAGGTGACAGATGACGCTCTCTCTTTGTTTCTGGGGACCAAAGACAATCATTTCAGTTTTGTCTGCGTTTAGCTGAAGGAAGTTGTTTTCCATCCACTCACTGATCTGTTGGATACAGTGAAGGAGTGAGTCCACTGGTCCATGTTCTCCTGCAGTCAGTTAGACATAGATCTGAGTGTCGTCTGCATAGTTGTGATAGGACACTTTGTTTCTGCGTATTAACTGACCTAACGGCAGCATGTAGAGATTGAACAAAAGAGGTCCCAGGATCGACCCTTGTGGTACTCCACAGGTCAGGGCCATATGATCTGAGACACAGTTTCCAATCTCCACAAAGTACTTCCTGTCCTCAAGGTAAGACCTAAACCAACTTAGGGCGGTGCCAGTGACGCCAACCCAGTCCTCTAGTCTCTGTAAGAGGATCTCATGGTCGACGGTGTCAAAGGCAGCACTTAGATATAACAAGATTAAGATTGAGACTTGGCCTGCGTCAGTGTTCAGCCAGATATCGTTTGTAGCCTTGACGAGAGCAGTCTCAGTGCTGTGGTGGGGTCTAAAGCCGGACTGAAACATATCAAATGAATTGTTGATTATAAGAAATCTAGTAAGCTGTAGGTAGACAACTTTTTCAAGGACTTTCCCCATAAATGGCAGATTTGAGATGGGACGATAGTTGTTAAGTACCGTAGCATCCAGACTGCTCTTTTTTAGAAGGGGCCTGATGACTGCCGTTTTCAGGGCCTTTGGGAATATTCCAGAATGAAGGGACATGTTTACTATCTGTGAAGGTAACAGACTGCTCAGAACAGACTTCAGAAATCTAGTGGGTAGTACATCCAGGCTGCATGTGGAGGAGCTCAAACTGGAAATTATCTCTTGGACCTTTTTATCATCTACAGGTGCAAAGTGAGTTAGCTCAAAGAGCCTTTCTGGCTGTTGGATTGTTATCTGTGGATTGGAGACAATGGCGTTTTTGATGCCTTGAACCTTGTCATTGAAAAAATGTGCAAACTCATTACATTTACGTTTGGAAGTAAGCTCTAATGGAAGCTGAACAGGGGGGTTTGTTAATCTATTAACTGTTGAAAACAGAACACGCAGATTGTTACTGCAGCCTTCAATCATTTCAGAAAAATACCTTTCTCTCATACTACGTAGCACCCGGTTAAACTTGCACAACTTATCTTTGAAGATCTCGTAATCAACCTGGAGGTTGGACTTAAAATATTTTTCACTATTTTAACCTTCACAGGGGCAACGGTATCCAGAACATTCAAAACACTAGAGGTGACAGAGTTAAACAGTTCATCTAAAGTAGAATACGATGCATTTTCAAAGTTTATCATTCCCATAAATAGTTCACTCGTATTTTCATTTATGTGTCTTCTTCGAACAGTTGTAGAGTCCACTGGTGGTTTGTTAGTGAAACACATGTCAAAAAATACACAGAAATTATCCGAAAGCGCAACATTGACCACGTTTACATTTGAAATATTCACCCCCTTAGTAACTAACAGGTCTAGAGTGTGCCCTCTGCTGTGGGTGGGGCCACTCACGTGCTGAGTGAGACCAAAGGTATCAAGTAAAGAACTCAGCTCTTTTGCATTTCTGTCATTAACATTATCCACATGAATATTAAAATCAAAGTAAAAAAAAAAAAATCAAAGTCTGTGCATACAACTGAAAGCAACTCGGTAAAATTATCAATAAAACTGTGACATGACTGCGGTGGCTTGTATAGGACTATGAAGAGTATTGGAGGAGATTGTTTTGGTTGTATTTTAAAAAGACACATTTTCAAATGACGAAAACTTCCCAAGAGACATTCTATAGGACACAAAGTGGTCTCTGAAAATGGCAGCTAAGCCACCCCCATTTTTGTTTTCCCGTATTTCAGATTCAAATTTGAAATTTGGTGGTGATGCTTCTATTAAAACTGCATTTCCTGTATGGCACAGGTGGCTTCATGATAGGGCCCCAGCCGGGTCTCTTCTCTACCTAGACTGCCAGTGGTTGCGAAGCAGAGACCCTGTGCATCCTAGGGAGAGGAGGGAGGAGGATGGGTGTTAGGGGAGGCAGGGGAGGGGCAGGAGAGACCGGTGGATTTTGCGGGTGAATTTGAGTTAGAATTTGAGGGACGGGTGGATTTTGTAGGAGAATTTGAGTTGGACGCCCTAGGTGGCTTTGGAGGTACGTATGGGGAGTAGTTATGAATGTTAGATAGGACTCTTGATCTGGCTACAGTGGGTGTGAGAGGAATAGTCTTCATCGCCGATCTTATCATGCCTGCAGAGTGTTCCGGTAAATCCAATAGTGATGGAAAATACAGGGAAAGGTCGTCCTCATGTTCCTTAGATGGAGTGGATGTGGCGGGGGGGACCCAAACTGGGTCCATGGAAGGTGATGGAGTCTTTGGTGGAGACGGAGGTGGTTGAGAGGCCCCCAGTACAGGCTTGTCTGTAGCCTGGAGCATTGGGGGGGGTGCTTCACGGGAGCTGTAGGTGGGGAAGGTGCTGCTGAAGATGATGCAGCAGCCACAGCTGGTGCTGGTGGTGCTGATGCTAAAGGCGCTGATGACGCTGTGGCAGCCACTCCTGCTGCTGGTGCTGTATCCGCTGCTGCTGATGATGCTGGTGGACGTGTTGAGTTCTTTTGAGGCGGTGGAGGTGCCGAGACCTCTGGGTTCCATGGAGAGGGTCTCGCTCTTTGCATCCTCCTCTCTTTCAACGGCTGAACGCGCTGCGCAGGCTCAGGTCTTAAGGCAGATGCAAAGTTATCCATCAACACTTTTACTCCGTATTTGTTCAGATGTGGGACTTTCCCTTCAAAAAGCTCGAGCCTATTCCAGAACAGATTAAAGTTTTCAATGAATCCAAGTCCTCTGCATGAACACTCAATGTGTCGAAATTTATTTAACTGGTACAGACGGCTAAACTTCGATTTTTCCATCTGCATTTGGAAGGGGTCCACTGATTAACACACCTCGGGTTTGAGATAAAAAATTTGGCACCAGAGTTCTTATCTCAGACACTTTGGCCGAGTGCACAGAATAAGTCTGTACAAAGTTCAAAGATACATTCCGAATGGCAGAATCTCCAAGCAGCAAACGCTGTGGCCTTGACGGAGGGGGAGACGGTGGCTTTGCTTCTTCAAACAGAGCAGCATAACGATTTGAAGTCTTCAAAACATTTTGTGGCAGAATTCCACTCCCATTGTCATTCTTAGCTTTGTCAACTTTGGGTTTAGCGCCGCATGTATTCCAATAGTTCTCTTTGTTGATTTTGGGAAAAGTAATTAGGTCATCATAACTTACATTTCCAGTCTGTCCATTCATTCCATTTTCACTCATTGGAAGAGTCGGGTTAAGTCCCATTTCTGTTTCCAAAATATCCATCAGTTTTTGAAGAAATTTGAGCTGATTTTCCAGAGTGCAGCATCCATCGCAGATATTTCTTCGTTTCTTCCGTCCGGACATGATTAATGTTGACAAATTTCACAAAGCTGAAGTCTGCAAAATGAGTAATCCGTGTTTTGTAGAATAAAAATGTAAATAAAGCGATTAAAAGAGATTACAAAGCAAAGCAAGCAGCGTAGCAGCAAGGAACACGTCTACACTCTCCTCGCTGATATAAAGTGTACTTTCTCCTCACTGATATAAAGTGTACACACAGGTACACACACACACACAGGTGCAAACACAAACACACAGGCGCACACACACACAAACACACACACAGGCGCAAACACACAGGCGCACGCACACACAGGCGCACACACACACAGGTGCACGCACACACAGGCGCACACACACACACACACACAGGTGCAAACACAAACACAGGCGCACACACACAGGTGCAAACACAAACACAGGCGCACACACAGGTGCAAACACACACAGGCGCCAGCACGTCCCACACACCTGCAGCCTCCGGAACAGCCTGGAGCAATTAAAGCTGGGATACCAAACGTTTGCGTGTGAAAAACATGTTATTTTGTGCAAACAAGTGAAGAAAAAACCCACGGAGTCACTACTTGACTCTTTGGGCCTCTGTCACTTTCTGTCTGGAAACGCTGATCTAAATATGGAACAGAAGCTAAAAGTACAGGAGAGAGAGACCAGAGAGAGAGACCAGAGAGGGAGAGGGAGAGTCAGCAGTTTTGACCGTGTCCCAAACTCAGCCTAAACTGGACCTGCATCATGTCAGCGGCGGGAGTATGCGCTCACCGGAGCCAAGCGTCCAGAGGAGTGGCTCCTGTACACCACGGGAGGCTCCTGCTCCTCGTCGCTGGAGAAAGTGTCCACACCGGGGCCATGGCTCACGGTCTTCACGTACAGCTGCAAGAGCACGTCCCGAGGAGGATTTCCTCCGGGTGCGTCGGCTCTGGTGAGCAGCGTGGGGTCGTCCATCAGCACCGGCATGACAGCAGGGGAGTCCCGGGGAGAGGTCCCAGAGAGAGGTTTGAGTCCCGGGGAGAGGTCCTAGAGAGGCGTGAGTCCCAGAGATAGTACCCAGCGAGAGGCGTATTGTCCCGGGGAGTGTACCCAGGGAGAGGCGTGAGTCCCGGGGAGAGAAGGTGTGGGAGGAGGCGGGAAGCGACGAGGTGTGACAACAGCGCCGCCTGCTGGTCTCCAAAGCACTCAGTGATGCTGGATCCCTAACTTTTGAGTTTCACAATTAAGTTTTTCCGATATAAAAAGTAAAATGTGTCGTTTATTGCATCAGGATACATGTTTTTTTTATCTTTTACATTCTAGTTTGAAAGAGCCGAGTCTCCGAGCCCCGTTTCCACCAGCCCTACTCTGCTCTATTCCATTATGCTTTAGTATCTGGAACCTATTCCCACAACAAACCAGTATCCAGAGAAATTCCTTGGTAACCATGGCTTCCAGCAGCACTCTGGCCAATCACTGTCAGTAAGAACATTACCAGCTTGGCCTGGATACAACCAGGGCCAAAAGGGACTACAGTAGAGTAACTTTTTGGTCATTTCAAAGTTAGGGACCCTAGCTTATGTTGCATCCACTATTTGGCTTCTCTGGTCACGATTGTTAAGAGCATTCTCTTTGTCTGAATGGAAAATGTTGAATGTAGTGGTTCTTCGGGCACCCCCTCTGTTCAGTTTAATGGAGGCCAGACTGAAACACACTTATAGACTGTAGCTTTACACATGCATCTAAACCATGCGCTGCGTTTCATGGACTGGACAAGAGAACCAAAGTCAGTCACTTCTGGCTAAGAAGCTATAGTGCTAACCACTCAGCCACTGTGCCGCTACCATGGCAACACACTGCATCAATGTGAAGCCTAATGCCTCAAGAAAACAACCATGACACATACTGAAACCATAGACTGTATATATTAACGGACAGAGTCACGCCTATCTCCGCCGTTCTAACTAATGGGCCAAAAAATGTGCTCTACTGGAGCTATCCAAAATGGCCGCGAGTGGTCCCGCCCACAAGAAAATTGTGAAAAAAAACGCAAACATTTACAGCAAGTAAACTAGAGTGGACCAAAACACTCCCCTCAGCATTGACACACATGTAGAACGGAGCTTTGGGCCAAGAGCCAGCTTTTGGACCATCCTGTAAAGACGTTTTCGAGAGGTCTGCCAATGCTACATGTTAGCATTGGCTAATTCTTCTTCTGGGTCCACCCCCATCGGCCCGGGGTGGTATTGCAGCATGTCAGCGCACGTCATTTTGGCCACTTTTTAGCTGGAACCCGCCCCCACTGATTGAAACATGTACATGTCCAGTGTTAGCAGTAGCATGATCTGTACTAATGCTAATGTAAAACATTGGTGTTGGTGTCTGCTCTGGTCGCACATGACGAGGTGGTAACAGGGCTTTTTCTGCAGAAGAAGAAAACAGGAAGTGTGACGAGTCAGGAGCAGGAAGTGGAGGAATGGACAAACGCGTCACTCCCAACTTTATTAAATCCATGAACAAAACAGACAAAAGTCCAAAACCGTCGGAACAAACCGAGTGAAAGTCATTTCTTTACGACAAACGAAAGGTTCGTCCTCGACATGTTTGCATCAGAGCCAAGAGAGTCGTCCTCCCTCCGAGTGCAACCTCTGTCCCCTCTGTCCCACTCAGACATAAATCAACTGTAGAATCAAGTCTCGGAGGCCCCGCAGGTCCCGGTCCTGCTTCAGGCTTTGACCTCTGGTGGAGCGGGGTAGATCTGCTCGCTGTTGTCCACGCCCAGGTCCTCTGTGGAGAGAACAGAGTTTAGAGGAAAAACTCTGAATAAAGTCTAGAAAACATGAACTGGTTTGGACTGAAGACCCGCCACAGTCACTGAGGCTGAAAACAGTGTCTTCTGCATTTGACCCGGCCTCTGTCTGGGGCCTCTGTCTGGGGCCTCTGTCTGGGGCCTCTGTCTGGGGTTGAGGTGCTGAGTCTACAGGAGCCTTGATCTTTCAGTGGGGCTTCAGGCAAAGTGGGGTTAAGTGTCTTGCCCAAGGACAGAACGACAAATAATTATTATCTGAGTTAGGTAATAATTTAACTATAACACATTTTAATCCACTGTTTGGATCAAACTACACAGAGCGGTTCTTAAAAACACCTGGAACTAAATCCTCTCCAATATTCGCCCGAAGGCTTGAGAATCACAGCTGCAAGAGACTCGTGACACCACTTTAGTCTGAACGTTACAGATTTGCATATTCTGCTCTTCATAAAACAGTCAACACTACGTTTAAAGCTGGGGAACCTAACTTTCACACCACAACAATGGAACTGTAGTTTTCATGTTTGGCTTTGGCCTCGTCTTTAGATCTGCTTTTTCAGAAAGTGACAAAGAGAGACCGCCCTCACTCAGCCAATCAGCTCTCAGCCCAAAGAGTCCAAAAGTGACTCACAGGGCTCCTTCTTACTAGTGCACTTACTAATATCAGATTTACAGCATGCTGTGGTCTGATTTGGGCCAAATGTGTATTTCAACATATTTATGTACAGCCCTAAACCACAACAGAAGTGCTCATGGATGAAGTTTGGCTGCAACTCAATCTTCCTCCTATTGATCCAACACTAGTACTCCCAGAATTCTGAAACTAGTTGAACTCCCAGAGTCGTCATTTTGACTGCTCCCATTCAAACCAGTGGTTTCTCACCATTCTTTAAAAGAAAGTCATTTATAAAGTTTCTACCTTTACTCACTCTATAACAAATACAGCAAGAAAAAGGCTAATGCTAACTTCTGACAGTAAACAGTGTGTTGCTATGGTAACTAGCACTTGATATTGAGTTGAAAAGGGAAAACTCCACACCTTTCAAAAGTAAAGTAAATAAACTACATTAAGAAACAGAAAAATGTATAAAGTTATGAAGACCAAGAATAAACATGAGATGCAAATTGCATTTCCAAAACCATCCAGATAACCCATGTAAGGACACTGGTAAATGTTACAATCAGTCTCTTCTGCATTACGGCTAACTCCGGGTGATGTCACACTCCGGGTGATGTCACACAGTCTCTGCTCTTCAGTGTGCGCCTCCACAGACTCACCCGGCAGCACACACTTCCACAGCCCGTAGGTCTTGCCCACGGCCGTCTGCCACAGCCTCAGCGTCCCGTCCTCTGAGCCGCTGGCGTACAGCTCCCCGTCCGGACTGAAGCGGACGCAGTGCACCGGCCCGAAGTGACCTTTGTACGACTCTAGGGGGCAGCAAAGGAAAGCAAGGGGAGTGAGTGAGGTAAGAGAGAGAGCAGAGAGAGGAGAGAGGAGAGGAGAGAGAAGAGAGAGCAGAGGTTCTCACCGAGCTCCTCCTTGGTGCTGTAGTCAAACTTGTAGAGCTTGAAGTCCTCTCCTCCGGCCACAAAGAAGTCCTTCTCTGGGTGCAGCGAGGCCGAGTTGATGGGGGCTGGAGCCTCCACACTTTTGATGAGCTCCAGGCTGAAAGACAGCAGTGCTTTTACACATAGTATATATCTATGATGACACATGCCCTGTAAGTGTAAGTGTAAGTGTAAGTGTAAGTGTAAGTGTAAGTGTGTGTGTGTGTGTGTGTGTGTGTGTGTGCAGTACCTGAGTGTGTGTGTGTGTGTGTGTGTGTGTGCAGTACCTGTGTGTGTGTGCAGTACCTGAGTGTATGTGTGTGCAGTACCTGAGTGTATGTGTGTGCAGTACCTGAGTGTATGTGTGTGCAGTACCTGAGTGTATGTGTGTGCAGTACCTGAGTGTATGTGTGTGCAGTACCTGAGTGTATGTGTGTGCAGTACCTGAGTGTATGTGTGTGCAGTACCTGAGTGTATGTGTGTGCAGTACCTGAGTGTATGTGTGTGCAGTACCTGAGTGTATGTGTGTGCAGTACCTGAGTGTATGTGTGTGCAGTACCCGAGTGTATGTGTGTGCAGTACCCGAGTGTATGTGTGTGCAGTACCCGAGTGTGTGTGTGTGCAGTACCTGAGTGTGTGTGTGCAGTACCTGAGTGTGTGTGTGCAGTACCTGAGTGTGTGTGTGCAGTACCTGAGTGTATGTGTGTGCAGTACCTGAGTGTATGTGTGTGCAGTACCCAAGTGTGTGTGTGCAGTACCTGTGTGTGTGCAGAGTAGGGATGTACCGAATACAGGTTCGGATTCGGCCGAATATTGGCTTTTTTGACGGGGTTCGGTTTCTGGCCGAACCTTAGAATTTTTCCCCACCGAACCCGAACCCTGCACTTACACTATGCGCGCTGTGGCTGTTGGATTCGTCACAGAAATCAGATTCGTTCGGAAGTGTAAATAAACATGCACTTTAGCTGAGGTTTATATCCTCTTGCTCTCTGTTCCTCTTCGGGTGCGCTGAGGTCTCTTCCTGGTCATGTGATTGCCGCGGTCCAATTAGCTCTAGTCATATGCCGGCGCGAGGGGATGTTATGATTCTTGTTTTCACCTGTAATGCGGTTCTGATAGATCATAAACTAACTGCCTAATCACCAACTTTATGGAGCCGATTACCAGTGCCAGGTACTTGTCATCTCAGCTGCGTATGACTGTAGAAGCAGAGTTGGTAAGTCCATGTTTAGGCAACTAGCCTCTTAGCATTAGCTTCTCTCAACTTGTCTATACAAGTTTGGCAAATTTCTCAAATGTCCATATATTTAATGTTTTGACCTGAACCAGTGGAAGCTATTTATGCATGTATGGTGCTTTAGCTCTTATTTTTACATGACATGCACAGTAATATATGTACTTTATCTCTGAAGTTTTACACTGCTGTGAACTGAATGTATTTGTGTTTAATGATAAGCGAGATTATTATAAATGTTATAATAATAGATTCTGGTCGAGCTACATGTCCAATTTGCAATGCCGATTTGTCTCGTGGTGGTAAGGACCCTAAAAAGTACACAACACTGCCGCTGTTAAAACATTTGCTTATGAAACATCAATGGACTGAGGATGGAATAGGATTCGGTATTCGGGTTCGGATTCGGCAGAATCTTAACCAGTAGATTCGGTATTCGGCCGAACCCCAAAAGCCTGGATTCGGTACATCCCTAGTGCAGAGTACCTGTGTGTGTGCGCAGTACCTGAGTGTGTGTGTGCAGTACCTGAGTGTGTGTATGCAGTACCTGAGTGTGTGTGTGTGTATGCAGTACCTGAGAGCATTGTAGAAGGCGATGGTCTTCCCGTAGGTGATGACCACGACCTCTCCATCCGCCATGTACTCCATACTGCTGACAGACGTGTCGAAGTTCAGAGTCTTCACCTCCTCCATGGAGCCGCGATCCCACAACCTGCACACAGCACAACAGGCTCTGAATCAGGGCTGTTCCAGGAAGGGCTGGTGCGGCTGCAGTTCCAACTTTAGCAGGAGCACACACACTTCAGTTCATCAGAGCTGTTATCACTCTAAACAAAGCACTTTAATGATCTTGGACTGAAACTGTGACAATTATTTCCTGCACTTTTTAGCTTGTTTTATTTATGTACAAAAGTCCCCAGTGTGCACAGGACAAGTATTCCAATGTGGTTTTACTGCAAATGGCAAATGAACTGAATCTGTATCCAGACTGTGTGTGACATCACTGACCGGACTGTTTTGTCCTCTGAGGCGGACAGGATCTGCCGGTCCCCGTTGCACCACAGAGCCTTCTTGATGGCGGAGGTGTGTCCTGTGATCTCCTGAGGATCTGAACAGACGAAGAAGTGAGTGACCAACCAACACGTGACATCACATTCTCTGATTATTGTTTTTACATTGACAATAATAACTTCTTTGTTACTTCACAGATGCGTTTGCTGTCGTTAAAGGGCCACTTTAGTGAACCAGGTTTGTCCTACTTAGTTAAACTGTTAAGACTGAATTCTGGCTCTTCTAACTTCTGAACAGAGAGACAGACTCACAGACACACACACACATATAGAGACAGACAGAAAGACACATACACAGAGAGAAAGAGACACACACATACAGACACACACACACACACACACACAGACACATACACAGAGAGAAAGAGACACACACAATGTAAAATATTATTACATACCGGAATCTGGACTGTTCAGGTCGTACATGCGCAGCAGCTTATCGTTTCCTCCCGTGAGAAGACACGCGCTGTCCTACACACACACACATACACACAAATACAAACACACAGAGACACAAAAAGAAAACCGACTCATCACTAAAGCACATTAATTGCTCATCAACGCATGTCGGCAGAGAGAGACAGAGACAGAGACAGAGACTGCTGGTGTGAGGAGCGTGGAGCTGACCTGGGTGAAGCTGACCGTCTTGACGATGTGTTTGTGGGCCAACGTCAGCACCTCGTCCCCGCTCACTGCGTCCCACACTTTCCTGCAGGAGAATCAGAACAGACTGAGAACTGGAACCACAACATGAAAGGAAAAGGAAGAGGCGCAGCAAGTTTACTCAAGTCTATATCACATATATCACTATATTTATATATAAATATATCTGAACTCATGGCTTCATTCAACGCAAGTGCACACTTTTTCAAAGTTTTTAATCTGAAAATACTTTAGCTGGTTGGAAATACTGCTGGCGGTCTGGGACGTCCCGAGTAGGGATGTAAAAAATTATGAATTTTCATGACCGACCACCGAGCCTCATTAACCGGTTGAAACCGGTTAACCGCGTAGTTTTAAATATTCCACGTTCTTTGAAATAACAGCCATTTCGAGCCTCATACTTCTCATAAGTGCAGCTCTGCGTTCTACTGGATCAGAACCAAGACAGCGGCGCCAAAACCCACAACAGCTTTGGCACCTTTGCGCACAGAGAACTGCTTTTTTAAGCTTCTCGTTCTTCTGTGTTGCGGGTTAAAGCTGCACTAACTGACTTTGGGATTTTGAAGCCGCGGACCCGCTGGCCTCTCTCTTTCTGCTCCCCTCCCCGCACCCACGAAGCTATCGCCCCCCACACACACACACTGTTGGGACGGAGCTAGTGTCTCCCAATATGGATAATACATGGATATGGATTTGCACGTGGATGGCGTGACCATAAAACGATAGAACCGGGAAGCGCGGAGGAACGGGACTTTCTTTTGGATGGCTGTTTCGCTAAGTAAGCAGTAACCGGTGATGAAGACATGAAGCTTCAGGTTAGCTCCTCGGCTTGTTGTGCTAACTCAGCTGTCTGTGCTAACGGACCTGTAGATTTCTCACGAAAGTGGGGGCTAGTGGTCCGCTGTGATTGGTCACAATCTACGACCCGAAACGCATTCTCTTCCTTGTTTCATCAAAACTCGATCTAAAATATAATGTCACGCCAGCACAAATCTGCGCTAATTATTCTTCAAAAGGACGTATATCCCAATGCACTACATGGACATGGATAGCATTTTCGTAATGAATACGAAAATAAAGTCAGTTAGTGCAGCTTTAAAGCTCTTTAGCAGCAAACGACGGCTCGTTCACATGGTCAAAGCAGCGAGTGACGAGCCGCGTCTCGCAGGTCTCCGCTAAAGTTTAAATACAGTGATGTGTGTGGAGCTGATCTAATGACAAGGACCATAAGAACAAAAGTGTTCCTATGTGGTTTGACTGAAGCCGCGTATTTGGGCAACGTGACACAGAGGAGCGTGACAGACCGGTATGTGTGTATATGTATGTGTGTGTATGCTCCAATGTAGTTGTAACCCGCACAAGAGTATGGATGATGCGTGTAGATGTTACGTATGAATGGAACGGGGAAAAAGTGCGCAAGTGTGAAATGGCACTTGTGTGTCTGTGTGTGCGTGTGTGCGTGCGTGCGTGCATGTGTGTGTGTGTGTGTGCGTGAATGTGTGCGTGCGCCGCATGCAGCATGAAAGTCGGCTCGGAGTTTAATACATTGGCGCACACAGCTAAAGACAGACCCGCTCGTCACATCGTGCAAATAGAGTTTAAAACAGCATTATTACGAGACCTCCCCTCTCCCCCTTTTCTTTTTTTAACCGACAGCTTTGACCGGTTAACGCTGTGACGGTCAACCACCGGTTAACCGGTCACCGATTTACATCCCTAGTCCCGAGTGCAAGGAAAACACTCACGCGGTGAAGTCTGCGGCGGCGGTTGCTGCTTTGGTGGCGTCTGTGTTCAGGGTGGCCCCCCAGACTGCGCCTTTGTGACCCAGAAATGTCCCGATCCAGTCCCCTGTGTCTCCCTGGCGCAACATGGGCTTTCCATCTGCCGACCAAACACAACAGTACACGATAAGAATAACAAACAGCAGGACTCATTGTACAAGGCCATGGGCAGTGCTACTATTATAATAACATATAGCACTTTTTTAAACTCAAAGACACTTCAAATGTCATTATTCTTTCACTTCATCACACGGCTGCTCTACGTACTGGTGCTGCTTTGACTGCCACCCCCCCAACCCAGAAATGGATTAACGGGAAGAAGATGGAGCGATGATGATAAATTACGCTGCCCTGGGGCAGGGCAGCCCTGGGGCACACTGACAGGAGCGAGGCAACAAGTAACTATGGGCCATTGCCTCCTCCAACCACCACCAACCATTCACCAGACTCATTCTAATTGGGGGAAATGCCTTGCCTAAGGACACAACGACAGTTTGGCACTTTACAGCCGCCCCACTCAGGCACCTGGTGTTCCCAGAGGTCTCCAATCACAGCACTAACAATAACACATAATACATAAGATACATCCCAGCAGTATTCGGATTACTGGGAGCTCTTAGTCCCAGGTGTCCGTAAGTTCCCCGCAGATGTCCACCTGAGTCTCCCACAGACCCGGCTGAGTCTCCCACAGACCCGGCTGAGTCTCACACAGACCCGGCTGAGTCTCACACAGACCCGGCTGAGTCTCCCACAGACCCGGCTGAGTCTCACACAGACCCGGAGCAGTCGCACACAGACCCGGCTGAGTCTCACACAGACCGGGCTGAGTCTCCCACAGACCGGGCTGAGTCGCACACAGACCGGGCTGAGTCGCACACAGACACCGGGGCTCTGCTGCCTGAACCCCAGGTCTCTGCTGCCTGAACCCCGGGTCTCTGCTGCCTGAACCCCGGGTCTCTGCTGCCTGAACCCCGGGTCTCTGCTGCCTGAACCCCGGGTCTCTGCTGCCTGAACCCCGGGGCTCCACTCACCCTTGCAGGCGCTGATGAGGAAGTATCCGTGGGCAGTGATCCCACTGAAGGCCAGGTCCACCACAGGCCGGGTGTGCCCTGAGCAGGTCAGCGGGGTCTGTCTCATCGCCATGGCCGCGGGTGAGAAGGCACAGGTACCGAGGCTAACGGGTCCCGGAGCTAGCTGCTAACTGCTAACACTGCTAACTGCTAACACCGTGCTCGGGCTCTGCTTAGACCGGTGTCGGGTTGTTGTTTTCCGCAGAGATGTCCGGTGTGAACCATGGAAGTACAGGACTATGTGAGGACGGCTGACGTGATTTTAGCTACCACATAGTAACTAGCTAGCACCGTGACAGACCATGAAGCAGACAGACGCACGTGGAGGCGGACCGTGTGACGTCAGCAGCAGACTCCCTTCACAATAAAAGAGTAGTGTATTTGGAATTATTTATATATGCCCCCGCGACCTGGCAACGGATAAAGCGGAAGAAATCGAATGGGTGTATAATATATTTTGCTAAAGTTAGAGATTTTATTTAATCTTACTGTTATTCTTCACTTATCTTGTGCTGTGTGCTGCTCATTCCTACTGTTCAGTAACTGGGGATGCAACACTGACATTTCTCCACTGTGGAACATATAAAAGATCTGTTATGAAGAAAATGGCCAAAAGATGGAGGTGTGGGGTCGTGTCCAGCAGAAGATTTGTTTTATTGAGGTTAAAACAACCAAAGATTTTCAGTGTAGGGCTTTGTAGAAGATAAAACAGACACTCCAGAGTCTGCCACGGCACCGTCGGCCTCAGATAATAAAACATGAGTCAGGTTTAACCAAACTTGCGTGAAAGTGTCATCAAAGTTCCAAACTTATATTATCTTCATTGAAATTTGGTTTAGAAATATAATTGTTTGGTTAACTGAACGTTAAAGGCTTATTTTATAGTTTTTGGGAATGGAACGAGTATAACATCACTGAAAACCTACCAAGGCTCGGCTGCCTGCCCAAACTCTCAGTGTTCTTTCACTGAAAGACCACCACAAAGCAACAGACGTGTATACATGTGTCAGGGATGAAGCAGACAGAGACGGATCGTGGTGCGCCAAACTCTGGAAGTTTATTTAAGTTTCTCTCAAGTTCCAGTTGTTTACTTTGTTTCTTTCCCTCAGACAGAATAAAGGCAGTACACAGTTTATATAGTCATTGTCACGTCACACATCGAAAGACGTACGTGTCACAAAGAGACAGTCACATCATAGTCAAAATAATCAGAGTCCTTGTACAGTCCTGCACGTAGGCCATATTGCTATCTAATACTAACACATGATAGATAATTATAATAAATGTATGACTGATAACACAGTATTAAAGCCTTTAAAATGTCCTAATGAGGCTGAGAGCTCACATCACGATGAACTCCTCCTGACTGTTTACTCTCTGCTGTTCTGCTGTAGCATCATGAAGGCCCAGGGCAGAGGTCAGAGGTCAGAGGTCAGGGATGGAGGCTAGCAGCCTCTGGAGAGGCCAGAGGTAAAGCTGTGGAGAAGTTTGAAGCATGATTATATTCTACAAATACTGTTCGATCTATCACCGGGGATGGAAAACCTGTACAGATACAGAAGGACCAGGACCAAGTTTGAAGCATGATTATATTCTACAAATACTGTTCGATCTATCACCGGGGATGGAAAACCTGTACAGATACAGAAGGACCAGGACAACACCGATCACAGAAGGCCCAGGACAACACCGATCACAGAAGGACCAGGACAACACCAATCACAGAAGGACCAGGACAACACCAATCACAGATACAGAAGGACCAGGACAACACCGATCACAGATTCAGAAGGACCAGAGGGTGAGATTGTTGTGGAGGTTGTGGACACTTGTTCGTCTTCACTTCGACCCAACCAAAGAAAAAAATAAAACTGTACAGACTTTATTTTCAACATGTCTTAAACTGTCAGTGACTTTAGCACTGATCCTAATCCTTCTGACTCTAAATGAAATCAACTCCTCCATCCGGCTCTAAATAATACATGAGGTAGTCAGGATGTAGTGCGTTCTGCGGCCTGCAGGGGGCGTGCTCACACGCAGCTGCAGTGAGCGGAGATGCCCGTCTCCAGACCGGTGAATAAGCAAAAACAGCCCGAAGAGAGGATGCTGTCAGCCGTGTCCGCCATGGAGCCCGGGGCCCGGGGAGGATGGTCCATGCGCCGGAACTAGTTACTCATCCTGGGAGCAGCGCACACTGCAGGGGCCGGGGACCAGGCACCCGGGGACCAGGCACTCAGACCCAGGGAGAAGGCACCCAGACCCGGGGAGGGGGCCATGGCTGCAGGGGGAGCGGCGTGTGGCGGGGACAGCTCGGAGCAGTGTCGGGCCGACGTGGAGCGTCTGAGCCGGGAGCTGGCGGAGGCCAACCGGGAGAAAATCCGTGCGGCAGAGTGTGGTCTGGTGGTTCTGGAGGAGAACCAGGGTCTGAAGCACAGATGTGCGGAGCTGGAGGCGGAACAAGAGGCACTGAGGAGAGAGCTGGAGCGGCTACAGGAGGTCAGCTCCATCAGCACAACACTACAGCACTTTACTACAGCACTTTTCAGTACTATACAGCTCCATCACCACAACACTACAGCACTTTACTGCAGCACTTTACAGTACTATACAGCTCCATCACCACAACAATACAGCACTTTACTACAGCACTTTACAGAACTATACAGCTCCAACATCACAACACTACAGCACTTTACTACAGCACTTTACAGTACTATACAGCTCCATCATCACAACACTACAGCACTTTACAGTACTATACAGCTCCAACATCACAACGCTAGAGCACTTTACTACAACAGGATACAGCACTATACAGCTCCATCATCACAACACTACAGCACTTTACTACAACAGGATACAGTACTATACAGCTCCATCATCACAACACTACAGCACTTTACTACAACATGATACAGTACTATACGGCTCCAACATCAGAACGCTACAGCACTTTACTACAACAGGATACAGCACTATACAGCTCCATCATCACAACACTACAGCACTTTACTACAACATGATACAGTACTATACAGCTCCAACATCAGAACGCTACAGCACTTTACTACAACAGGATACAGCACTATACAGCTCCAACATCACAACACTACAGCACTTTACTACAACAGGATACAGTGCTATACAGCTCGATGTGAGCACTGGTCTGTTATGGAGCCCCGCCTGTAATAAACCAGAGGACCATGTGACAGGAGGCGCGCGCAGACAGTCTGTAGGCTGGGCAGCGGTCTAATGATCATAATAATAATAATAATGATAGTAATGATGATAATAATAATCATGATGATGATAATAATAATAATGATAGTAATGATGATAATAATAATCATGATGATAATGATAATAAAAATGATAGTAATGATGATAATAATAATCATGATGATGATAATAATAATAATGATAGTAATGATGATAATAATAATCATGATGATAATGATAATAAAAATGATAGTAATTGTAATATTCTGTGATAGAATATGCTGTGAGACATTACTGCATCATTCAACATTGTATCACATTCTGTTTGATCCTTACGTCACATGTATCTTACGTGCTGCGTGACCTGTGATAGAGCGCAACCTGCCGTTACATTTTGTCATTGTCATTCTGCTCAACTGCCAGTAAACAGCACTACGAAACCCGGACTGTCGTACTTACTTTTTGTACATACGGTACATCTATTTTAAACATAGAAACATAACATGGTGTCAGAGTAAAAGGAACGAAGATGGATATGTCTGGAGTGCCTTCACCCCACATGGACTGGGACGCAAGAAACTTACCCGAAGCTTGGCGTAAGTTCAAGTTACATGTTGAATTGATGCTGTCGGGACCGTTAAAGAAAAGAGGGGAAGACGAGAAATGCAGCTACCTTCTTCTTTGGGTCGGAGAAAAAGGTAGAGATATTTATAATACATGGACAATGTCCGAAGACGAAAGAAAGACATTGAAAGCATACTATGACCGCTTTGAAGCATATGTTTTGCCCAAAACAAACGTTATTTTTTCACGTTTCAAGTTTAACGAGAAAGTACAAGGAGCGCACGAGCCATTTGAACAGTTTGTAACGGATTTACGGCTGCTTGTAAAGGACTGTCAATACGCGAACTGTGAGGAAATGGTTAGAGACCGCGTCGTATTCGGGATCCTCTCACCAAGAGTACGAGAAAAACTGCTTAGCATGGGGTCTGATTTAACACTGGACAAGGCGATAGACATTGCTCGTTCCCATGAAGTTGCGCAGGAACAGTTAAAAACCATATCAGGCCGTCATGAACAGTCAGTACATGCCGTTAGCAGACCGTCTCACAACAATGTAGCGTCATGGAAACCACGGCAACACAGTGACGCTGGCAGCGCGGCGAGATTCACCACAACAGAAGGAAACAAAAAGTTCTACAACTCATGTAACTACTGTGGAAATAAATCACACTCAGCAAAAGAGATCTGTCCAGCAAAAGGGAAACAGTGTAAGTCGTGTAACAAATGGAACCATTTTTCAAAAGTTTGTCGTTCCAAACAAAGAAAAGCAGTGCACACAGTTGATGATAATGACCCAGAGACTGATTCGGATGATTTGTTTATTGATGCAGTGACACAGAAATATGACAAAGAACAGGTTTTTGCAGAAATCCTCGTGGGTCCAAACAAAAGTATGGTCAAATTCAAATTAGACACTGGTGCCTCAGTTAACGTTATTCCTTCAAGTATTGTCAAAAAACTAGGAATGCAGCACACTCTACAACAGTCGTCTCGCCCACTCTATGGCTATGGAGGTGAGCGGTTAGCTGTGAAAGGCAAGTGTAAAGTTGAATGCCAGTACAAGGACACAAAGCTACCTCTGCGAATCCATGTTGTCGACACATTAGCACCACCAGTCCACCAATTATGCACAAATTGAAAAAGAGCTTTATGCCATCTTATTCGGATGCAAGCGTTTTCACCAATATGTGTATGGTCGTCACGTCATTGTGGAAAGTGACCACAAACCATTGGAATCAATTTTACGCAAACCACTCACTGCAGCACCTCCAAGATTACAAAGAATGATTCTCCAGCTACAAAGATACGACTTCACAATCATTCACAAACCAGGAAAAGACATTCCTCTCGCTGATACTCTCTCCCGGAAGTCACTTCATGATCCAGATAACAGCCTCAGAGAAGGTATGGACTTACAGGTGCATACAGTATACAGTAGCTTACCAGTAAGCGACACAAAACTAAAGGAAATACAGACAGAGACCGACAAGGACACTCAGTTTACACTGCTAAAGAAGACAATCGAGGACGGATGGCCTGAGGAAAAGAAACAGTGTCCTCAGTTGATTGCAGAGTATTGGAACTATCGGGATGAACTGTCTCAAATCAATAATATCCTTTTCAAGGGAGAAAAGATAATAGTTCCACAGTCATTACGTCCAGAAATGTTGTCCCGAATCCACACAAGCCACCTGGGCATGGAAAAGTGCAAACAAAGAGCCTGTGACGTCCTGTTCTGGCCCGGAATGAACAAACAAATAGAAGACATGGTTGCACGGTGCCCAGTGTGTTTGGAGCACAGGCCATCAAACACGAAAGAGCCCATGATCAACCATACAATACCAGACAGGCCATGGCAAACAGTGGCTACTGACCTTTTCATTTGGAACAATGCTAACTACATTGTTACAGTTGACTATTACAGCAGGTACTTTGAGATTGACAAGCTCCACAGCACAACCGCCTCTGCAGTCATACATAAACTCAAAGCCACATTTGCTCGGCATGGTATCCCCGAAACTGTGATATCTGACAATGGCCCCCAATACAAGAGCAAGGAGTTTGAAACGTTTTCAAACCTATGGGAGTTCAAGCATATAACATCAAGTCCGTACTACCCACAGAGCAACGGCCTTGCAGAAAAGGCTGTACAAACAGTCAAGTCGCTCATGGAAAAAGCCAAATCAGATAACAAGGACCCATACCTGAGCATCCTTGAATATCGCAACACACCGGTGGACAATTTTAAAACACCTGCACAGCTGCTCATGAATAGACGCCTTCGCTCCATCATTCCATGCACTCACCAGCAGCTCAAACCTAAAGCCATCAGCCACAGGGAAACTCTTACAAAAAGAGATCTTCGTCAAAAACATCAAAAGAAATATTATGACAGATCTTCAAAACCGCTCTCAGCTCTACGCAATGGACAAAGTGTTCGCTTTCAGGAAAGTGGACATTGGAAACCAGCATCTGTCATTCGTGCAGCCGACACTGCCAGATCTTACCACATTCAAACACCAGATGGACTGCAATACAGGAGAAACCGTCGTCACCTAATGGACTCTAAAGAACCACCCATAGCTCACCATGGTGACCATTCTCAGCTGGAACATCCACCTGATAAGACTGAGCACAGTTCACAACCACCACCTATGACTACTACCGCTACTTACCATACCCGTTCTGGTCGCAAAGTTAAGCCGAGGGCTATCTTAGACCTGTAATAAGTTTATTAATGCATAGTGTTCAGTATATGCATATGTTGTGATTATTTGTTTAAATATGCCATATTGTTCTGTGGTATTTTTCTTAGTTTTAGCACAGGTTCCTAATTCATTCAAAAGAAAATAATTAAACTAAATAACATTGTGCAATATCTTCATTTTTTTTATACCCTACAAATTATATGTACTATTTAGCTGTTTTTTTAGATACTATATATTTTGTTTTCTTTTAAAAGAAGGGGGATGTAATATTCTGTGATAGAATATGCTGTGAGACATTACTGCATCATTCAACATTGTATCACATTCTGTTTGATCCTTACGTCACATGTATCTTACGTGCTGCGTGACCTGTGATAGAGCGCAACCTGCCGTTACATTTTGTCATTGTCATTCTGCTCAACTGCCAGTAAACAGCACTACGAAACCCGGACTGTCGTACTTACTTTTTGTACATACGGTACATCTATTTTAAACATAGAAACATAACAGTAATGATGATAATAATAATCATGATGATGATAATAATAATAATGATAGTAATGATGATAATAATAATCATGATGATAATAATAATCATGATGATGATAATAATAATAATGATAATAGTGATGATAATGATAGTAATGATGATAATAATAATAATCATCATCATCATGATGATAATGATAATAATAATGATAGTAATGATGATAATAATAATAATAATGATAGTAATACACATGTGTAGCTGCATGAGCAGTTTCCTGCTCATGCAGCATTTCGAGGACATTCTTCCAAAAATATAAAAGTAGTTTGTTAATCACTATGGCAACAGCCCTCCTCTGTCATCCTCTACACCTGCAAAGCACATTTAACTCTGATCCTCAGTCCTCACACTCTGAGCTTATTATCAATTAGTCAGTTATCATTATTTAGACAAAGGGTTGTGTGTGTGTGTGTGTGTGTGTGTGTGCCTGTGTGTGTGTGCGTGTGTGTGTGTGTGTCTGTGTGTGTGTGTATGTCTGTCTGTGTGTGTCTGTGTTTGTGTGTGTGTGTGTGTCTGGTGTTATGTGAATGTGTGCATGTACGTGTTTGTTTCTTTCTGTACCTTAACGTATTAAAAAATGACGTGTTCAAAATCCCTTATAAAGATGACCATGATTCAGAAAGTTAAATTCAAAAAGGTTTATTTCCCTAATACAAAAAGAATCTAAAACAGCTGTTCGGACCAAAAGTAACTATCCCTTATTCTCTATATAAAGTATAAAAGTATAACTCTGCGTGGGCGCTCCACATCAGGTCACACTACTGTCCCTGGTCCGGAAAAAAACTAAACTCACACATTCAAGCTATTCACTATAAGTAAATGTGCATGAGGAAGAAGGGGCGTGGTATCAGGCAGCTTCCGGGTCCCGTGATCCGCCTTCCCCCATCTGGTCTTCTCGTCTCCAGTCCGCACCTAAAAAAGGATTCATGCTTTTCTAACCTAACACTCCACGCAGCTGTCACTTGGTCTGAGATCCATCTCTGTTGTCTAAACAACTCCCCTAATTAATCTCAACAGCCCGCTTTCCTAAAAAACAAACCTACAGTACAACACATCACACTAATTAACCTAATATCTAAGTACATGAAATCACCTAAAATATGAAGTAAATATATGTTAAGAAAGGTTATGTGTCTTATCATATGTCAAATGGGTAGACGGGCAGACTCCAGTCGTCAACCCACTCTTGATGGAGTGGGTTGAAAATTGCAGACGTCAGCAGGGGCCAAGGCTAGGGGGACAAAATCCAAACAGCAGAACCCATCTGTTATTTAGCTGGTCCCCCAAGAAGACCCCTAAAATTAAATAAAAAGGACTGGCCTGCCACTCAGAGGTCGATAGATCATAAAACACATGGTTTTAGAATGTCACTTATTTATAAATACAACAACCTTTATGTGTGTCTGTTTATGTATGTCTATGTGTCTGTGTCTATGTCTGTGTGTGTATGTGTGTGTGTGTGTGTCTGTGTTTATGTGTGTTTATGTGTGTGTGTGTGTGTGTCTGGTGTTATGTTGATGTGTGCATGTACGTGTTTGTTTCTTTCTGTACCTTTATGTGTGTCTGTTTATGTATGTCTATGTGTCTGTGTCTATGTCTGTGGGTGTGTATGTGTGTGTGTGTGTGTGTGTGTCTGTGTGTGTGTCTGTGTGTGTGTCTGTGTGCATGTGTGTGCTCTGATGTCACTGCCGTTGAGTGCTTTGATGAAAAATGCAGCGTTGCTAAAAACAGTAACAGATTTTTTTCCTTTGGTCTCATGACATAGTTCTGTCTCACAATATTTCACTTAAAGCTGGGCTACGTAACTTACAAACTCCAAGAATGTAATACAATCCATTCCTCTAGTCCCTGGCTCTAGAATCTCTCTGAGTGGAGTTTACACACTGGGCATAGTCCTTTATAATGTGATTCTCTCTGGTCTCTCTCTGGTCTCTCTCTGGTCTCTCTCTGGTCTCTCTCTCTGGTCTCTTTCTGGTCTCTCTCTGGTCTCTCTCTCTGGTCTCTTTCTGGTCTCTCTCTGGTCTCTCTCTCTGGTCTCTCTCTGGTCTCTCTCTCTGGTCTCTCTCTTGTTTCTCTCTCTGCTCTCTCTCTCTGGTCTCTCTCTCTGGTCTCTCTCTGGTCTCTCTCTGGTCTCTCTCTGGTCTCTCTCTCTGGTCTCTCTCTGGTCTCTCTCTCTGGTCTCTCTCTCTGGTCTCTCTCTGATCTCTCTCTTGTCTCTTTCTGGTCTCTCTCTGGTCTCTCTCTCTGGTCTCTCTCTGGTCTCTCTCTCTGGTCTCTCTCTGGTCTCTCTCTGATCTCTCTCTGGTCTCTGTCTGGTCTCTCTCTGGTCTATCTCTTGTCTCTCTCTCAGGTCTCTCTCTGGTCTCTCTCTGGTCTCCCTCTTGTCTCTCTCTCTGGTCTCTCTCTGGTCTCTCTCTGGTCCCTCTCTGGTCCCTCTCTGGTCTCTCTCTGGTCTCTCTGGTCCTGGGTGCACTGCGCAGTGACTTTAGAAGGCTTATTTGAAAGTCTGAAGTTTGTGTTGACTCTTTTATTATGACACTTTCCCGTCTTCCGTGTGGTGAGAAGCTGACACAGGTCTAAAAACCTTCCAACCTTTCCCACTGCTGTCTCGAGTCAGTTAATCACATGTTTACATTACATCTGAACAGACATGCATCAGTTTTGTAATAAATGTCACACAAAAGGTAGTGTCAGGGATTCAGCAGACAGAGACGGATCGTGGTGCGCCAAACTCTGGAAGTTTATTTAAGTTTCTCTCAAGTTCCACTGGTTTCCATTGTCTCTTTCTCTCAGACAGAATAAAGGCAGTACACAGTTTATATAGTCATTGTCACGTCACACATCGAAAGACATACGTGTCACAAAGAGACAGTCACATCATAGTCAAAATAATCAGAGTCCTTCTACAGTCCTGCACGTAGGCCATATTGCTATCTAATACTAACAGTAGTTTTATTGTTCATGTGTGTGTGTGTGTGTGTCTGTATCTGTGTCTGTATCTGTATCTGTGTGTCTGTGTCTGTGTGTGTGTGTGTGTGTGTGTGTGTGTGTGTGTGTGTGTGTGAAAAGAGCTGTTTACTGCACACACAATGTTCTCTCAAGTCAAAACTGCATCATGTGAGCTTCTGCTGAACGCCTCTGTGTCTCTCTGTGTGTGTGTGTGTGTATCTGTGTGTGTGTGTGTGTGTGTGTGTGTGTGTGTGTGTGTGTGCAGGCCTTCACCCAGACTTACTCCACCCAGCGCAGAGTGGCCCAGGACACTGAGAACAACGAGGAGAGCCTGCTGCAGGAGTCGGCCTCTAAAGAAGCCTACTACATGAGCCGCCTGCTAGAGCTGCAGCTGGAGCTGAAGGAGCGGAGGAGCAGCGCGGCCAGCCTCTTGGAGGAGACGTGCACGCTACGGGAGGCCATGCACGAGCTCACAGAGGTACTACACACTGGTCTCTCTCTGGATCGCTCTTATCCTTATGTGCAATGTGTGAGCCGCCTCGGTCCTCGTTCTACAGTCTGGATCTATTGCCTGTCCATCCGTGGGACTGGATGCCTCCCTCAATGTGGGCTTCCCTGAGGTTTCTCATTTCCTTCCACTGGGTTTTTAGAGTTCTTCCTTGCTGATGCAAAGGCAGAGGCAGAGGCAGAGACAGAGGCAGAGGCAGAGACAGAGACAGAGACAGAGGCAGAGGCAGAGACAGAGGCAGAGGCAGAAGCAGTGACAGAGGCAGAGGCAGAGACAGGGCAGAGGCAGAGACAGAGGCAGAGGCAGAGGCAGAGGCAGTGACAGAGGCAGAGGCAGAGACAGGGCAGAGGCAGAGACAGAGGCAGAGGCAGAGGCAGAGGCAGTGACAGAGGCAGAGGCAGAGACAGGGCAGAGGCAGAGGCAGAGGCAGAGGCAGAGGCAGTGACAGAGGCAGAGGCAGAGGCAGAGACAGGGCAGAGGCAGAGACAGAGGCAGAGGCAGAGACAGATGGGTCTAAGGACAGTGTGGACCCAGGACACTGACATCCAGAGCAGAACTGGAGGAATGCTATTACAGCGTTTAGCATTTCCCTCTGGACCAGAGCAGAGACAATGATCTGAACTAAGCGGGTGCTCCACCTCTGCTGCTGTGACCCATCCTCCATTTCCTATTTTTATTACTATTGTTATGTCATTGTGGTCTAATTTATTTTTTTGTTTGTATGAATGAATGTGTTTCTGCTGCTACTGTCTCCTTCAGGGCATCAATAAAGAGTCGATCTTCCTGACTATCACTCGACATTGAACAGCATTTGTGGACATTGGTCTCTGCTCCTTTTGGACCAATGGCTCTATGTGTTTTCATCGGTGCATTCCCGGTGTCTTAACTGTTTGATTCTCTGATCTGCGTTGGTGAATCGACAGCTTTAGATACAGTAACTACTGTTGTGATTTAGGGCGATACAAAAAGGAATTGATTTAAAATGGAATTGCTGTGTCCACAGAAGAGCCATGTGCTGGAGCTGTGCAGGGCCAGACTCTCTCAGGAGCTGCATGAGGCCAAAGCTCAGGAGAGCAGACTCCTGCAGGACTACAGCGAGCTGGAGGAGGAGAACATCTCACTGCAGAAGCTGGTGGCCACGCTCAAACACAACCAGGTGATACTCGCACTCATGTATATGTGTGTGTCTCCGTGTGTTTGTGTCTGTCTTAATGTGTGCGTGTCATAATGTGTGTGTGTGTGTCTGCATGTGTGTATGTCGAGCCCCGGTGATCCAAGATGGCGTCCTATTCTAATGAATGGCTTGTGCTCAGTAGTTCATGGGACTTCACGGTCGCTGACATATCAGAGGAACTCGGCTATATTTGGGCATCGTCTGGTCCTCCCGGTTCTGTGCAGTAGACGAGCTCCCATGATGCTTTGGGCCAAATACGCGTGTGTGGCTGTTATTCACGTGCACAGACGGGCTCGGCCGCGCTCTGACCAATCAGAGGGCAGCGCTCTGACCAATCAGAGCTGCTCATCAGAGCAGCAGCAGAGCGGAGTCAGAGCAGGAAGGAAAGGAGCAGAGTTTGTGGCAGTAAAGTGTGGATTTAAAGAAAACCGAAGGATGTAAGAAGAAAAAAAGTTCAGGACGACAAGGGACACTAAAATCCCCACAAAATCCTACATTTATGAAAGCTGTAGGTTCTCTGTCAGGTTCTCTGTCAGGTTCTCTGTCAGGTTCTCTGTCATGTTCTATGTCAGCTGAGGTGGAGCTGTTTTAGTTTACATTGAGATTTATGGGACTTTTTTCTGGGTAGCCCACGTGAATTTAGTCTGCAGTACCACAGCGCCCCCTGTGGCCATGGGTGGGACAGCTATAAACTTGAAAAACTCTATCCAGTTATTATTATAGATCCATAATCCATAGATCCGTATGTGCATGTGTATGTGTGTGTGTGTGTGTCTGTGTGTGTGTCTTAATGTGTGTGTGTGTATTTATGTATGTATGTGTGTGTGTGTGTGCGTGTGTGTGTGTGTGTATCTTAATGTGTGTGTCTGTCTTAATGTGTGTGTGTGTCTCTATGTATGTATGTGTGTGTGTGTGCAGGTGGAGTTTGAGGGCCTCAAACACTCTCTGAAGGTGGTGGAGGAGGAGGCGGAGGTGCTGCAGGTGCAGCTGCAGGACGCCCTGAGGCTGAGGGAGCTGTCCGAGGGTCACCTGGAGGAGGCGCTGGAGGTCCTGAAGAACGAGCGAGAGCAGAAGAAGCTCCTCCGCAGGGAGCTGCTCCATCACCTCAGCATGTGTGATGTCGCATACACCGGCTCCGCACACCTGCTGTTCACCTCGGCGCCCCCCAGTGGAGCCGGGACCCCCAACACCCTGCTCTCCCCCGCCTCTGACGACGCCAACAGGTGCGAGACTCGGACTTCCCTTCATGTTTTTGGGATTATTATTTATTCAATGGAAGAAGACTATCTGGTCTCACTCTGGTCTCACTCTGGTCTCACTCTGGTCTCTTTCTGGTCTCCAGTCTGGTCTCTCTCTGGTCTCTCTCTGGTCTCTCTCTGGTCTCTCTCTCTGGTCTCTCTCTGGTCTCTCTCGCTGGTCTGTCTCTGGTCTCTCTCTGGTCTCTCCCTGGTCTCTCTCTGGTCTCTGTCTTTACCTGATGTGATGTGTGCAGGTGTAATGGTCTGGTGAGTGGGACAGCCCCCTCCCCTCTGCACTGTCCCAGCAGCTCCTCCACGCTCCACTCTGAGATGAACCTGACGGAGATCCAGAGACTGAGGCAACAGCTGCTGACGGTTAGTCCATGTGTTCTCTGGTCTCTCTGGTCACTCTGGTCTCTCTCTGGTCTCTCTCCTTAGTTTCTTCCTGGTCTCTCTGGTCACTCTGGTCTCTCTCTGGTCTCTCTGGTCTCTCTCAGGAGATGATCCTCTGCCTTGTCTCTGGTGTTGTTCAGGTGGAGCAGGAGAAGGCGGCCCTCCTGAAGAGCCTGCAGGAGTCCGAGGCCCTGCTGCTCCACACACAGGGGGCCCTCAGAGAGCAGCAGGACTGGGCCCTACGCCTCACGCACAAAATGTCTGCTCTACACCAGCATGTGCACTGTGACGGGCCCCCAGAGGTCCCCAAGAGCAGCGGCAGTGCGGAGGAGGAGGGCAAAGTGGAGCCCGGTCCGGAGCTCGGACTGGACTCTCTGCTCTCTCAGCTGGCCCCTGGGCTGGACGTGCTGCAATTCAAGTACCGTGTGGCGGTGAACGAGGGGGTGGAGCTGAAAGCCGAGCTCCAAGGCCTGAAGGACAGAATGTGTGAGCGCGAGGAGAGGGCGGAGGAGAGGGCGGAGGAGCGGCAGAGACACATGCTCCTCCGCCGCCTGGAGAAGAGCTGCGAGGAGGCCCAGGACAAGGTACGGCTCCCAACACCTCACACCAGGGGCCTCCAACCTGTAGCTCACCACTCACAAGTATCTCCCCAAAGGATTTAGAAAATACATTCATATGCTACATATTCCAAAATGTGCAATTCAAACGCCCACAACTTCAGTGGTAATAAATTAGAAATAATGACTGCTGATAGTAACAACACAAGGCACTACCACAGCTGACCACACGAGGCACTACCACAGCTGACCACACGAGGCACTACCACAGCTGACCACAGTCTAAGGTGCTACGTGCTGTTCCAGGTGTCGTGAGCAAACGTTAGTATCGCTTCGGTGTTTGCAGATCTTGTGTTTGGAGCGGGAGCTAAAAGTTGCGAGCTCATTGGCCGCTGACAGAGAAGCGGCTCTGACCACGGCGCAGGACGAGCTGCAGGCGCTGAGCGAAGAGCTGGCTCAGATCTACCACCATGTGTGTGTGTGCAACCAGGAGACGCCCGCCACCGTCATGCTGGACTATTACAGGTCACTGCCCCGCCCCCCCGCCCTCGGCCCTGCCCTCTGCCCCGCCCTCTGCCCCGCCCTCTGCCCCGCCCTCTGTTCCCATCCTCTGCCCCCATCATCTGCCCCCCGCCCTCTGCCCCATCCTCTGCCCCCATCCTCTGCCCCCGTCCTCTGCCCCCATCTTCTGCCCCCATCCTTTGCCCCCATCCTCTGCCCCCATCCTCTCCCCCGCCCTCTGCCCCGTCCTCTTCCCCTGTCCTCTGCCCCATCCTCTGCCCGTCCTCTGCCCCGTCCTGTGCCCCATCCTCTTCCCCCGTCCTCTGCCCATCCTCTGTCCTGTCCTCTGCCCCATCCTCTGTGCCCCCATCCTCTGCCTCGCCCTCTGCCCCGCCCTCTGCCCCATCTTGTGCCCCGCCCTCTGCCCCATCCTCTGCCCCGCCCTCTGCCCCATCCTCTGAGGGCTTGACTTAACTTGTTTCGTAACAGAACTGAGAAGTACAGAGTCCTGTTTTATAGTATTATAAACAATGTTTTATATTATCATAAATAATATAAAACTACAGGGGATATAATCTGTGAGGTCCCACAGGGGTCAGTCCTGGTACCCATATTATTTATAATATACATATAGTACATGCAATATAGAAAATATTTGACATAATGTACCGCTGACCACTGGGACTTTTGTCCTTTAACTGAACAGGTTCAAATCTTGGATTAATGTTAATAATTATGTTAATAAATTGTCACTTTTTTTGCGCTCAGGATTGTTTTTGATGATGCCAATAGAAATAGGAGATACAGGTTTGTGAGTTCCAGTATTAGAGGTGCCTTGTGTTGCAGACAGGGGCGAGGCCTCCGCTGTCTGAGTGCAACCCTCAAAGCCATGTCGTCTGACACCAGTAAAGTGCTGCTTACACCACGCCTCGCCCGCCGCCTCATGGCCGCCTCAGCAGGGAGTAGGGAGTCCCGCAGTCCTGAGGCCTCCCCGTCTAAAGATCCTCTGTCCAGGGAAGATCTCCCCTCCTCCAGGGAGGAGGCTCCTGCTTCAGCCAGTAGCGGCTCTTCCTCCTCCTCCTCCTCCTCATCACCTGCTCCTGATCTTCCTGCAGAGCTGAGGAGAGAGCCCAACCTCCAGCACCTGAGCTGCCTCCTCAGAGAGCAGGTACTCCTGACCCTGTGCAGTAGCGCCCCCTGTGGGAGGCCATGTACCTCAGTATCACATATTGAGGTCAACACAGGTCTTTATACAGTGCTTTTTTCATTTCTCCGCAAAGAGCATCTCAAAGGTGCTGATTGGGTTTAGATCTGGGCCCTCGGACACATCAGGGTAAAGAGCAGAGCCAAAACTACAAACATTACCACGGTTTATCCCATGGATTTATGTGCCTGAAGAATGTCGGCCTGAAAAAGTTATTCCATCAACAGATTTCAGGATTCAGAGTCCGATCTTGTGGACTCTGTAGGCTCTATCTGCATTATGTGAAGTGGACAGTAGAGTGAGGTTTGAGGGCCTCTTCTGGGCACAGCGCCCCCTGGAGTCTGAGCTCTAGTATGTTCTTCACTGTGTTCTGCAGGTGAAGCACCTCCAGCATGCGGTGGAGCGCTCTCAGCAGTTGTGCAAACAGAGGAGCGCGGCCCAGGAGCTGCTTCCACTCGACAAAGACAAAGAGAGCTGTCTGGACGAGCTGCTCAAACTCCAGTCTCTGCTCAGCACCAAGAGAGAGCAGATCGCCACACTCAGACTGGTGCTGAAGGCCAACAAGCAGGTACTCTACTCTACTCTACTCTACACTCAGACTGGTGCTGAAGGCCAACAAGCAGGTACTCTACTCTACTCTACACTCAGACTGGTGCTGAAGGCCAACAAGCAGGTACTCTACTCTACTCTACTCTACTCTATCTACATTCATACTGGTGCTGAAGGCCAACAAGCAGGTACTCTACTCTACTCTACTCTACTCTACTCTACATTCATACTGGTGCTGAAGGCCAACAAGCAGGTACTCTACTCTACTCTACTCTACTCTACTCTACTCTACTCTACTCTACTCTACTCTACTCTACTCTACTCTACTCTACTCTACCCTACCTCTACTCTACTCTACTCTACTCTACTCTACTCTACTCTACTCTACTCTACTCTACTCTACTCTACTCTACTCTACTCTACTCTACTCTACTCTACCCTACTCTACTTTACTCTACTCCCATGATTATTGCTCTGTTGCAGACTGCAGAGAGTGCACTGATGAACCTGAAGAGTAGGTACGAAGCAGAGAAGTCTCTGGTGACGAACACCATGATGAAGCTGAGGAACGAGCTCAAAGCCCTGAAAGAAGACGCCGCCACCTTCTCCTCTCTGAGAGCTCTGTTTGCCACCAGGTAATGCCCGTCAGGATACTACTACTCTACTAATACTTCCTTTAAATAGTTACATTTGCCGTTTTTCCACAGTCCTAGCACGGTACGTTTTGACTCTACACGGCGTGCAATGGCCCAGTTCGCGTGCTTTTCCATCAAAAATAGTACCCCCAGTATGTCCTCAGCGTTGTCAGACCACGTCATTTACGTGTGACGCGTAACTAGTAATGGTGCGGTGCATGTATTTATTATAATATCAGAGCGAGTGTTTAATAGAAAATTCAGCACAGCACGAGTAGTTTTTGAAAATGCTTTTGTCTTAAAATGACCCAGAAACTGTGAAGTCAATGGTGCTGACTGCTCTGTACAATCTGAATGGGACCTGTAGCAACAGCAGCCTGTGTGTGCAGAGGAGGAGGGCTGCATGTCCGAGGATACTGCTAGGCTATAGCTAATGCTATAGCCTAGCAGGTGGGCACGGTGGCTGAGTGGATAGCACTCTCGCCTCTCAGCAAGAAGGTCCTGGGTTCAAATCCCGGTTGGGCCAGGGCCTTTCTGAGTGGAGTTTGCATGTTCTCCCCGTGTCTGCGTAGGTTTCCTCCGGGCACTCCGGTTTCCCCTACCACTAAAAATATGTCCTATAGTTCTGGCATGCGCCTCCTGTACTGGCGACCCCGCTCCCATCTCAGTGTGGAGTGAGAGACAAATGCCCATAATTAACAATTGTAAACCGCTTTGAGACTCAGATCTGCAGTGAAAAGGCGGTATATAAATAAAGATTACTACTTACTTACTACTACTGCTAGCTCTAGACTCGGCTCACTCACTAACCCTGGATTCCAAAGCTTCTACTATACTACACTTAACACTTCTATCACTACCCTCAGAGGAGGATCCGGGGTTTAAACTCGTCATATGGCAACTCGAGCAGTAAAGGACCGAGGGAGAGACAGCGGCAGCCATAGGGGTAGCGAGTTAGCGGCTAGGCTAGGCTAAGCTAGGCTCGGCTAGTCCGGACTCGGGTCGGGCCTACAGCAGACTCCAAGACCAGACAAACAATCGATACCCAAACCTCAGATACAATAATAATAAATTAATGAAACACAGTCTTGGGATACAATCACAGATTTATTGAAAACAAAAGTAAAGTGCAAAACCAACAGTTTACAAAGTCAAAAGTACGTATGTCTGAGACCAGGTCCAGGCCAGGTCCAGACCAGGTCCAGATGAGGAGAATACTCCGGTCACTCATTACTCGTTGGTAATCTCCACACTTATGGAAAGGGATTATCATACAAATATACACACGACAACATAAATACAATCACAAATCAGAAACACGTGAATACTGCAGATAATACGAGATAAAGCACAGTAGCACAGGGAGGACGTTAGCTGCTATCAATAGCTAAATGAAGCTAAATGTAGCTAGCTCACTGTGTACAACAGACAATCGAGCATTTACACAGTAAATACATTTCAGTGAGAGCTTTAACAGGATTTGTATCTGTCCTCCTCTCTCCTCCTCTCTCCTCCCCTCTTCTTGCTCCTCTCCTCTTCTCCCCTCCTCTCTCCTCCCCTCTCCTCCCCTCTCCTCCCCTCTCCTTGCTCCTCTCTCCTCTCCTCTCTCCTCCCCTCTCCTCCTCTCTCCTTCTCTCTCCTCTCTCCTCCCCTCTCCTTGCAGATGTGATGAATACGTGACTCAGTTGGACGAGATGCAGCGACAGCTCGTGGCGGCGGAGGACGAGAAGAAGACGCTGAACTCTCTGCTGCGGATGGCCATCCAGCAGAAACTGGCCCTGACGCAGCGCCTGGAGGACCTGGCCTTTGACCAGGAGCAGAGCCGCCGGGGCCCCAGGTCGAGCCCAGGGAAGACGGCCCCTAAAGCCACCCTCGCCCCTTTGGCCCCGCCTCCTGACGTATCCCAGCAACCGTCTTCAGCTGTGTCTTCATCCAGCCCTGTGCCTTCAGGCCCGAGCAGCCCCACAGCAGGGCCCTCAGCAGGGCCCTCAGAGTGTATGTCTCCTCCTGCAGCCGTCACAGAGCGGCCCTCAGCCCTGGACTCGTCCTCTCGCAGCTCTCTGACGGCCCCTGCCAGGTCTTCCCTGTGGTCCGTGGGAGTGCGCACCTTTGTGTTTAACTCCCACAGTTTGAGTGTGTGCCGGTCACCTGGGGGCCCCCGTTCTTCCCCTCTGACCAGGCCTTACAGCTCAGACCGACAGGTCCCCTCAGTGTCCTACCGGCCCCCCAGCTCAGGGCTCAGGCGCTCCACATGGACCCCCCCGGCCCGGGCCCGACCCCTATACTCTGGTTCCTCCTTCACTTCTCACTACACACCCCTGTACCCCCGATCCTACGGCTCCTACCGGCCCCGATACTAACACCTGTCCCCTGGGGGCCCCAGCCCTCTGTTCACTGACTCAGGGATCAAAGAGGAGCACAAGGCGGACTTCAGGAGGACTTCAGGAGGACTTCAGGAGGACTTCAGGAGGACTTCAGGAGGACTTCAGAAGGACTTCAGAAGGACTTCAGGAGGACTTCAGGAGGACTTCAGGAGGACTTCAGGAGGACTTCAGAAGGACTTCAGGAGGACTTCAGAAGGACTTCAGGAGGACTTCAAGAGGACTTCAGGAGGACACTCGATGGTCCAACTGAGGCGGAGCTCTACAGAAGTGCCTTCAAACACTACAGTACCTGTCACTGTCCACACGAGGCAGCACAACACAGCACATGTCACACCACGTTATGAATGTCACTCAGCTGTCACTTTGCCCAGTCCCGGGTCTCTAGACCTGGGCCCTCTCTTGGACCTGGGCCCTCACTCTCAGCGCCACCATCACACACAGCTTTGTCACTGACTGCTAAAGTGCATATGGCAGGTTTTAGAAAGATTATATAATATAGAACAAACACCACAGTGTACAGCACTGTGTGTCACACAGGTGGCTGAGTGGTTAGCACTCAGCCTCTTCTCAGCAAGAGTTGGAATCCCGGTCGGAACAGGATCTCTCTGAGTGAAGTTTGCATGTTCTTTCCATGCCTGCGTAGATTTCCTCCGGGCGCTCCGGTTTCCTCTACCACTAAAAACATGCATAGGTAAAATCCTCCAACTCGAGCATCAACTCCTGGAGATGGTTCCCGGGCGCTGTTACTACGGCGACCACTGCTCCTGACGTAAGCCTTAGGGCATCAGAGTGGGTCAAATGCAGAGGAGGAAATGTCCTACAGGGATCAATAAAGTGCACTTTTTTACCTTTACCTTGTTGTTCTTAACGAACCTAAAATCAAGTTATGTTTCACACAGATTTAGTACTTTGCTGAGGTCAATCACTGAGAATTATAAGTTAGGTTGTCTGAGACACTGGTGGTCGTTTTCATAATTCCAGCCAACTCATGCTAATGGTGCTAACTCTTGCTAATGGTCATAGACCTTAGAGCAGTGGACTGACCATCACCCAAAGGTTAGCCTTAATGCGGAGGAGGCCGATAAGAGCTAACTCCCCCAGGCTATTTGAGCAGGAATGTGAAATGGTGGCAGTGGTTTGTCACCACCAAAAGAAAGACAGTATCACAACATTAAACATCCGGATCACAGTGAGCGCTAAACCAACAGTCTATGGTCCCAACATAAAGTCAGACATGCCGTCTTCATCTTATTAGAAAACGTGCTGCATTTTGTGTAAGAAAGAGCCCAGTGAGTCTCATTTTGACTTTTTGGGAGAGTGGTCCTTTCTTTTTCCCTTTATTTGCTGAAAAAGCTGATCTTAAAACCAAAAATAAATGAAAACTATTGATAGCAGCAAACTGTAGAGCCAGGAAATTGGTTGGTGGAATTCATGACAGAAAGTAGCCGGTTAGCATTGTCCATCTTTATACCGTTCATGCTAACTCTTGCTAGCTTTAAATCATGAAAACCTGTCATATGCACTTTGAACCTGTATACTTTTACGCTGTTGAATTACACACTAGGTGATGTATTGGATAAATTTGGATGCAGCCCATGTGTGGTCCAGCCTTCACACTGTCAGAACCCCGTGAGCGCCCCCTGCTGAGTGTTGCACTAATGTGTGTTGTTTCCCACTCTCATCTATGGCTTTGTTCTAACTCCCAACCCCAGGATCTAAGTACAGTTACATGGATACAAAGTACTTCTGCCTAAAAAGACTTGATAATGATATCCACAGTGAAACTATCTGTATTATTGGTAAACTAGCTGATTACTAATACCAGAACTCCCGGTGCAGTCATATTGACGGCTTTCAGTTTTGGAAGTGTAATTACCAAAGACATTTGTGGTTTTCATTGTGTCATTAATTTTATGAAATGAGCTTTTCTACAAACGCTAAGACTGGTCCAGCAACACAAAAACAGTTGTGTTGCTCCCATTCTATTCTCCAGTTCCAGCTCTTGTTAGTTTATTAGTTAAAACTTAAAGTGGTTCTCACCCCCGCTCCTCGGAGCTTACGTCACTCACATTTCCTGTTCAAATCTTCCTCTAAATGGGCGTAGCCTGGAGGACTGAAGGGGGCGTGAACGAGACTGGGCCGTTTATATTGCTCTGGGCGGGGGGCTGCTGACGTCAGGTCCAACTTGCAGACGTCAGGTCCAACTTCTGTGCCAGTGTTGGCGCCAGATTCAAAATTCAAATGTAGTAATACAGGTTGCCAGCAGGTGGCGCCTCACAGACGGTTTTAGGCAGAAAGTTTAACTTTCAACTAATTTGCACCAAAGTGAAAAAACTATGACCAGGATATGTAGACAACACTATTGGACACTCATTTAAATCGTTTATCAGCAAAAAAAAGTGGATTTGAGGGTGAGTTGTCCTAGTCCCAGGATTTGAATAGATGGCTGCTCTGGGAGTTCTAGTGTCTTCATTATTAGAAAAAAACATGTAGAAAGAGCCCTGTTAGTCACTATTTGACTCTTTTGGCTGAACTGAGTTATTTCTACGTCATAGAGACAGATCTGAACCCTATCTTTTCAGTCACAGACATCAGCGTGGATGGACCTAAAAACAACTCCAGGTCTGTGACTGAGGAGGTTTACAGGTGTAGCATCGAGAAGTGCTCAAAACAGTCGGTTTTGCAGAATATGTACCAAGTAAGATGGTAAAACGCTGTAGTTTGTGAGATTTCAAAAACCAGGTGTCCCAGCTTTAATGCCACATGATGCCACATGAGTGATGGGAGTAGAATGAACCTGTGTCCGTGCTTTATCCACTGCTTCTTCCACTTCCACAGTGACTGTAACTCGAATGTACTCCTGCACTTTGTAAAGTACTTTTCTACGTCCTCAGCCCCTCGCACTGGTGTCCAGGATGTTTTCATCTGAATTAAAGGTCCCATATTACGCTCCTCCACTTTTCTATGCCTCAAACATTAAAGTGCTATTTGCCCTTCATACACTTTCTAAAGTAGTTCTTTCATTGATTCTCTAAAGCTTTAGTTAGAGCGCGATCTTTCTTATATTCTCGAAAGGCATCAAAACAACTCCATTCACTTTGTGAAGGGCCTGCCTCCTGCAGGTGATTGACAGGGAGATGCTAAAAGTCTTAGCATCATGTCAACTTGGAGAAAATGTGTTATTGTCTGTAAATATGTGACAATACTTTTTGCCTGTACATTACCATGAAACTGGACTTACATGTACTCAAAATCTGATCTTGAAACACAACAAAGACAGTAATGAATTAGAGTCAGTTTCTAGGACATATCTCTACGTCACGGGGCGCCATTGTTGGAAAAAGTTTATGCTCAGGTCTGAAATTAATAAGTACCTACGACCCAAGACAGAGTGGGGCTGCTTGTGCAGAACGACTTCATAATAAGAGGAGCCGAGATCCTCTTGTTTCAATGGAGGTAATGTCACCTCTTTATGCAAGAAATTATAATAATAATGATGATAATAATACATCAGTTTTATATAGTGCTTTTTGGACATGTCATTATTCTTTCACTCTAAATACAGTGGTGATTAACTACTACTGTAGCCACAGCTGCCCTGGGGCACACTGACAGAAGTGAGGCAACCAGTCTGTACCATCGGCCCCTCCCACCACCACCAACCATTCACACACACACCAGACTCATTCTAATGTGGGGGAAGTGTCTTGCCTAGGAGGTCTTGCCTAGGAGGTCTCCATCACAGAACTAACTAGGCCCTGCCCTGCTTAGCTCCAGAGTCTGGTGGGTTCTCGCTTTCACATGCAGGTATGGCCAAAAATGACTGTAATTTCACTAGTTTTGAGTGCTGTATGGTGTATCAAACTCTTATCACACATGATGATCTTCAGATGGACTGTGAAACATGCAGAAATATGGGACCTTTAATATATGACTTTATTTATTATTGTTTCAGTTGTTTAGCAGATCACTGTATAATGTTCTTTACTCTTCAATGGTTCAATGATGGTATTTGTTTCTGCAATCATTACAAAGTCATATTGTTGAAAGTGTATGTTTTTGCACACAGAATGAATTTAAAAGCGATTAAATATAACCTAAAATGCATTCTCACTGCAGATAGCTACTGCGCATGCGCTGCGTAATGCAACCATGGCAACTCCGCACACAACTTTACGTACTCGTGGGTGTCCAGAAAAGTAGCAAGCTAGCTTCTCATAACAACAACGAATTCAGGTAAAAACTGCTTCAAAAACACGCAGCGGTGGTGTTTGGGCCGGATACAGTCACAGCAGCAGCAGCTAGCTTAGCCTTTAGCAAGCTAGCTATGAAACATGCTAACTGCAAATGTAGCAGATGTTTGCTTATGCTAACTTTACTTTAATTAGCCTCTGTTTCTGTATCTGTAGTGTTATGTGTGTTGTCTGTTTTATTTAATATTAATTTTTCTACATGTGCAATCTGTAAAACTGTCTGTTTTGCACACTTTAATACACAAATATAAAACTTTAACGGCCCTTGCTTGTCTCCATTAGGACCATCATTAGGACATGTCTCACAGTTTGAAGATGTATGTTTTATGTTTTTCACTGGTTTCCTCCTGTTTCATGCAATACCAAGAGGGCCATTTTAGTTTCATTTTTTTATCAATTATTATTCTCTTATTATTTTAAGTGTGGTAAAAGCCCTAATTTCTCATAATTTTGACTGATTTTTTTTTCTCTCTCCAACAGAAAGTCAAAAGTCAAACACATCTATGGACAGAAGCAGGTGGAAGGGTTTATCTTTAAACTAACCATGAAAATATAAAACCTGCAGCTCCTTCCTAACTGTGGATCTATGATAATAACTGTGGATCTATAATAATAACCGTAGATCTATAATAATAACCGTGGATCTATAATAATAACCGTAGATCTATAATAATAACCTTGGATCTATAAAAATAACCGTGGCCTGAGCTCGGACGCTCATGGAGCTTCTCCCAGTCCTGGATCTACTGGACACTCCATCAGAAGGAATATGGTGAGGATGTGTTTCTAATCATCAATTTCCACTCAATTATTTCTGTATAGCCTTAATTCACAGCAGTAGTAATCTTGGAGGACTTTACAAAGTTGTTGATTCGCCAACACAGACCTGAGAATCAAACCATTCAAACACAGGAAATGCAACAATAAAAAACACATCATAAATGATGATGTTGATGTTGATGGTCCTGGATCCTCACTACTGTCCTCAGACCCTCCTTAGACCCTCCTTAGACCCTCCTTAGACCCTCCTCAGACCCTCTGTAGACCCTCCTTAGACCCTCCTCAGACCCTCTGTAGACCCTCCTCAGACCCTCCTCAGAACCTCCTCAGACCCCCCTCAGACCCCCCTCAGACCTTCGTCAAAGCTGAGGATTGATCTCACTGTTGTAACTCTTTCTCTGAACAGGTATTCGTTGATACCCAGCGGCAGTGCCCCGGACGTCAGTGTTGGTCACACGTGCACTTATTATTCTTCTGAAAGTAAAGAAAAAGGGGAAATTATCATAGCGGGTGGGGCCAACCCGGGGGGCAGTTTCTCCCACTCATATGTGTTACATTTAGGTATGTATATTTTGTATACACACAAACATGACCATTTTTATCACTCACCTTTAGAGTTGAACAATTCCTGTAATTATCAGAGATAGAAACTTTCTATGTTAACAGAGAAAGTTTCTAAGAATAAACAGGATTAAACTGGAAAAACTCAGCATTGACTCTTCATTGAACTTTAATAGAGTTGATCATAATTTAGTAAAATCTTGACTAAAACAATCAGATGTTAAAAACACTTAAAGTAGCAGTATGTAATATTTACATGTCAAGTCATCATTAAATGGCCCCATATTTCAAAAGGCGTTATTAAATCATGCTCTTTTCGTATACATCTTTTACTGATAACAGTAGTTCAGGCGAGATATTTGATTATCAAAATTAGTTTTACGACCCGTAAAAGTTGTTATTGTTTTGATTTTGATGTCCTACCCTCCACTGTTTCGCCAATCAGGAAGTGTCATGTAAGTCCTTGATCGGGTTGCCAGAACTCGGCGCTGCTCACTAATCTCACTGGTAAATAACATGTGGCCGCAGAACTAAAAAGGTCTTGTTATGACTCTCAAATAATTAATGACAAAACATAGACTAAAACGAAGATTTATATCGCCTTTGAACAATTGAGACGGCTGATAAGTTTACGTGTGATGCATAATTTGCTGCTTTGACTACGTTCTTCAGAGCATTTCTGTCAGCGCAAATCGGTGGTCTAGTGATTAAAACTGTGCTATCACGATGCAGTAACCTGGGTTCGATTCCGGGTAGAGTCTTTTTGTATTTAATTGCATGTTATCACATTCTATGACAGATTGCTCTAAAAACGGTAAAAGACGAAGGTTTTTTTTGCAGATTATAGCTTAATTGTAAAAAGAATCATTTAAGACCACATGTACCCCAATTAAAATAATGTTAGTCTCTTTTTGATGTGGGTCTTATACATGTTTGTCTAAAAAATAGGGAATAAATAAAATTGAAAGGTTATATCCTCTGGAGCAAACCCTGATGTTGATACGCTGAAGAAATACGTTCCAACATCCATTCTTCCCACTCCTATTTTGGACATCAATTACTTATTTATTTTGGATAATCTATAATTACATTGCTTTTATTTTGTTGTGTGTTTTTTATCTCAAATGTCCAAATAAAAAAATAAAAAATAAACATTCATTCAACATTAGCATGCCTCATGGCAATGTGAATGGAGACAGACAAACAACTGATAAAATAATTCCCTGTGTTTGCTGCTGGATTTGGTGTGTATCTGGCAACCTGAGTCAGGGAGAGAGGGAGAGGACTACAAAATATTGACTGTGACTGCAGTACCACTTTTGGCCAGATTTTTACATATTGTTCCTTTAACTATCCATGCCATTCCCATATTCCTCAATCACACGCACTTAGCACACTGCTTTTGAGACAGCGCCTCCTACTGGCCGTGTGCCTCTATCACATGTGCAGAAGACTGTTGAAGGCATTTGAGTCTGTGATGTTTTAATGATTTTATGCAGAAATGTATTGGATCAATGTTTAAACTGTAAATATCAGATACAACATATTCCTCGAGCAGACTGCTGGCTGATAAGTTATTTACTGAATGAGCTAGCATGTTTGTTTCAATATTGAATATCCCCAAAATTCCCCAGTTTAACTCCCCAGGGAACTGTTCCAGCCCTTTGTAACCCTTCTCACTTCCATCAGATGAAAACGTTTGGGACATCCCAGAATGGGAGGGTTTGGACCCCAGGTACGAGCACTGCAGCTTTGTGCCAGCGAGCTTCCCTCACAGTCAGTGGCTGTTTGGTGGAGCGCAGCAGACGGGAAACCTCCAGTGCATCCAGAACATACAGCTACAGGGTACGCTTGAACTGAGCTGGATTATCTTTATATAATTCAATATAATTCAGAACTGAATGAATGACCGCAGACAGTAAACCGTCCTGGAAGAAGGTTCCAGTCGTTGGAAAAGCACCAGGTTCAAGGACGTACCACACGAGCTCCGCCTGCCTCGGGGACAGACTCTTTGTGTTTTCTGGAGGAGAAGCTGGAACGAAGCCCGTGGTAGACTCTCAACTCCACGTCTTTGATTCAGGTTCGTGTTAAACACTAAGTGATTAACACATGAATACATCTTTACAACTATAAAGTGAATACATGATTCTGTTATTCTTCAAAAGTATAAAGCCGTAAAGTATTCCTACAGCGTGAGTTAATACTGCAGTAACAGCAGCAGAGTTATCATTGGACCATTCTGAGGTAAACAGTTTGTTGTTCCAGTGTCGCTCACATGGTCACAACCAGAAACTCACGGCTCTCCTCCGGCGGCTCGCCAAGGCCACGTCATTGTAGCAGTGGGATCAAAGGTCTTCATTCACGGTGGCATGTCCGGGGAACAGCTTTTCAATGATATTTTTGCTCTCGACACAGGTATGACACAGTATGATAAATATATCTGCTGTAGTTACGGACTTTACTGTTTTCTGTCTCTGAACCCTGCGGCTGATGCAGCGATGTGAATAACAATACACATGGTGCAATACACATGGTACTGTTACTCTGGTGTCAGAGCAGATAACTATAGGACACTTTAGATCCTTCAGGTGAGCAGCAGCAGAAACACATGAATTATAACTTTACTAACAAATAACAGTGCATGTTTCACTCTTTATAGAGCACTGTTCCTACACAGGGCAACACATCACACAAGAAGCACAAATAATTAGATAAAACAAACACCAACATTAGCATTAAAACAAAATTCAAATCACACAGGTTATTAAAAGCATCCCACAAAGGATTGAAATAATAGATAACAACAATGCATCAATAAGAAAGATCAAATCCTTCAGGTTTATGCACATCTAAAACTGTCTTTAACCTGGATCATCACCAGAAGAAGTCGGTCTCGTTTAGCTGCATACATCTGAAACACTGCCTCCCTGTGTTTAGTTCTGACTCTGGGACCAGCAGGAGGCCAGTCCCTGTGCTCCTCAGAGTCCCAGCAGGAGGCCAGTCCCTGTGCTCCTCAGAGTCCCAGCAGGAGGCCAGTCCCTGTGCTCCTCAGAGTCCCAGCAGGAGGCCAGTCCCTGTGCTCCTCAGAGTCCCAGCAGGAGGCCAGTCCCTGTGCTCCTCAGAGTCCCAGCAGGAGGCCAGTCCCTGTGCTCCTCAGAGTCCCAGCAGGAGGCCAGTCCCTGTGCTCCTCAGAGTCCCAGCAGGAGGCCAGTCCCTGTGCTCCTCAGAGTCCCAGCAGGAGGCCAGTCCCTGTGCTCCTCTGAGTCCCAGCAGGAGGCCAGTCCCTGTGCTCCTCAGAGTCCCAGCAGGAGGCCAGTCCCTGTGCTCCTCTGAGTCCCAGCAGGAGGCCAGTCCCTGTGCTCCTCTGAGTCCCAGCAGGAGGCCAGTCCCTGTGCTCCTCTGAGTCCCAGCAGGAGGCCAGTCCCTGTGCTCCTCTGAGTCCCAGCAGGAGGCCAGTCCCTGTGCTCCTCTGAGTCCCAGCAGGAGGCCAGTCCCTGTGCTCCTCTGAGTCCCAGCAGGAGGCCAGTCCCTGTGCTCCTCTGAGTCCCAGCAGGAGGCCAGTCCCTGTGCTCCTCTGAGTCCCAGCAGGAGGCCAGTCCCTGTGCTCCTCTGAGTCCCAGCAGGAGGCCAGTCCCTGTGCTCCTCTGAGTCCCAGCAGGAGGCCAGTCCCTGTGCTCCTCTGAGTCCCAGCAGGAGGCCAGTCCCTGTGCTCCTCTGAGTCCCAGCAGGAGGCCAGTCCCTGTGCTCCTCTGAGTCCCAGCAGGAGGCCAGTCCCTGTGCTCCTCTGAGTCCCAGCAGGAGGCCAGTCCCTGTGCTCCTCTGAGTCCCAGCAGGAGGCCAGTCCCTGTGCTCCTCTGAGTCCCAGCAGGAGGCCAGTCCCTGTGCTCCTCTGAGTCCCAGCAGGAGGCCAGTCCCTGTGCTCCTCTGAGTCCCAGCAGGAGGCCAGTCCCTGTGCTCCTCTGAGTCCCAGCAGGAGGCCAGTCCCTGTGCTCCTCTGAGTCCCAGCAGGAGGCCAGTCCCTGTGCTCCTCTGAGTCCCAGCAGGAGGCCAGTCCCTGTGCTCCTGAGTCCTAGCAGGAGGCCAGTCCCTGTGCTCCTCTGAGTCCCAGCAGGAGGCCAGTCCCTGTGCTCCTCTGAGTCCCAGCAGGAGGCCAGTCCCTGTGCTCCTCTGAGTCCCAGCAGGAGGCCAGTCCCTGTGCTCCTCTGAGTCCCAGCAGGAGGCCAGTCCCTGTGCTCCTCTGAGTCCCAGCAGGAGGCCAGTCCCTGTGCTCCTCTGAGTCCCAGCAGGAGGCCAGTCCCTGTGCTCCTCAGAATCCCAGCAGGAGGCCATGGACATACTTCCTGGTTCTAGTCAGGACTAATGTGGTCATACTTCCTGGTTCCATTGCAGTAATCTAGCCTTCTGTCTTGTGTGTTTGTGTTTAGAGTCGATGGAATGGGATGAACGTCATATTAAAGGTGACGCTCCCCCGGCAGTGGCGGCGCACTCTGCTGTGGCTCTGGATAAACACATTTATGTCTTTGGAGGAATGACCGCAGGAGGTGCTAGTAACTCCATGTACAAGTTTAACACAGGTACTTTTGTTACTGGTTTGATTCTGCTTAAATAATGCAGTAACTAATCTATTAAACGTTTCAGAGGACAACCTCTGGACAGAAATGAAATTTGAAGGAGATTTGCCGGCGAACCGTTTGGACCACTCCATGTGTGTGGTTCCTTGGAAAGTCTCTGAGACTGAAGCTGGACAGCGGGGAAATAAAATCATTCATTTGGCTTTTGCTTTTGGAGGGATGGATATGCAAGGTGTGATTCACAATGACTGTGTTGTGACTGTGATAAAGTAACTGCAATTTTTGATAAATTGTGGAAAAAGGAAACTTGTGATTTTCTTGAGCCCCATTTCCACCAAATCTTTAGGTGCTCTGCCTGACTCTGACCGACTCTAACCCACCGCTCCCCGTTTGGGAGATTTTCCACTGGCCCGGTTTAACCAGTACCAGGTCCTTCTTTAGTCCCTCTTGGCCCTGGTTCTATCCAGGTAAAGCTAGTAAAAGTTTTGACATTTGCCTGAAAAGCTGAATGCTATTACCCAGGATTACCATGTTGTGGTTCGGTTGCTAGGATATGATCTGATAAAGGTCATGGAAACAGACAAGTTTTCAACAATACACATTATGAAACCTAGACACTAAACGTTTAGTTTTAATTTACTTCACAAGGAATGGTTGAACAGTGAAAGCAGTCGGGATCAAACTAAACCGTTAGGCTAACCCTGTACATGTCATTCAAATACTGCAATTTCAGAATCTGTCATGAGTGTCCACTGATCACTATTTTTAGAATATACTTTTGTACTCTTACTAATGCAATAGCTACATTTACTGCTAATATTGATAAATACATTGAGTTGGACTAAACGGTAGAAACTAAAATCCATGTTAATACAAATAAGCACTGGTGCTCTGCATCTCATTAAACCAGAAGTTTTCTTTACAAGCATACCTAGTAAACACTAGTAATTTCCACTTTGTCCTGAGACAATAGACTAATAGTAAAACAGTCTGACCATTTAATGTACCGCCTGATCTAGGTTAGTTTGAATTTTAGATTCACATAAATATAAAAACAAAACCAGAGACTTTTCTATCAAATATTTATTTCAGCATCAATGTCCAGATTTAATAAATAAGTTTTAACATTGCCTGTGAAAAAACAAAGACATCAACACAGACACAACTCGTCATGAACCCATAACTACGTCCAGACCCCCCCCCCCCACAGATCTGCCTGAGAACAGCAGCAGCGAGCCTCAAATGTAGGCCGACAATATCTCCGCCTCCCGACGAAGAGAACACCTTCACAGACCTAAACTTTAGTCTTTTCGGTTTGACTTGTGGTGGTTCAGATCCCTCCTCAGTCTCACTTTAGAGTCATTGGAGATCCAGTAGAAGGAAGGGATGAGTGGGAATCAAGTTAAAACCTGCCTACAATTCATCCTTTTCCTCTTGCTCGCCGCCCTCTGGTGGTGGACCGCCTGCACTGCCGTATAGTTTGCCAATGATTGGCTGAACGATCTCCTCCAACTCCTTCTTCTTGGCCTGGAAGTCCTCCAGCTCCGCCTCTTGATGAGATTCCATCCATTCGATTTTCTCTTCTACAGCTTTCTCAATCGTTTCTTTGTCCTCGTCCGACAGTTTTCCACCCAGTTTTTCCTTATCTCCGATCTGGTTCTTGAGAGAATATGCGTAGCTTTCCAGCTCATTTCTTGCGTCAATTCTCTCCTTCAGTTTCTTGTCTTCGTCGGCGAAGCGTTCAGCGTCGTTCACCATGCGCTCGATGTCCTCGGGCGTCAGGCGGTTCTGGTCGTTGGTGATGGTGATCTTGTTCTTGTTCCCGGTGCCTTTGTCCTCAGCGGTCACACGCAAAATACCATTGACGTCGATTTCAAAGGTGACTTCGATTTGGGGGACACCACGAGGGGCAGGGGGGATGCCAGTCAGGTCAAAGGTACCCAGGAGATGGTTGTCTTTGGTCAATGGACGTTCACCTTAAAAGCGATAAATTAGAAAATGCCAAAAAACACTAGTTTGACTCAGGGATTGCAGAAAAGCGTCATTACCTTCATAAACTTTAATGGTCACAGTCGGCTGGTTGTCAGATGCGGTGGAGAAGATCTGAGATTTCTTGGTGGGCACCACAGTATTCCTGGGAATAAGTTTGGTCATGACTCCTCCAACGGTCTCTATACCAAGGGTCAGAGGGCACACATCCAGAAGAACCACATCACCTGAAAACCAAACACACATTTAGCCTTTGGCACCATCTAACATTACTTAGTTTTTGTTTTAGAAGCAGCCGTGTCTCACCGGTGTCTTCCTCTCCGGACAGCACTCCAGCCTGCACAGCCGCCCCATAGGCCACGGCCTCGTCAGGGTTGATGCCTCTGGAGGGCTCTTTGCCGTTGAAGAATTCCTTTACGAGCTGCTGAATCTTGGGGATACGAGTGGAGCCTCCAACCAGCACGATCTCGTGAATTTCAGACTTCTTCAGGTCAGAATCTTCCAGCACCTTCTGCACTGGCTTCATGGTGGAACGGAACAGGTCCTGGAACAAAGATTATTTTAGACCAGAGTCACCTGGAGTCTGGCTGAACTCTCGATGCTTACCATGTTGAGTTCTTCAAACTTGGCTCTAGTGAGCGTCTCAGAGAAGTCCTCTCCCTCAAAGAAGGACTCTATCTCGATGCGAGCCTGGTGCTGAGCGGACAGCGCCCTTTTCGCCTTCTCCACTTCCCGCCGCAGCTTCTGAACCGCACGATTATCTTTGCGAACATCTTTCCCAGTTTTCTTCTTGTAGAGTTTGATGAAGTGCTCCATGACGCGCTGATCGAAGTCCTCGCCTCCCAGATGAGTGTCGCCGTTGGTCGCCACCACCTCAAACACGCCGTTATCGATGGTCAGAAGTGACACGTCAAAGGTGCCGCCGCCCAAATCAAACACAAGGATGTTCTTCTCGCCATCCCTCTTGTCCAAGCCGTAAGCGATGGCGGCTGCAGTTCTACAGGGAAAAGATTGGTCTTTTAGTTCACAGTAACAATGAAAGCTGTGATCAGATAAAATTTAACTGAATAAATCACCTTTGGTCAATTAAGGGAGGACTTCTACTTTTAATCATTTTTTTCTAAAATTATACATTTCTATTTTTTTTAAATTTCCTTTCTATATGAATGTATTTTGGAATCATTCCCATCTGGTTTATAGTTGACTAGCAATTTAGTTATAACTATTCTATGTATGTAAATTATACATAGATAATAAATGTATGGTTTGCGCTTAACAGAATAACTAACACTTACGGCTCGTTGATGATCCTCATCACATTCAGTCCGGCGATGGTCCCAGCGTCCTTCGTGGCCTGACGCTGAGCATCATTGAAGTACGCAGGAACAGTGACGACCGCATGAGTGACCTGAGAATACAACATCAATTATATATTCTCCTTTTTTCACCCCTTATCAGAATTCTCTTTATTGCAAGTAACAAAAACTCAAACTAGGAATTTTCTTTGTCTTAGAGTAAAAGTATTTACTATAATTATTAATGTAATGCGACAGTGGTGTAAAGTTACATAAACCATTGTCCTGGTTTAAAATTGCTTCGGGACATCTATTCTGTGATTTTACTATGTTTACTTGCTGCAGAACCATCTTCCTCTCGTGGGAGGACAAAGAACAACTTATTTCTGGTTCCAATCACCTTCTTTCCCAAGTAGGCCTCAGCAGTCTCCTTCATCTTCACCAGGACCATGGCAGAGATCTCCTCCGGGGCAAAGGTCTTCATGGTGCCACCTCCAATATCGATCTGAATATGAGGTTTGCTCTTCTTGTCCGTAACCTGAAGATTACACACATTTTAGAACAACAGATACACGTCATACAACCGCTGGACACGTGACCGTCGCCGTACCGTGAATGGAAAGTACTTGATGTCCTGCTGCACCGAGGGCTCGCCCCAGATGCGCCCGATGAGCCTCTTGGCGTCAAAGACTGTGTTCTCAGGGTTTGAGGTGAGCTGGTTCTTGGCAGCGTCTCCGATGAGGCGCTCGCCTTCACTGGTGAAGGCGACGTACGACGGAGTGATGCGGTTTCCCTGGTCGTTGGCAATGATCTCCACACGGCCATTCTTGAAAACGCCAACGCTACAGACAAAGGGCACGGTTAGAAAAGGTTTTGGTAAGAACGGTAACAGAATACTGGTGATTTTGACCATGTACCAGGAGTATGTAGTTCCCAGGTCAATGCCGATGACAGTCCCAACGCTGTCTTTTTTGTCGTCGTCGTCAGCAAATATGCCGACCGCCAACAGGAGGACACACAACAGCCTCATCGTCTTCGTCAAGACTTTATAGGTAAGAATCCTGCAGAGAATTCAGCGATCAGCAATACTCAAACATTAGAAATATATATTTAACTAGGAATAATGTTGGCAATTATTTAGTTCAGTTTATTTTAGCCATAAGTGTTTAAAAGGACAGCGGTGATGATCCAGGACATTAGTCTCTGCCCGAATGGACCAATGGCTCAGAGTTCTTCATTTGTGTTTGAGCAGTTTGATTCTCTACATAGTTGTGGATTTGCCAACACTTGTGATTTAGGGCTATACCAAAATAAATTCTATTCAAGCTAGGTGGTTCCAGAGTGGGATGGTCCGATCCCACCCATCTCCTCAGGTCTTCAGCTCAAGACTGGCTTCACTTGAAGAAATGTAGTGTGCTCCTGCTTAGGTCGGAATTAAAACCTGCAGTTACACACCATCTTTGAAGGAGACAGTTGAAAAGCCCTCGCCTTAGACCCACTTCAGAGCTACTGCGATTATTAATGTATTAATTATGCATTATCGTATTGTTTCCATATTGCTTTGTTCAGGACTTAAGAGTTGCCCTATGTATGAAATGTGCTATACAGATAAATTACCTTGCCCTGGCCAGCCTAGACATATCACATAATGCTTAGGTCCTTAGAATCATTACGCAATTATTTACATTATTTACAACACATTTTTTACACACAAACTAAAGGTCTTAATAATGGAGGCATCACACCCTGCACATATGTAAAGCTGAATATTAAAACAGTCGCATTTCATAAAAACACGGTATAAACCAGTACCAATAAACCAATTGGACGGACTGGGGCTTACCTCTGGTCTGGGGTCTTGGTGCAGAGAGTCCCGGTGGGGGGCGGTGTGTCGCAGTAGCAGGGCAGCGGTTTGAGGCCTGGTCCAAGGTGGATTTTCACAGTTGTTCTGGTACTGTTCGGTGTGAGTGAGGCGCAGCCGCGGCGTGATCTCTCATATATATGCGTGTGCGTCTGGCCCGTCGTGGAGCCCGCTGATTGGCTGCTGGTGAGCTCGTTGGAAGGCCCTGATTGGCTCCCCTGCGCATGCTGGCCAACGCTGATTTGCAAAAGTGTCTGTGCGAGGTGACGTCAGAGCACTTCTGAGCTGCCCCGCGCTGATTGGCTGTGTCTGCACCATGTGACCGCTGCAATCCCGATAGCTGTTGGTTGGTGCAATGACACGCCAGTCCAGCACGAGGAAGTGCAATACATCCATGACCCATGTACATACTACATACATGTTCTTATCATGTACGTGTCCCTCTGAGCACTGTACATGTGTATGCAGGCGTGTGCGTGTTCCACTGGATCCTGTCTGTCTTTGAGGATTAACTACAGATATAAACACACAATTATATATGTGTAATGTGTAATGGCAAAGGAAGGTTAATGTGTAATGTTTCTTGGTCAAGCTGAAGATTGGATTGGATTTATTTTAATATATTCTCTGATCTTATGGTGTGTTTTTGTGATTCTGTTGTATAGCACCAAATCACAACAGTATTTCTCTTCTCAAAGTTGGTGATTTGCCAACACAGATCAAAGAATCAAACCATTCAACCAAAGTAAATGTGATAAAAACACACAGAGGCATTGGTCTGTGAGGCACAGAAATGTCCTCTCTGTGGGACATATGCAGTATTCATGCTGTTAAAGCCTCTGTGGGTGTTCCTGTCTGGTTTAGTTCAGCACTTTGAGTTGACCTGTGTATGAACTGTGCCATACAGATAAACCTGCCTTTGCTAATGTGTAATGTTGGTCCCCAGAACACAGATATAAACACATTTTCCATCGTTACATTCACTTGAGCATTCACTGTTGCAGAGGCAAAACCCCGGGACTGGGAGGAGTTCGGAGAGTCCATGGAGCATGACTATCGGTCGGCCTCGAAGGGGTTCTGGCAAACCGTCCGGCGCCTCAGGAGGGGGAAGCAGTTCTTTGCCAACACCATGTATGATGCGGGTGGAGGGCTGCTGACCTCGACTGGGGATATTGTCGGGCGGTGGAAGGAATACTTCGAGGTTCTCCTCAATCCCCCCGTCACGTCCTCCGTCCAGGAGGCAGAGGCTGAGGATGTTGGGGCGGATACTTCCATCTCCCTGGCCGAGGTCACCAAGGTGGTTGGCAGCCTCCATGGTGGCAAGGCGCCGGGAGTGGATGAGATCCATCCTGACTATCTAAAGTCTCTGGATGTTGTAGGACTGTCTTGGCTGACACGTCTCTGCAGCATCGCGTGGCGATCGGGGGCGGTGCCAATGGAGTGGCAGACTGGGGTGGTGGTCCCTCTCTACAAGAAGGGGGACCTGAGGGTGTGTTCCAATTATCGTGGGATCACACTCCTCAGCCTCCCCGGTAAGGTCTACTCCAAGGTACTGGAGAGGAGGCTACGTCCGATGGTCGAATCTCAGATTCAGGAGGAGCAGTGTGGTTTTCGTCCCGGTCGCGGAACACTGGACCAGCTCTATACTCTCCATCGGATACTCGAGGGTTCATGGGAGTTCGCCCAACCTGTCCACATGTGCTTTGTGGATTTGGAGAAGGCGTTCAACCGTGTTCCCCGGGGTGTCCTTTGGGGGGTCCTCCGGGAGTACGGGGTCCGGGTCCTCTGCTGAGGGCCGTCCGGTCCCTGTATGACCGGAGTCAGAGCTGTGTTCGCATTGCCGGCAGTAAGTCAGACCTGTTCCCGGTGAATGTTGGCCAAGGCTGCCCTTTGTCACCGGTTCTGTTCACTGTATTTATGGACAGAATTTCTAGGCGCAGCCAAGGGCCGGAGGGGGTCCGGTTCGGGAACCACAGGATTTCATCTCTACTTTTTGCGGATGATGTCGTCCTGCTGGCTCCAACGAACCAGGACCTGCAGCATGCACTGGGACGGTTTGCAACCGAGTGCGAAGCGGCTGGGATGAGAATCAGCACCTCCAAATCTGAGGCCATGGTGCTCGACCGGAAAAAGGTGCCTTGCCCTCTCCAGGTGGGGGGAGAGGTCCTTCCTCAAGTGGAGGAGTTCAAGTATCTCGGGGTCTTGTTCACGAGTGAGGGAAGGATGGAGCGTGAGATTGACAGGCGGATCGGTGTAGCGTGCGCAGTGATGCGGTCTCTGTATCGGACCGTTGTGGTAAAGAGGGAGCTGAGCCGAAAGGCGAAGCTCTCGATTTACCGGTCAATCTTCGTTCCCTCCCTCACCTATGGTCATGAGCTGTGGGTAATGACCGAAAGAACGAGATCGCGGATACAAGCGGTCGAAATGAGCTTCCTCCGCAGAGTGGCTGGGCGCTCCCTTAGAGATAGGGTGAGGAGCTCGGTCACACGGGAGGAGCTCGGAGTAGAGCCGCTGCTTCTCCACGTCGAGAGGAACCAGTTGAGGTGGCTCGGGCATCTGTTCAGGATGCCTCCTGGAACGCCTTCCTGGGGAGGTGTTCCGGGCACGTCCCACCGGGAGGAGGCCCCGGGGAAGACCCAGGACACGCTGGAGAGACTATGTCTCTCAGCTGGCCTGGGAACGCCTTGGGGTCCCCCCGGACGAGCTGGAGGAGGTGTGTGTGGATAGGGAAGTCTGGGCGTCTCTGCTTAGACTGCTGCCCCCGCGACCCGGCAACGGATAAAGCGGAAGAAAATAGATGGATGGATGGACATTCACTTGAGGACTGACGAACACTGTGGACCTCACACATATGTGCAATACCATGACCCACAGTCACAATGTGCAATAATGAACCCCCAGAGCCGTGCTGCTGACATGATGTAAAACATACAACTGTTTATTTCTGCACTAGAATACTAGACTTTGTACTTGCTTCTTATAGACTGCTTTCTCCATAAGGATAGACATTATATTTTATGTTATTTTATTTAGTATAGAGTTTAGTACAGAGTTGTGTTAATTTATCCTGTGCTGTGCTCCACTTTCCTACTGGTCTGTGTTGTGATGCAACACTGACATTTCCTCGCTGTGGGACGAATAAACGATCTCTTAATCTGTCATATTAAGATGAAGAGATCCTGTGACTCTGTATTGCACTTTTATTGAACTGTATTTAATGTAAATGTTATGATTGCATTGTCAAGGACCACAGATGGAAAGAATCTGGTGCCGAATCATTTTAATGCAACTGCACATCATCATTGGCCCCTCCCACCACCAACCATTCACCAGACTCATTATATTGTGGGGGAAATGCCTTGCCTAAGGACACAACCACAGTTTGGCACTTTACAGCCACCCCACTGTGGCACCTGGAGTTCCCAGATGCCTCCCATCACAGTACTAACCAGGACCTGCCCTGCTTAGCTTCAGAGGTCTCCCATCACAGTACTAACCAGGACCTGCCCTGCTTAGCTTCAGAGGTCTCCCATCACAGTACTAACCAGGACCTGTCCTGCTTAGCTTCAGAGGTCTCCCATCACAGTACTAACCAGGACCTGCCCTACTTAGCTTCAGAGGTCTCCCATCACAGTACTAAACAGGACCTGCCCTGCTAGGCTGATAGGATGTGTACATATTTGGTCATTTTTTGTATCATGTTTTTATGCTAACTTTTCCATGTTGATGGTGGTCATGGTTATTTAATAGTAAATTAGGAGATTTGTGCAAGTACAAATCCAAACCACTAGATGGCAGTGTGGGTTTGGTTAAAATGTGCTATGACATTTATGTCCACAGAGAGAGAGAGACCAGAGAGAGAGACCAGAGAGAGAGACCAGAGAGAGACCAGAGAAAAACCAGAGAGAGACAAGAGACAGACCAGAGAGAGAGACCAGAGAGAGACCAGAGAGAGAGACCAGAGAGAGAGACCAGAGAGAGAGAGACCAGAGAGAGAGACCAGAGAGAGACCAGAGAAAGACCAGAGAGAGACCAGAGAGAGACCAGAGAGAGAGACTAGAGAGAGAACAGAGAGAGACCAGAGAGAGAGAGACCAGAGAGAGACCAGAGAGAGAGAGACCAGAGAGAGAGACCAGAGAGAGACCAGAGAAAGACCAGAGAGAGACCAGAGAGAGACCAGAGAGAGAGACCAGAGAGAGAGAGAGACCAGAGAGAGACCAGAGAGAGACCAGAGAAAGCGAGACAGTTTTTAAAATAAATGAATGAATTCAATCCTACGGTTTATGATGAGTAAGGCAGAGTACACTATGTACTCTAAAGTATGTACCCTACAGTAACAATAAAGAGTGTGTTTATTTAAAATACAGTATATTTGTTTTATTTATACGTACGTAATAAACATAAGAACAATCACCACCATTTATTTAAACATCTCAGCGACCGGGGACATCCAGGAAAAAACATACATGTCACAGCAACATGACCAAGACCCAGTCACAGCTACATGACCAAGACCCAGTCACAGCTACATGACCAAGACCCAGTCACAGCAACATGACCAAGACCCAGTCACAGCTACATGACCAAGACCCAGTCACAGCTACATGACCAAGACCCAGTCACAGCAACATGACCAAGACCCAGTCACAGCTACATGACCAAGACCCAGTCACAGCAACATGACCAAGACCCAGTCACAGCAACATGACCAAGACCCAGTCACAGCAACATGACCAAGACGGGCCAAGTAGGGCTGGTGGAAAAGTGGCTTAGTATATATTTTCATTTTGTTATTTATTTGATCAGGGACAATGTACAATGGGGGGTTAAAGAGACAGGTCCAAACATGGCTGGGGACATCTCCATACACTGCTGTCATATACACTGCCCTAGAACACCAAACTAACCATAATACTGCTGTCGTTGTGTCCTTGGGCAAGACACTTAACCCCACTTTGCCCAAAAGCCCCCACTGAAAGATCAAGGCTATGCTCACACTCAGAGAGCAGCCTTCCTCCTGTGGACTCACCACCTGCAGAGGGTCAGTGAGGGGCTGGTGCTATGAGACTTGGGTGGCATCTCTGATTGCCACCCCCCTGACCCAGAAATGGATTAAAGGGTAGAAAATGGATGGATGGACAGTAATAACACTGTCTGGTTGACTGTGCTGCAGTAAAGTGGGGATTTAGGTTCTCTGTTGCAAAAACAAAAGTAATGAGTTTTACGAGAAAGAAAAAGGCTGTTGTTAATATTAATCTGTATGGGGAGAGATTGGAGGTAGTGAATGAGTTTAAATATTTAGGATTATGGTTTGACAGTAGAGTGACATGGAAGGGGCATATTCAAAAGATTGTAGAGAAAAGCAAAAAAGTTTTAAATATAATGAGATGTTTGAGAGGTGCCTTAAGAAGGTCTATGTTGCGCTTGTTAGGTCAGTGATTGATTATGGATGTGTGGTGTTTACTTCTGCGTCAAAAAGTAATCTTAAGAAGTTAGATGTGGTTCAGAGCCAAGCCTTAAGGATATGCAGTGGTGCGATGACGTCAACTCCAGTGGCAGCCTTGCAGGTTGAGATGGCAGAGATGCCATTGGAACTACGAAGAAAGCAACTACTGCTCAATTACTGGGCTAACCTCAGAGGGTGCAGCAGAGGTCATCCAGGGTTGGAGGTGTTAAGACCCTGTCAAGAGATATTCAAACTTCAAGTGAATAGCTTTGGATGGGTCTGTGAGAGTGAAGCGAAAGAAGCACAGATATTTCAATTAGACATGAGTCCAACAGTGCCACTTTCAGTTATCCCTCCTTGGAATATGAAAGAGGCAAGCATTGATCTGGGTCTTTTAGGTAGAGAAAAGTGTGGAAGTAAGGGAGTAGAGAAATATCTAGGGAAATATGGGGAGCAAGCAATGGTTTTTACTGATGCGTCAAAGTTAGAGGATGGGAGGATTGGAGTTTCTTTTGTCATCCCAGTACTAGGTGTAGTTGGAAAGTGACAATTTAGCAGTATATACAGGTGAGCTTATAGCAATTCTATTAGCATTGGAATGGGAGGAAGAAAGTGGACCAGAGAGAAGTGTAGTAGCTTCAGATTCAAGTAGTGCAGTAGTAAGTATTAAAAACATGAATTCGAGATCCAGACCAGATATAATAGTAGAGATAGGACACACTCTAGAGAGAATATATAGGAAGGGAAAAGTGGTGACATTAGTGTGGGTCCCAGCTCACATAGGGGTGGAGGGAAATGAGTTAGCAGATATGTTTGCAAAAGGAGGGGCAAAAAAAGGGGAGGTTGACTTTCCAATTAAGTATGGTAAAGCAGAACTCAAAAGCATAATAAAAGTAAAAGTGAGAGAGCAGTGGCAAGAAAGGTGGCAAGAGGGGTTAAAAGGAAGATTTTTGTATGAAATACAAAAGGAAGCAGAACTTAAGATGAAGGATTGGGGTTCGCTAAATAGAAGGGAGGAAGATATATTGTCAAGGTTGAGATTAGGGCATACAGGACTAAATGATACATTAGAATAATAGGGAAGCATGAGACAGGCAATTGTGATGTGTGCAGGACAAGAGAAAATGTGGAACACGCCATTATTCAGTGCCCCAGATATAGAGAGTATAGGGAGCCACTTAAACAAGTACTGAGAAGTCATAAAATTGTATTTTGTGTAAAGGATATATTGAAAGTTTGTGATAAAGAGGTTGTTAGAAAATAATTGTTTAAGTTTCTGAAGAAATCTGGGTTGGAAGGTAGGATTTAAGGCTAGGATCTAGTTGTTGTCTGTGGGGGCCATCCTAGCCCACACTCCACTCCGGAAGGTGGCAGTAATGCACCAAAAGTTGTTTGCCTTAAAACAACACGAGAAGAAGAAGAAGAAGAAGAAGAAGAAGAAGAAGAAGATTGTGCCGCTCTCCGGCGCCCTCTGCGGCCGGGCGCGGCTCTGATGACGTGGTTCGGTCGGTGGTTGTTCACAGCAGCAGGATGGCCGACCAGAGCAGGCAAATAAAACTCGCTGCAGCTAAGAAAAAGGTAAAACACCGGCAGTAAGTGGTTTCTCTCCGTGGCTCAGACATCAGCCCGGGTTTGTGGATGTGTTTCCGGGTGTGGACCCTGTGCTGCCCCGGGACCAGGCTCCGGAGGCCGCTGTGACAGAACCAGATCCACACAGACCCTGGGCTTATTCTAACTAAACAGACAGAACCTTCTGTCTGGAGCACTATAGTGTATGAGTTTGTTTTCAGTGTCAGTCACTTCCACCTGCACAGTGTGTGTTTGAAGCGTTTTAAGTTTGTGCCAACTGCTAATGCTAACTAGCCTCTGATGCTAACTCACAGACTGAACTTAAGTCTGGTCTTTGCTTGTTTTTGCACATGAAGCTGTTTGGAATTCACGTCTGAAGCAGGTGCACTGTCTGGGCAAGGAGCTGTGGACCCTGGGGATAGTTCTGTGGCTGTTTGGGGGTGGTTCTGTGGGTGTTTGTGTGTGTGTGGGGCTGTTTGGGAGTGTGTGGGGCTGTTTGGGAGTGTTTGGGGCTGTGTGGGAGTGTTTGGGGCTGTGTGGGGGTGGTTCAGTGACTGTTGTGACAGCTGACACCCCGGTCTTGGATCCTGATGTTTGGACCATCAGCTGGAACACAACCAGGAAACGTGCCTCCTTCAGCTGTGGACTAATTCACGTCCACACATTGATAATTACGAAATCATGTGATAGTATTGTTGTTTTTGCAGTGTATTATGCAGTGACAGTAGTTTGTCCTATTTACTAATGGATCCTATTATTACAACAGAATTATTGGAAATATCCCGTTTTAGTTGAAAAGCCCTTTATATCAGACAGAACTGTTATCTCTGTATTTCTCTCTGGTCTCTCCCTGGTCTCTCTCCCTGGTCTCTCTCTGGTCAGATATTCAGATTTGAACATTTCAGCAATATAAGTCAAATATGTGATATTGATCTGTTCTCAGCTGAAGGAGTTTCAGCAGAAAGGCTCACCGGGCAGCGCTGGGGGAGAGAAGGCTGTTTCAGGAGCAAAGAAGAAGAGAAAAGTCAAATCTAATCAACTTGATCAGTCCGACGACAGGAGTTCCCCTGAAAATGTGAACGTAAGTATCATTTATGCCATATGTGAGACCACAAAGAACTAATTCTAATGTCAGTTTATCTGTTGTTTAATTTTAACTAAACCCACAAATTGTCTAAGGTTCAGTTCATGTACTTTTCTTTACACAGTGGTCCTTATATCGCGGTTCAACTATCAGCAATTTTTGTGTTTTTAAGTCAGAATAAAATCTTTGGGGCTTGTGTGCACCGCTGTGCAAGACTCTGGTCTCTCTCTGGTCTCTCTCTCTGGTCTCTCTCTGGTCACATATTGATGGAGTAATAATGAGTCAACACTGTTTGTTCAGCAGCTTGCTCTATTTGCTCTTGGTGTTGTGTGTAAGACATAAAGCATTCTCAAGTCCCTTCCCCAAGTCTCTTCCCCAAGTTCCTTTCCCAAGTCCCTTTCCCAAGTCCCTTCCCCAAGTCCCTTCCCCAAGCCCCTTCCCCAAGTCCCTTCCCCAAGTCCCTTCCCCAAGTCCCTTCCCCAAGTCCCTTCCCCAAGGCCCTTCCCCAAGTCCCTTCCGCAAGTCCCTTCCCCAAGTCCCTTCCGCAAGTCCCTTCCGCAAGTCCCTTCCGCAAGTCCCTTCCGCAAGTCCCTTCCGCAAGTCCCTTCCGCAAGTCCCTTCCGCAAGTCCCTTCCGCAAGTCCTTTCCGCAAGTCCCTTCCGCAAGTCCCTTCCGCAAGTCCCTTCCGCAAGTCCCTTCCGCAAGTCCCTTCCGCAAGTCCCTTCCGCAAGTCCCTTCCGCAAGTCCCTTCCGCAAGTCCCTTCCGCAAGTCCCTTCCGCAAGTCCCTTCCGCAAGTCCCTTCCGCAAGTCCCTTCCGCAAGTCCCTTCCGCAAGTCCCTTCCGCAAGTCCCTTTCCGCAAGTCCCTTCCGCAAGTCCCTTCCGCAAGTCCCTTCCGCAAGTCCCTTCCGCAAGTCCCTTCCGCAAGTCCCTTCCGCAAGTCCCTTCCGCAAGTCCCTTCCGCAAGTCCCTTCCGCAAGTCCTTCCCTCCCTTCCCAAGTCCCTTCCGCAAGTCCCTTCCCCAAGTCCCTTCCCCAAGTCCCTTCCCCAAGTCCCTTCCCCAAGTCCCTTCCCCAAGTCCCTTCCCCAAGTCCTCCCAAGTCCTTCCCCAAGTCCCTTCCCCAAGTCCCTTCCCAAGTCCTTCCCCAAGTCCCTTCCCCAAGTCCCTTCCCCAAGTCCCTTCCCCAAGTCCCTTCCCCAAGTCCTCCCAAGTCCCTTCCCCAAGTCCCTTCCCCAAGTCCCTTCCCCAAGTCCCTTCCCCAAGTCCCTTCCCCAAGTCCTTCCCCCTTCCCCAAGTCCCTTCCCCAAGTCCCTTCCCCAAGTCCCTCCCAAGCCCCCCAAGTCCCTTCCCCAAGTCCCTTCCCCAAGTCCCTTCCCCAAGTCCCTTCCCCAAGTCCCTTCCCCAAGTCCCTTCCCCAAGTCCCTTCCCCAAGTCCCTTCCCCAAGTCCCTTCCCCAAGTCCCTTCCCCAAGTCCCTTCCCCAAGTCCCTTCCCCAAGTCCCTTCCCCAAGTCCCTTCCCCAAGTCCCTTCCCCAAGTCCCTTCCCCAAGTCCCTTCCCCAAGTCCCTTCCCCAAGTCCCTTCCCCAAGTCCCTTCCCCAAGTCCCTTCCCCAAGTCCCTTCCCCAAGTCCCTTCCCCAAGTCCCTTCCCCAAGTCCCTTCCCCAAGTCCCTTCCCCAAGTCCCTTCCCCAAGTCCCTTCCCCAAGTCCCTTCCCCAAGTCCCTTCCCCAAGTCCCTTCCCCAAGTCCCTTCCCCAAGTCCCTTCCCCAAGTCCCTTCCCCAAGTCCCTTCCCCAAGTCCCTTCCCCAAGTCCCTTCCCCAAGTCCCTTCCCCAAGTCCCTTCCCCAAGTCCCTTCCCCAAGTCCCTTCCCCAAGTCCCTTCCCAAGTCCCTTCCCCAAGTCCCTTCCCAAGCCCTTCCCCAAGCCCCTTCCCCAAGCCCCTTCCCCAAGCCCCTCCCCAAGCCCCTCCCCAAGCCCCTCCCCAAGCCCCTTCCCCAAGCCCCTTCCCCAAGCCCCTTCCCCAAGCCCCTTCCCCAAGCCCCTTCCCCAAGCCCCTTCCCCAAGCCCCTTCCCCAAGCCCCTTCCCCAAGCCCCTTCCCCAAGCCCTTCCCCAAGTCCCTTCCCCAAGTCCCTTCCCCAAGTCCCTTCCCCAAGTCCCTTCCCCAAGTCCCTTCCCCAAGTCCCTTCCCCAAGTCCCTTCCCCAAGTCCCTTCCCCAAGTCCCTTCCCCAAGTCCCTTCCCCAAGTCCCTTCCCCAAGTCCCTTCCCCAAGTCCCTTCCCCAAGTCCCTTCCCCAAGTCCCCTTCCCCAAGCCCCTTCCCCAAGCCCCTTCCCCAAGCCCCTTCCCCAAGCCCCTTCCCCAAGCCCCTTCCCCAAGTCCCTTCCCCAAGTCCCTTCCCCAAGTCCCTTCCCCAAGTCCCTTCCCCAAGCCCCTTCCCCAAGCCCCTTCCCCAAGCCCTTCCCCAAGCCCCTTCCCCAAGCCCCTTCCCCAAGCCCCTTCCCCAAGCCCCTTCCCCAAGCCCCTTCCCCAAGCCCCTTCCCCAAGCCCCTTCCCCAAGCCCCTTCCCCAAGCCCCTTCCCCAAGCCCCTTCCCCAAGCCCCTTCCGCAAGTCCCTTCCGCAAGCCCCTTCCGCAAGTCCCTTCCGCAAGTCCCTTCCCCAAGTCCCTTCCCCAAGTCCCTTCCCCAAGCCCCTTCCCCAAGCCCCTTCCCCAAGCCCCTTCCCCAAGCCCCTTCCCCAAGCCCCTTCCCCAAGTCCCTTCCCCAAGCCCCTTCCCCAAGTCCCTTCCCCAAGTCCGCACCACTAAAACTACATTTCTGGTCCTGGTTTAGGATTGGTTTTGGTCTCCACAATAGAATCAGGTGATGGTTTGAGACGAGATCTTACCATTAGCTCCAGTAATGACATTACGGTGCTTCTACTTTAAAAAACCAGCGATGTTCACCGTTAACATGAGGACTTATTTGTTAAACTTAATTTGGTGCATGTTGTTCTAATGTAGGTCAGAGGAAATGCTCCTGATGCCCTGAAACCTGTGTCTTCATCTTTCACTCTCATCTTTACTCTTTTAAGACCCACCTTTGACTCATGTTTTTCCCTTTCCTTTCTGTCTTTCTCTGTAGTTTGACAGTATTTTAAAATCCTTAAGTGAAAGTAATGGCCTAGTGCTTCCTGAACACAGCCAGGTGAAACAGGTGAGCTGTTTCCTGTCTGTGTCTTTCTGCATTCCTCTGCTCTGACTCTCCTTGACTTTGGCCCTGGTGTTTTAAACTGCTCTAATGTGATACTCAGGGTGTTCTGCTGCAGGCATGCAAGGAAAGGACAGTTTATTTGTATAGCACAGTTCATACTCAAGGCAACTCTAAGTGCTTCCTCAGTGACCACTGAGGAAACTTTCCATGGGAATTCTATTGAATTTATGCAAATTAAGTTTAAAGTTGGCTCTTCAGAAGGAATTTAAATATTTTGTATACAATTATTTTTTACCTTAATCTTGACTGAAACCAACGGATGCTTTTCAAATACACATTCCTCAATCACATGCACATAGCACCCTGCCATTGAGAGCACGCCCCCTACTGGCTGTGTGCCCCCATCACATGTACAGAAGGTTTCAGACTGGCCCAGACTTTTGGGCCCAGATCACGAGACTCAAATCTGTGCCGTCAGTGACGTGAGCTTTGATGATGGTACTTGTTTAGAATTACAAATAAATCTGTCTGACTTCTTTATATTTCTGCTTGGATATGATACAGTTTAATCACATCACACTTCATTTCCAGTTATTGAATATTTCCATATTTCTCCAGCTTAACTGAAATATATCTGAAATATATATAGCTGAAAATTATATAGAAACTGTCCGGAAATTTACCCTAACTTTACGTATCTTGGGGCCTCCAACCCCCTGAGTTACAGCACCTTATGTCTCATGTGTTTAATTTGCCTTCTATGAATGTATATTATTATATTATTCAGCACAAAACCTTTGAGTTTGATGCATTCATTGCATGTGGCACAACTTTTATAATGACCTGCAGCACGATCAATGTTTGACCATCATTTATTCATCACATATTTATATATATTTATATTAGGGCTGTCAAACGATAAACAAAATTGTGTTGATTAATCGCATCGTAATGGTGAGTTAACTCCCGATTAATCGCATTTTTAACTTTCTATTTCAAATCCAACATTCTATTTCAAATTAAGTTAACTCCAATTGAAGTTAAATGAGATTTTCAAATGTAATGACACACTGTTATTCATACCAAATGTACTTCAATCTGTTTGACTTGCTCAAAACCTTCTACTTTTGGGTACAACCAACAAGAGCTGTTAATAAAAGGGAAAATGTTGGTACCCCAGCTTTAATTTTGCAAGTTTAGTTGCATTTCAGCGTCTCTCCTCCGTGTGTCACACAACATCAGAGAATGTCCCCTGTGCGTGTATATATGCGTGTATTATATGACCACGTCACCGCTGCCACCATCACACACGTGTCCCTGGCCTTTTGAGTGATATTATAAATGGGCGGGTCATTCGGACATGCGTTAATTATTTTTTAACGCGTTAATGAAAATAGTAATTAGCGTGAATTAACGCGATAATTTTGACAGCCCTAATATATACACACAGCTTCATATTGAGCATGTATTATATGTTTCTAGGCGGATGTGGAGCTGATGCAGGAGGAGCCCTTGCTCCAGTTGTCCCAGAATGCAGCTGTGTCTAACCCCGCTGTCACTAACAATACTAACCTCCAGTTTGTCAGTCACTGCAGCGTCCTGCAGGTGTGTCTTTGTTCAGATGTGGTTTGTCTGTCTCAGTAAATGTCTTGGGTGTTTAGCCTGGGTATTACTGCTTAGAGCTGACTCTGATGTATACTGAGGCCTCTGACTCTATGATGTATACTGAAGCCTCTGACTCTATGTTGTTTACTGAGGCCTCTGACTCTATGATGTATACTGAGGCCTCTGACTCTATGATGAATACTGAGGCCTCTGACTCTATGATGTATACTGAGGCGTCTGACTCTATGATGTATACTAAAGTAAGTAAGTAAGTTTTTATTTATATACCGCCTTTTCACTGCAGATCTGAGTCTCAAAGCGGTTTACAATTGTTAATTTTGGGCATTAGTCTCTCTCTCCACACAGAGATGGGAGCGGGGCCAGTACAGGAGGCACATGCTAGAACTATTGGACATATTTTTAGTGGTAGGGGAAACCGGAGTACCCGGAGGAAACCTACGCAGACACGGGGAGAACATGCAAACTCCACTCAGAAAGGCCCTGGTCCGACCGGGATTCGAACCCAGGACCTTCTTGCTGAGAGGCGAGAGTGCTATCCACTCAGCCACCGTGCCGCCCTGAGGCCTCTGACTCTATGATGTATACTGAAGCCTCTGACTCTATGATGTACAGTGCCTTGCGAAAGTATTCGGCCCCCTTGAACCTTTCAACATTTTGCCACATTTCAGTCTTCAAACTAGGGGTGGGCGATATGGCCTAAAATTCATATTGCGGTATAATTTGGGACACAGACGGTAGACGGTATATATTGCGGTATAATTTGGTGTGAATTTCAATATAGGTCTAGCAGGTTCTTGCATAAAATAGTCAAGATTGTTACTTATTTATATATTAGAATCTAATATATATATATTTTTAGTTATTCAGTGAGACGAATAAAGAGACAAATGTTGTAACATACATTATTTATGTATGTTACAGTAAATACCGTTCACTGTAAAAGCAATTTTTAAAAAGAAAAACATGTGCATTCATTTAGAATATAAAAAACTCACAAATGTTGAAATCAAAGTCTGTAGGAGTTAGACATGGTCATTATTTATAGTGTCTGAGAGTTTTGTGCAGGTACATGACTTCAGTAAAAGCTATTGTTCGTTTACAAAGCTGGTCTTGCCATTTGTTGACGCTCCCTAAGCACTTTTCTCTGCGCTTGCAGTGAACTGGATGATTCAATGGATTTATGTTTTAAAACAGCGCATTGGATTTGAACAATTGATGTAAATGATCATTTTGGCACAATAAATGTTGTTTAACAAAGTAGCTTTCGTGAGATATTGACCGCGGAGGTCCGAATCTGACGCTAACTTTCGCAAACTTCTGCTGTGATGCTGTGGACACGGCACACGCATGGATCTATTTTGGCTCACGCTGGCGCTTCGAGCCTACGCCCCTTTGACACTGATTGGCCAAAAGGTAGACGCTTAAACTGTGTGTGTATTTACCTCTGCTGGGGCCGCTGTGACAACAATACATAGACAGAAACACGGTGTTAATGCCGTGTTTCCAGTGGTGTCTGCTAGGCTAATAGTGCAAGGCTAATAGTGCTAGGCTAATGCTGCTGAATGCCGGTTTGTTTTGGTCCTTTCTGTTGGCGTCAGAGCCTGCGCAATTTAATGACATAATGACCTATCGCAATATGCCGGTATAACAAAAATCTCTACCGTGGGCCAAATTTATATCGCATACCGCTTATACCGTTTATATCGCCCAGCCCTACTTCAAACATAAAGATATAACATTTTATTTTTTTTGTCATGAATCAACAACAAGTGGGACACAATCGTGAAGTGGAACAAAATTTATTGGATAATTTAAACTTTAAAAAAAACTGAAAAGTGGGGCGTGCAATATTATTCGACCCCTTTACTTTCAGTGCAGCAAACTCACTCCAGAAGTTCAGTGAGGATCTTTGAATGATCCAATGTTGTCCTAAATGACTGATGATGATAAATAGAATGCACCTGTGTGTGATCAAGTCTCCGTATAAATGCACCTGCTCTTTGATAGTCTCAGGGTTCTGTTTAAAGCGCAGAGAGAACCATGAAGACAAAGGAACACACCAGGCAGGTCCGAGATACTGTTGTGGAGAAGTTTAAAGCCGGATTTGGATACAAAAAGATTTCCCAAGCTTTAAACATCTCAAGGAGCACTGTGCAAGCAATTATATTGAAATGGAAGGAGTATCAGACCACTGCAAATCTACCAAGACCCGGCCGTCCCTCCAAACTTTCATCTCAAACAAGGAGAAGACTGATCAGAGATGCAGCCAAGAGGCCCATGATCACTCTGGATGAACTGCAGATAACTACAGCTGAGGTGGGAGAGTCTGTCCATAGGACAACAATCAGTCGTGCACTGCACAAATCTGGCCTTTATGGAAGAGTGGCCATTTCTCAAAGATATCCAATAAAAAGTCTCTTAAAGTTTGCCACAAGCCACCTGGGAGACACACCAAACATGTGGAAGAAGGTGCTCTGGTCAGATGAAACCAAAATCAAACTTTTTGGCCACAATGCAAAACGATATGTTCGGCGTAAAAGCAACACAGCTCATCACCCTGAACACACCATCCCCACCTCAGCTGTAGTTATCTGCAGTTCATCCAGAGTGATCATGGGTGTCTTGGCTGAATCTCTGATCAGTCTTCTCCTTGTTTGAGATGAAAGTTTGGAGGGACGGCCGGGTCTTGGTAGATTTGCAGTGGTCTGATACCATGGATGTATTATATTAACTGGATAGGGTATTACTAGCTTGTAGCTGAATAACTCACGTGCTCAGGGGATTCTCGCGGTACTGCAGACTGAACCAGACTAAATTCACGTGGGCTACCCAGAAATTTTCCCCATAGAACTCAATGCATATTAAAACAGCTCGACCTCAGCTGACAGAGAACCTACAGCTTTAATAAAGATCGGATTTTGTGGGGATTTTAGTGTCCCTTGTCATCCTGAACTTTTTTTCTTCTTAAATCTTTCGGTTTTGTTTAAATCCACACTTTAGTGCCACAAACTCTGCTCCTCTGGCTCTCGCTCTAACTCCCGCTCTGATAAACTGCTCTGATTGGTCAGAGCGCGGCCGAGCCCCTCTGTGCACGTGCGTGAGACCCGGTGTGAGACCCACACACGCGTGTTTGGCGCAACGCATTATGGGAGATCATCCACTGCGCAGAACCGGGAGGACCAGACGATGCCCAAATACAGGCGAGTTTCCCATAGATCTTTGCGAGTTTCAGGCAACTTCCGCTAATCTTTCAGCCCCCATGCTGTCACAAAGCGCCACTGAGCACAACCATTCATTTGAATAGGGCGCCATCTTGGATCGCCGGGGCTTGTCTGATACTCCTTCCATTTCAATATAATTGCTTGCACAGTGCTCCTTGAGATGTTTAAAGCTTCTGAAATCTTTTTGTATCCAAATCCGGCTTTAAACTTCTCCACAACAGTATCTCGGACCTGCCTGGTGTGTTCCTTTGTCTTCATGGTTCTCTCTGCGCTTTAAACAGAACCCTGAGACTATCAAAGAGCAGGTGCATTTATACAGAGACTTGATTACACACAGGTGCATTCTATTTATCATCATCAGTCATTTAGGACAACATTGGATCATTCAAAGATCCTCACTGAACTTCTGGAGTGAGTTTGCTGCACTGAAAGTAAAGGGGCCGAATAATATTGCACGCCCCACTTTTCAGTTTTTTATTTGTTAAAAAAGTTTAAATTATCCAACAAATTTCGTTCCACTTCACGATTGTGTCCCACTTCTTGTTGATTCATGACAAAAAATTAAAATTTTATATCTTTACGTTTGAAGCCTGAAATGTGGCGAAATGTTGAAAAGTTCAAGGGGGCCGAATACTTTCGCAAGGCACTGTATACTGAAGCCTCTGACTCTATGATGTATACTGAGGCCTCTGACTCTATGATGTATACTGAGGATAATGATGAATTAACTCCTCTGTGTCCTCAGGAATATTCCGGCTCAAACGGCAATGGGAGTTTATCAGAGTCGCGGTGAGTATCTGCTCATCAGGTGGTTGTGTCTGTGTGGCTGTGACTGACTCTGTGTCTCTGTCTCTGTGACTCTGACTCCGTGTCTCTCTGTGTCTCTTTGTGACTCTCTCTCTGTTTGTGTCTCTGTCTCTGTGTGTCTGTGTCTGTCTGTGACTCTGTGTCTGTCTGTCTCTGTGTCTGTGTCTCTGTGTCTGTGTAGGCCTTTGTCTTCCACGGAGAGTCTGCGGCAGCTCTCGCAGCAGCTGAACGGCTTGGTGTCTGAGGTACGTCTCTCTCTCTGGAGTTTTTAGATTATGACCAAATGAGTTTGGAGCAGACAGACTTTAATAACTCTGTATTCATCTGTTTTCAGTCCTCTGCTTATGTGAACGGAGATGTTTCACCGTCTGTCTGTGAACAACACACTGAGGTAATTTATCCGTTTCATTCAGTTCATTTGGAAAAACAGTTATTGTCAGAACATTTGATTCTGCTCAAGAAGTGATGAAGCATTGTTAACCCAAAGTCTTTCAGTTCAGTGTATTTGTGTAAAGCCCTGAAACAGCTCGGCCGCATTTACTGATCTCACAAATGTCATAAAGCGTCCTTTTAACGCCGTGAAAACTACAGGACAAAATAAACCACACAACTTCTTATCTATGTTACAAAAATTACTAAAATGAAACTTAAAATTAGCTAAGTCTTTCAGCTATACACGACATGTAACACAATTAACACACTGTTATACACAATACCATAGTTACTTATACACAACACACACACATTACAATAGTTACTTATACACAACACACACACATTACAATAGTTACTTAGACACAACATACACACACAATACAATAGTTACTTAGACACAACATACACACACAATTAGGGGTGCAACGGTTTGAAAAAATCACGGTTCGGTTCGTACCTCGGTTCAGAGGCCACGGTTCGGTTCATTTTTCGGTTAATTTTTCCAAAAAAAAGTGTTGTCTTTTTATTAAACACAACTCATGTGGATTTGACACCTGCTCTGACTGCCACCCCTGACCTAGAAATGAATGAAGGGGAAGAAAATGGATGGATGGATGGATGGAAGGCATATTCCATCCATCCAATTATGTCTATTTAACTAATTAATGAAAAACAACACAAAATGCAACATAAGAAGGCTCTTTATGAGGGTATTTACCCTCATATATTAAACCACCTTCCTGATTCTCCCAAGGAGGCGGTCCATTCTTTGGCATTATCAGTTGTGACTGGGATATTAGTACTGGGCCTTTGTCTTCCATTCCTCCGCTGCTTGTGTCAGTACCTGCGCTGTGTGACTGTGTGACTGTCGTAGAGGGGGCGTGTCTACAGCGCCGGACTTCTCATCTCCCAGTCTGCAGTGATGAAGTGAGCGGTTCCGCTCATGGATCTATTATAGTTCTGTGGGACGTCCAAGCGTCAGTCTTGAGCGCAGCTGAGGCTGCGCGGGAGAGTTGACTTTAGCCCGGTCTGACTGTGTAAAGGAGCTGCTTAAATGCTGCGACAAAAGGCGGTCGTTGAGACGCTTTTTTCACTCATGTCTTTCTTGTGCCTCAGTATTTACACATCGTGACAGTTTTGTCGAATATTAATTATCAATGTAGTTACAGTGAAGCCAAAATGCTCTCATACTGGGGATTTAAATTACGCGGGGCTTTCAAGCTCCTCCGTTCCTCTGGTCGCAATGACCGCGCTGTGTGTGGACTGAACAACTTGCGCACAACTTTTTTTTCATAAATCAAACCGCGGATCACGTCTGTACCGAACCAAAGACGTTGAACCGAACGGATCACGGATCATTGATGAACCGTTGCACCTCTACACACGGTACAATAGTTACTTATACACAACATACACACAATACAATAGTTACTTATACACAACACACACACACAATACAATAGTTACTAATACACAACACACACACAATACAATAGTTACTTATACACAACACACACACACAATACAATAGTTACTTATACACAACACACACACAATACAATAGTTACTTATACACAACACACACACACAATTCAATAGTTACTTATACACAACACACACACACAATACAATAGTTACTTATACACAACACACACACACAATACAATAGTTACTTATACAAAACACACACACACAATACAATAGTTACTTATACACAACACATACACACAATACAATAGTTACTTATACACAACACACACACACAATACAATAGTTACTTATACACAACACACACACATTACAATAGTTACTTATACACAACACACACACACAATACAATAGTTACTTATACACAACACACACACACACAATACAATAGTTACTTATACACAATATACACACACACAATACAATAGTTACTTATACACAACACACACACACACAATACAATAGTTATTTATACACAAAACATACACACACAATACAATAGTTACTTATACACAAAACACACACACACACACAATACAATAGTTACTTATACACAATATACACACACAATACAATAGTTACTTATACACAACACACAATACGTTACTTATACACAACACACACACAATACAATAGTTACTTATACACAACACACACACAATACAATAGTTACTTATACACAACACACACACACAATACAATAGTTACTTATACACAACACACACACACACACAATACAATAGTTACTTATACACAACACACACACACACAATACAATAGTTACTTATACACAACACACACACAATACAATAGTTACTTATACACAACACACACACACAATACAATAGTTACTTATACACAATATACACACACACAATACAATAGTTACTTATACACAACACACACACACACAATACAATAGTTATTTATACACAAAACATACACACACAATACAATAGTTACTTATACACAAAACACACACACACACACAATACAATAGTTACTTATACACAATATACACACACAATACAATAGTTACTTATACACAACACACAATACGTTACTTATACACAACACACACACAATACAATAGTTACTTATACACAACACACACACACAATACAATAGTTACTTATACACAACACACACACACAATACAATAGTTACTTATACACAACACACACACACACACACAATACAATAGTTACTTATACACAACACACACACACACAATACAATAGTTACTTATACACAACACACACACAATACAATAGTTACTTATACACAACACACACACACAATACAATAGTTACTTATACACAATATACACACACAATACAATAGTTATTTATACACAACATACACACACAATACAATCGTTACTTATACACAATATACACACACAATACAATAGTTCCATCCATCCATCCATCTTCTGGATACAATACAATAGTTATTTATACACAACATACACACACACACACAATACAATAGTTACTTATATACAACATACACACACAATACAATAGTTATTTATACACAACATACACACACACACCGTACAATAGTTATTTATACACAACATACACACACAAATACATAAATACACAATACAATAGTTATTTACACACAATATACACACACAATACAATAGTTATTTATACACAATATACACACACACACAATACAATAGTTACTTATACACAACATACACACACAATACAATAGTTACTTATACACAACACACACACACAGTACAATAGTTACTTATACACAACACACACAGTACAATAGTTACTTATACACAACACACACACAGTACAATAGTTACTTATACACAACACACACACACAATACAATAGTTACTTATACACACACACACAATACAATAGTTACTTATACACACACACACAATACAATAGTTACTTATACACAACACACACACAGTACAATAGTTACTTATACACAACACACACACAGTACAATAGTTACTTATACACAACACACACACATTACAATAGTTACTTATACACAACACACACACACAATACAATAGTTACTTATACTCCACACACACACAATACAATAGTTACTTCTATACAACATACACACACAATACAAAAGTTACTTATACACAACACACACACACACACAGTACAATAGTTATTTATACACAATATACACACACAATACAATAGTTATTTATACACAATATACACACACACACAATACAATAGTTACTTATACACAACATACACACACAATACAATAGTTACTTATACACAACACACACACACAGTACAATAGTTACTTATACACAACACACACAGTACAATAGTTACTTATACACAACACACACACAGTACAATAGTTACTTATACACAACACACACACAATACAATAGTTACTTATACACAACACACACACACAATACAATAGTTACTTATACACAACACACACACACACAATACAATAGTTACTTATACACCACACACACACACAATACAATAGTTACTTATACACAACACACACACACAATAGTTACTTATACACAACACACACACAGTACAATAGTTACTTATACACAACACACACACATTACAATAGTTACTTATACACAACACACACACACACAATACAATAGTTACTTATACTCCACACACACACAATACAATAGTTACTTCTATACAACATACACACGCAATACAAAAGTTACTGATACACAACACACACACACACACACAGTACAATAGTTACTTATACACACACAATACAATAGTTACTTACACACACACACACACACAATAGTTACTTATACACAACATACATACACAATACAATAGTTACTTTTACACAACACACACACACACACAGTACAATAGTTACTTACACACACACACACACAATAGTTACTTATACACAACATACATACACAATACAATAGTTACTTATACACAACACACACACACACAGTACAATAGTTACTTATACACAACACACACACACACACACACACAATACAATAGTTACTTATACACAACACACACACGCGCACACACACACACAATACAATAGTTACATATACACAATATACACACACAATACAATAGTTACTTATACACAATATACACACACAATACAATAGTTATTTATACACAACATACACACACACACACACAGTACAATAGTTACTTATACACAACACACACACAGTACAATAGTTACTTATACACAACACACACACAATACAATAGTTACTTATACACAACACACACACAATACAATAGTTACTTATACACAACACACACACACAATACAATAGTTACTTATACACAACACACACACACACAATACAATAGTTACTTATACACAACACACACACACAATAAAATAGTTACTTATACACAACACACACACACACAATACAATAGTTACTTATACACAACACACACACAATACAATAGTTACTTATACACAACACACACACACAATACAATAGTTACTTATACACAACACACAATACGTTACTTATACACAACACACACACAATACAATAGTTAATTATACACAACACACACACACACTAGTTACTTATCCACAACATACATACACAATACAATAGTTACTTATACACAACACACACACACAGTACAATAGTTACTTATACACAACACACACACAGTACAATAGTTACTTATACACAACACACACACAATACAATAGTTACTTATACACAACACACACACACAATACAATAGTTACTTATACACAACACACACACACAATACAATAGTTACTTATACACAACACACACACACAATACATTAGTTACTTATACACAACACACACACACACAATACAATAGTTACTTATACACAACACACACACACAATACAATAGTTACTTATACACAACACACACACACAATACAATAGTTACTTATACACAACACACACACACACAATACAATAGTTACTTATACACAACACACACACACAATACAATAGTTACTTATACACAACACACACACACAATACAATAGTTACTTATACACAACACACAATACAATAGTTACTTATACACAACACACACACAATACAATAGTTACTTATACACAACACACACACACAGTACAATAGTTACTTATACACACACACACACACACACACACTAGTTACTTATACACAACATACATACACAATACAATAGTTACTTATACACAATACACAGTACAATAGTTACTTATACACAACACACACACACAATACAATAGTTACTTATACACAAAACACACACACACACACAATACAATAGTTATTTATACACAACATACACACACACACACAATACAATAGTTACTTATACACAATATACACACACAATACAATAGTTCCATCCATCCATCCATCTTCTGGATACAATACAATAGTTATTTATACACAACATACACACACACACACAATACAATAGTTACTTATATACAACATACACACACAATACAATAGTTATTTATACACAACATACACACACACACACACACACACACACAGTACAATAGTTATTTATACACAACATACACACACAAATACATAAATACACAATACAATAGTTAACATAAATACCTGTCACTCGCTCTGTCTAATCTAAACTATATATGGCTTTTTCAAAAACTCCCCCAATGTTTTTGTAATGTCACATCTGTTTCTGCAGACAGTTAGTCAGTTAGTTACAAACAAATGGACAATTCTAAAAAGCTAACAATAGTTTATATTTATATTAAAATGCAGCAGCACTTCAGGTCACAGCAGCAGAGGTGGAGAAATGAGATTTGAATTGTCAACGTTTGATGCATGACATTAATGGACTCTTGAGTTTTGTTTCATATGTTCCTGGTTCTTTCTGGTTCTTTCCTCTGTGACAGAATCGTAACCAGGAGCTGGCAGCTGCTCTGGAGTCCAGTGACGCCACAAACTCGCAGCTCAAAGCCAAACTGGAGCAGCTGGTGAGTCCATACCATCTGTACATCTCGGATCAGATATGATTCAGGGTTTCATACATGCTTCTACCTCTATCTTGAATATTTCACATTGTTCTCAGTCATTTATGTGTGTACTGTGAGGTGTGTCGCTCTGGAACTGATTTCTTTCTGAATTATAGACGGAACAATCCCAGGAGCTTTCGGATCGCTTGCTAAAGGTGATTTTCATTTTCAATAGTTTTAAAACAGTTTGGCGAGTGTCTTAACAATGCACTTGTTACTGTCTTTTCAGGAGCGTAAGGAATTTGAGCAGAAGTTTGCCAAAGAGCAGTCGGGCACTCGGGAGCAGCTACAGGTGAAGCTCCTTCTGTTTTCATGTTAGTTTGTTGTTATGAAGTTTTGAAAACACATGTATTTGTTTCACTTCAGGTCCACATCCAGACCATTGGTATCTTGGTCTCAGAGAAGTCGGAGCTGCAGACGGCCCTACAGTACACTCAGCAAGCAGCACGGCAGAAATCAGGCACATTCATTTTTAATACAGTTATAATGTTATTCTGTCACAGACACAACTCCATTCAATGTTTCAGTGTGAGGTCCTTATTCACAACCGCAGTCTCCTTTGAGGACTTCACAAAGTTGTCAAAAAGGGAATCAGAAAACGCAATAATAACACACAACTAAACACACAGGGAGCAGATGTTCATAAACGTTAATAACATCACTATGACATGGTAATAACATGGTAATAACATCACTATGACATGGTAATAACGGATGGATGACATGGTAATAACATGGTAATAACATCACTATGACATGGTAATAACATGGTAATAACATCACTATCTTATATACAGAACCAAATATACAGAGAAGAAGTTTTATATTTGGTCATGTCTTTGCATGACCGTTCCTTCACTTCTCGTTCGTAGTTGAGGCAGAAGAACTGAACAACCGTCTGCAGTCCACGAAGCACCGAGTGTCGGAGTTGGAGAGGACCCTTTCCACCGTTTCCACTCAACAGAAAATACTAGAAAAGGTTTGATGTTTGTCTGCAGTGTGGCTCCCAGTGGGTTTTCTGTAACATACTCACTCTATACTTTTCAGCACAACAAAGAGCTGGAAAAGGAGAGGGACAACCTGAGATTAGAAGTCTTAAGGTTCAAGTAAGTGGACGGCCACCTGCATCTTCCTGCGACGTTTACGTTTTAGTGACGGCTCTGTCTTTGTGGGAAAGTAATGCCAGTGAGGAGTCGAAGCAGCAAGGCTCAGAGATGTCGGAACAAATAAAACTCATTTCTCGTGAAAATGCAGCCATGAAACTGGAGCTGGAGGACCTTCACAAGAGGCTGGAGTTGGCTGACCTGATGCTGCAACAGGTCTGGGTCTGGATTCAGTCTGAATATAGAATTGATCAAAAATAAACTTCACTTTTCTCCTTTCAGTGCTCGTCTCAGTCAGATCCATCCAGCGCCAATCAGCAGGTCCAGATAATTTTAGAAGAGAAGCAGCATCTTGAATCGCTAAACCACCAGGTCAGACCCAGGACTGAGGCCGTAGACCCGGGACTGAGGCCGTAGACCCGGGACTGAGGCCGTAGACCCGGGACTGAGGCCGTAGACCCCCGGGACTGAGGCCGTAGACCCCCGGGACTGAGGCCGTAGACCCCCGGGACTGAGGCCGTAGACCCCCGGGACTGAGGCCGTAGACCCCCGGGACTGAGGCCGTAGACCCCCGGGACTGAGGCCGTAGACCCCCGGGACTGAGGCCGTAGACCCCCGGGACTGAGGCCGATCTAACAGGAGATTATTTGTGTAAAAGTATGTTGGATTATTTTTTTACAGCTCATGGAGTCAATTTCACAACTCAAGACCGAGAGAGACCGTTACGTGGAGCAAATCCAAGAGGACGGCCACGTGTGGAAGGACAAGACAGAACAGCTTCTGACCCAAGTAAACATGTTTTTTGTCCAGACTGTACCCGAAGAGTCTTTAGGAGAAGTAGAGTCCAAACTTCCCTGTGTGCAGGTGGCCTTAGTGGCCGAGGAGAGAGACCTGAACATCAGCAGAGTCCAAGAACTGGAGGAGAGCGTTCATGAGCTGAAGGAGTCTTTAGGTGAGTGCACAGAACAAATATCAGCAGAAAAACTATTACATGGAAAACATACTTTATCTTCATCAGCTTCAATCAAACAAGAACATGAGGCTGTTGGTGCAGAAGGGTCACAGTCCTCTGGGCCCTCGGAGGCAGAAGTCTCTCTGCAGGAGGCTCTGGACCGTGTGCAGCAGCAGAACCAAGCTTTATCTGCACAGTACCAGGCTCAGGTAATGACAACAACTACACAGTACCAGGCTCAGGTAATGACAACAGCTACACAACTACACAGTACCAGGCTCAGGTAATGACAACAACTACACAACTACACAGTACCAGGCTCAGGCTCAGGTAATGACCACAACTACACAACTGCACAACTACAGTGCCTTGCGAAAGTATTCGCCCCCCTTGAACCTTTCAACATTTCGCCACATTTCAGGCTTCAAACATAAAGACGGAACATTTTAATTTTTTGTCATGAATCAACAACAAGTGGGACACAATCGTGAAGTGGAACAAAATGTATTGGATAAATGTATTGGATTGTATTTTAACAAATAAAAAACTGAAAAGTGGGGCGTGCAATATTATTCGGCCCCTTTACTTTCAGTGCAGCAAACTCAGTCCAGAAGTTCAGTGAGGATCTTTGAATGATTCAATGTTGTCCTAAATGACTGATGATGATAAATAGAATGCACCTGTGTGTAATCAAGTCTCCGTATAAATGCACCTGCTCTTTGATAGTCTCAGGGTTCTGTTTAAAGCGCAGAGAGAACCATGAAGACAAAGGAACACACCAGGCAGGTCCGAGATACTGTTGTGGAGGCGGCTTCACTAAGACGCTCTTTAGTAACTAGCTTTTAAAAGGTCTGAGGAGTAACCTAATTTTATCCTTTTGACTGATGTAGTTAAAATAGTGCATATCCCGGTAAAACAAAACAAACGTCTCGCTCGTGTGTAAGCACACAGGCACAAACACAGTCTATGGTTCTCCCGTGCTTTCCAGAGGCCAGTGCCGCCCTTAACGGAGCACTTGGGTAGTAACTGTGTTTTCATAACTACGTTACTCATTGTATTTGCGTTACTCAGTAACTCATTCTCTAGACTGTTCCATTGTTATAGTCTGATTGTGTCTTGATGCTTTGGCTGTAGCTGCGGGACAACGAGCAGCTGAGTCGAATGTGTGAGGAGCAGGAGGCCCGGCTGGGGGAGCTGCAGCGGCAGGTGGAGGCACAGACACAGGAGGCCGAGGACCGTCGCCGGATGCTGGAGGACGTGCAGTCGGACAAGGCCACGATTAGCCGCGCTCTCACCCAGAACCGGGCCCTCAAAGAGCAGCTGGCCGAGCTGCAGAGCGGCTTCGTCAAACTTGTGAGTCATTTCATCGACTGATCGCAGCTACAGCAGTCTGTCCAAACATCCATGCTCCTGGACCTGCAGAAGTGTAACCACTGTGCCCCAAGTGAGAGACCGGGATAACCAGAGCATGAGCCAATGAGCACAGGCCTTTGGGCAGACATCTTGGAGATCCGTGACTGGACTCTTGAGAGTTCTTGTTTTCTCTAACACTAAAAAATCTATGTCTTCAAAAGCTTTTGGTCTTTGTTGGTCTTCATTTGACTGTCCTCCGCGGCCCTTAAATCTGTAAAGCTTCGTGCCATAACTGCATCAAATATTTCCATCTAAAGCAAACAGCGTTTGTTAGCAGTGGACTGACATCACCATAGTGTTAGCTAAATGGCGAAAGAAGGCATCTGATTGGTCAGTCCTTATACGGCTCAGATCGGCAAATACAAAGGCAATATCAAAATATAACCACCAGGATCACAGAGAGAGATAAAACAGTCCATTTTTAAAGCCCAAAATGGTGAGTGTGTCGCAAACGTTTCTGAGCGAGTTTACTGTTACACGTCGATAGGAGAAAAACCTCTGTGCTTCATTAAGCTAGCACGTTAGTATTGTCCGTCCTTAAACAGACCATGATCTAAAGTCAAACCAAAAACAGCCCAACACTGAAGCAGAATCTTTTAATGACAAATGTTTTTAGACGAACGAGAACATGGAGCTGACAACCGCCATCCAGTCGGAGCAACACGTCAAGAAAGAGCTAGCTCGAAGAATGGGTGAACTGCAGGAGGAGCTGCACAACGTCAAAGAACAGGTATTCACACACTCATCCTGGTTATATTCACTTCCTTGGGTTTGTTCAAAGCCCTTCATCACAACAGTGGCCTTTAGAGGGCTTTGCAAAGTTATAAATACAATAGAAACACAAAGGAACTGATGTTCTCTGTTTATGTCCCGGATCATCACTGTCCTTAGACCTGCTGCATCCGCACGGAACAACTCTAAATATAATTATATTATTATTGTTATTATTGATATTATTGATAGTAGTGGTGGAATGAGAATAGTAAGTATAATAAAATGATTATCATAATTGGAACATTGATATCTGGTTTGAGCCATTTTTATATTTTTGGTATTGGTCTAATTTGTTAATTTCTTTACGAAGGGGGAGGAGTTTATACGATTTTTATTCTTCATCCTACTCTTGTTCTTCCTTTCATGGAATGTTTCACTGTTGTATTGACAGGATTATTGTGATATTTTGTTGCATTACCATAAAAAAGGGAACTTAAGTAAATAAATAAATAATAAATATACAGTTATGCAGTAAGAGAATGTCTCCAGATCCTAATGGCTCACTCCAAACTAAACTGTGTCAATGTGTGACACAAAAAAGTCCCTAAATGTCTAATGTTGCAACTGAATGTTCAGACTCTTGTCTCCAGCCTTTTGTCCAGTAGAGGGCGCTGATTCGTTCACGCCTGTATTATTTACAGCAGAAGTTTTGGACGTATAAAAAGGCCTTTTTTTTTTTTCAATATCGATACTTGGCAAATGCATATCGATAATCGAATCGCGGTAGAAAGTATCGCGATATATTGTCACACCCCGTGTGTGTGTGTGTGTGTGTGACACATACTGAGTTTACAGTATTAAAACATGTTTAGTTCATACATTTATTTTATTGTTGCTTGAGGTTAGATTGACCAATGTACAGTTTACTGTGGAGTGATCTTAATACCAAATGTTTCTTTATCAAATCCATGTTCTTAGTCATTGCTCATTAGTTTCTCTGACATGGTCCCGATGAGTCTGACATGGTCCCGATGAGTCTGACATGGTCCCGATGAGTCTGACATGGTCCCGATGAGTCTGACATGGTCCCGATGAGTCTGACATGGTCCCGATGAGTCTGACATGGTCCCGATGAGTCTGACATGGTCCCGATGAGTCTGACATGGTCCCGATGAGTCTGACATGGTCCCGATGAGTCTGACATGGTCCCGATGAGTCTGACATGGTCCCGATGAGTCTGACATGGTCCCGATGAGTCTGACATGGTCCCGATGAGTCTGACATGGTCCCGATGAGTCTGACATGGTCCCGATGAGTCTGACATGGTCCCGATGAGTCTGACATGGTCCCGATGAGTCTGACATGAGAGTCTGACATGGTCCTGATGAGTCTGACATGGTCCCGATGAGTCTGACATGGTCCCGATGAGTCTGACATGGTCCCGATGAGTCTGACATGGTCCCGATGAGTCTGACATGGTCCCGATGAGTCTGACATTGTCCCGATGAGTCTGACATGGTCCCGATGAGTCTGACATGGTCCCGATGAGTCTGACATGGTCCCGATGAGTCTGACATGGTCCCGATGAGTCTGACATGGTCCCGATGAGTCTGACATGGTCCCGATGAGTCTGACATGGTCCCGATGAGTCTGACATGGTCCCGATGAGTCTGACATGGTCCCGATGAGTCTGACATGGTCCCGATGAGTCTGACATGGTCCCGATGAGTCTGACATGGTCCCGATGAGTCTGACATGGTCCCGATGAGTCTGACATGGTCCCGATGAGTCTGACATGGTCCCGATGAGTCTGACATGGTCCCGATGAGTCTGACATGGTCCCGATGAGTCTGACATGGTCCCGATGAGTCTGACATGGTCCCGATGAGTCTGACATGGTCCCGATGAGTCTGACATGGTCCCGATGAGAGTCTGACATGGTCCCGATGAGAGTCTGACATGGTCCCGATGAGAGTCTGACATGGTCCCGATGAGAGTCTGACATGGTCCCGATGAGTCTGACATGGTCCCGATGAGTCTGACATGGTCCCGATGAGAGTCTGACATGGTCCCGATGAGAGTCTGACATGGTCCCGATGAGAGTCTGACATGGTCCCGATGAGAGTCTGACATGGTCCCGATGAGAGTCTGACATGGTCCCGATGAGAGTCTGACATGGTCCCGATGAGAGTCTGACATGGTCCCGATGAGAGTCTGACATGGTCCCGATGAGAGTCTGACATGGTCCCGATGAGAGTCTGACATGGTCCCGATGAGAGTCTGACATGGTCCCGATGAGAGTCTGACATGGTCCCGATGAGAGTCTGACATGGTCCCGATGAGAGTCTGACATGGTCCCGATGAGAGTCTGACATGGTCCCGATGAGAGTCTGACATGGTCCCGATGAGAGTCTGACATGGTCCCGATGAGAGTCTGACTGTCCCGATGAGTGTCTACATGGTGCTGATGTGTGTTGCAGTTGGAGCAGAAGGGGACGGAGGTGGCCGGGCTGTTGGAGCAGAGGGAGCAGCTGGTCGCTCACCTGCAGCAGTACTCGGCCGGGTACCAGACTCTGGCCTCAGAGCGAGAGCAGATCCATCATCAGTACCAGCAGCAGACCCAGACCATGGAGCGGCTGCAGCACGACGAGAGCCAGGGCCGAGTGCAGCTGGAGCTCAGCCACAGCCACCTCCGAGCAGCACAGGTCTCTTCAGCATCAACATGTTTTACAGTGATTAATACAGTAGAGAAAGTATTGCAATATTTAATTAATAATGATCTATTTCACTTTGGTGTTTTCTGAGTTTACTTTTTATATCTGCGGTTTGTTACTCTCACCTTCATGTGAGAGTTTGTACTACCCTCCTCTTCAGTCCTATTTTCCTCAATGTTTGTAATATCGAGCGACATGAATCTCAATATATCGCAGAATCGAATCACAATACTCACTATACTCACTCGCAATATGTTAAGAATCGCAATATGTGCACTTGTATATTGTAAATAGTAACTGTAACTCTATTTTAAATTTAAATTTATTCTTTAGAAGTGTTTTTTATTCTTTATTTTTATTATCTCATTCTGACTGTTGCACTGAGCCAAAGCAATTTCCAAGTCTGTGACTTCCTGTTACTTACGTGGCAATAAAAATGATTCTGATGTTAAGAATCATGATATGTTAAGAATCACAATATGTTAAGAATCGCGATACAAACCGTCCGTCTCCCTCCCAGCCCAGTCTGTATTGTGCATGTCTGTGGAGCTCTCTCCCCTGGACTAACCCAGTCCTTCCCGCTGCAGAGCCACTTGGAGCAGTTGGTGAGAGACAATGAACTGTTAAAAGCGGAGGTGACGGAGCTGCTCAATGGTTCAGCGCAGACCACTCCGCCCAGAGTCCAAGGTGATTATTAAGTTTACTGAGCACACACAGATGTGCAGCTGAATGGATCTAATGCATTGGTGTTTGGACTCCATAGAAATGTGTTGTTTTTGTCGCAGGTGACGGAGTCGAGAGTCAGGACCCAGGAGAAGGTCACGCTCTGTCCTCGTCACTGGTTATCCCAGAGGATTTTGCAACACAGAAGGAAATGGTAATTTATCTATTGCCCTGTTTCCACCAGCCCTACTCTACTCTGCTCTACTTGACTCTACTCTGCTCTACTTGACTCTACTCTGCTCTACTTGACTCTGCTCTGTTCAGAGTTTCCACCAGTCCTGTGTAACCAGTACCAGGTCCTTCTTTAGTCCCTCTTGTCCTGGTTCTATCCAGGCCGAGCTGGTTCTAAAGGTTTCCAACTGACGGTGATTGGCCAGAGTGCTGCTAGAAGACATGGTTACCCAGGAATTTCCCTAGATACAGGTGGGTCGGTCGTCAGGATACGGTACCAGACAGTAAAGCGTAACATAAACACAACCAGGTGGAGCAGAGCTGGGTGGAGGAGGACCAGGTGGAGCTGGATTTAACTATAGTCACGGATTATGGTTCTGGTGAGACCCTGTGGTTGGTTCCTTGGTGCAGGAGGACTTCATCCGAGGAGCTGTGGAGGCCGAGCGTGACGAGGCCAGGAGGCGTCTGGAGGAGGAGCACCGGCTGCACATGGCTGCACGGCATCAGAGCCTCCAGCAGCTCGCTCAGACCTCAGACGGGACCTCAGACCAGACCTCAGACCCACACAAGGACCACCAAGACTCAGGTACCAGCAGGAGATCTGGACTGAACTAGGACCAGACTAAACCATTTTAGGACTACTTTAGTTTTTGGGTTTTGGAGTCCACCTGTTAGCTTCCATTTACAGAATATTACTGATGGAGAGACCAGAGAGGGAGAGACCAGAGAGGGAGAGACCAGAGAGGGAGAGACTAGAGAGGGAGAGACTAGAGAGGGAGAGACCAGAGAGGGAGAGACCAGAGAGGGAGAGACCAGAGAGGGAGAGACCAGAGAGGGAGAGACCAGAGAGGGAGAGACCAGAGAGGGAGAGACCAGAGAGGGAGAGACCAGAGAGGGAGAGACCAGAGAGGGAGAGACCAGAGAGGGAGAGACCAGAGAGGGAGAGACCAGAGAGGGAGAGACCAGAGAGGGAGAGACCAGAGAGGGAGAGACCAGAGAAGGAGAGACCAGAGAGAAACGTTGTGATGTCTCTGGTGCAGAGCGGGGCGTGCCGGTGGAGGTGCATCAGGCGCTTCAGGCTGCGATGGACAAACTCCAGCAGAGGTTCACATCCCTGATGCAGGAGAAGGCTGATCTGAAGGAGCGGGTGGAGGAGCTGGAGCACAGGTGCATCCAACTGTCCGGAGAGACGGACACCATCGGTGAGTAGTCCGTCACAATAACACATGTTGGACCATGTTTTCACTCAGGAAACTATTGCAGTAAATTTCATAAACCAGGGATTAAAGAGTTCTGTCTAGGTGACGGATTTCCGTCAAATGAAGTTGGTGCACTATCAAGGTTGACCATTTCAAATTCACATGCGTCATACTTCTGCACACATGGCATGGCCCAACGATATAAAGAACTAGCCACCAAGTTGATAGAGAATCCTTTTTCTTTAAACATTGACGAATCCAAAAACAAAAATGTGGACAGAATTTTGAATGTCCTTTTAGTGATATTCTGACGAGGACAGCGCCAAAGTGTTGACGCTCCATCTTGCCTCACGTAAAGCCAATGTTGCGGATGCAACTACTCTCACTAATATTCTTGTTGTAATTTCACACCAAAATACACCAGTTTAAATGTATATATGAAGAATTCATTATTCTGTCATACATTTTACAATAATATATTGTAATTAAAATTATAACTTCGTCCTGCATATGACTGTGATTTACAATATGTGATAAATTTCCATGAGAACATTTTCAGTCAAATCTTTTTTTTTTGCTTTAACCCCTGACATAAACTAATAGTTACATAGAAAATGGCAACGATCTCCACAAATGTACAGGAGATAAATATTGTCGTCGTCTGCTCAAATAGTAATTCACTTCATTATTCTGCTGGATACTGGTAATTATCCATCTTTCATCTACTTGTGCAGCCTATCCAACTACACACATGTGCCCTAGAGCTACACATGAGCCCCATTTCCACCAGCGCATCTTGGTCCTACTCTACTCAGCTCTTTTTAGTCCCTCTTGGTCCTGGTTCAATCCAGGCCGAGCTGGTACTAAAGCTTTCCCACTGATAGTGATTGCTCAGAGTGCAGCTAGAAGCCATGGTCACCCAGTAATTTCCACAGATCCTGGTTTGTTGGGAGTAGGTTAAATCTTCCCTCAGGAGTCAAGCAAGTTCATGAGCGTGTGACATCACTCGTCTACGGCCTTCCTCGCTCAAACAGGCTGCATTACTCGCTCTCCACATACCGTGTGTGTGTTTAGGAGAATACATAGCTCTGTATCAAAGTCAGCGCGCCATCATGAAGCAGAAACACCAGGAGAAGGAGCAGTACATCAGCATGCTGGCCCAGGACAAGGAGGAGATGAAGGTAAGGTGTGCGTCTGTGTGTGTGTGTGTGTGTGTGTGTGTGTGCGCGCGCGTGTGTGTGTGTGTGTCTGTGTGTATATATGGCATACGGCTCTGTTCTGTTTGACTTGGTCCTCTCTGGCTTCCTGTTCCACACTGAGACCTGTAGGAGGAGAAGGACCTTGTATTGGATGCACTCACCTTCACTTTAAGTCACTGTATATGACTGAAAAAACCATCATGATGTGACATGTACATTTCTCCTTTATATATCTTATCTTACCTCTTCCATCACCTCAGACCTCCTCACTCCCTCAAACCCAGACCTCCTCACTCCGCCAGACCCAGACCTCCTCACTCCCTCAGACCCAGACCTCCTCACTCCCTCAGACCCAGACCTCCTCACTCCCTCAGACCCAGACCCAGACCTCCTCACTCCCTCAGACCCAGACCCAGACCTCCTCACTCCCACAGACCCAGACCCAGACCTCCTCACTCCCTCAGACCCAGACCCAGACCTCCTCACTCCCTCAGACCCAGACCTCCTCACTCCCTCAGACCCAGACCCAGACCTCCTCACTCCCTCAGACCCAGACTTAGACCTCCTCACTCCCTCAGACCCAGACTTAGACCTCCTCACTCCCTCAGACCCAGACCCAGACCTCCTCACTCCCTCAGACCCAGACCTCACTCCCTCAAGACTAAACACCAAACCTTGGGGGACTGAGCCCTCGCCTTCGCTGCCCTCTCTCTCTGGAACTTACTCCTCAACCATCAGAAACTCCGACTCACTGCAGAACTTAAAATCACTTTTTAAGATCAACCTTTTCAGCCTTTCCTTTATTTTGTTCTTCAATCTGTTTTGTAAAGTATGGAAGCCCGTTTTCCGCCATGTAAAAAAAAAAAAACAAAAAAAAAAAGCCTACAGAAAGTCAAAATTTTGACTTTAAAACTCATGGAACGTTGTCTGGAACGGTCTCTGGTCATTCCTGTCATAGATCCATGACCATGGGTCATCCCTGTCATAGATCCATGACCATGGGTCATCCCTGTTACAGATCCATGACCATGTGTCATCCCTGTTATAGATCCATGACCATGGGTCATCCCTGTTATAGATCCATGACCATGGGTCATCCTCTACCTGCAGATTATGTGAAGATATTTCCTACAGACAGTGACCACATCCATGAAGTAGCAGCAATAATGTTGTGGTAGTAATCGCGTTAAAATGCAAACGGTCTCTCCGTTTATGATGGAACGGACTGTGGAAGATTAATAATAAAACACATGCAGCTGTTCAAAGTCATTGAGCATCAACTGGTGACGTCTGGTCAGTATCACGGCTATCAATGGATGCACCAGAAATGCACTGAATATTATTGTGACTGACAGAGACCGTTCGCGATCACTGGACAGTGAGAGAGGTCCACAGACAGAGGCAGGAGAACCACAGACAGAGGCAGGAGAACCACAGTCAGAGGCAGGAGAACCACAGTCAGAGGCAGGAGAACCACAGTCAGAGGCAGGAGAACCACAGTCAGAGGCAGGAGAACCACAGACAGAGGCAGGAGAACCACAGACAGAGGCAGGAGAACCACAGACAGAGGCACTGACAATATTACCCTTTTGGAATTGCGATCAGTGCATTGAAGAGTATGTGACGTGTTTGCGTGCACGCGGAAGTGAGCTGATGGAGCGTGTGGTAAAGTTGTTGGCGTATGAGCAAGAACACAGAGACATACAGGGAATAAGTGCCTTGTCTGATTATTTTATTGTGACAAAATAAAGCCCACGACTCTTTTAGCAACAATCCGGAGAAATAACTCTGCAGATAACAGTGAGGGTCTTTGAAAAGGGACTTAAACCCATTATAGATGCATGAATAAAACCCCGTACTTAACACGTAGAAAGCTCATCCTTTCAGCCGTGGACAGACTCGCTCCGTGTGGACCCCTCTCAGCGTCATTGTCTGGTCAGAGTGGGGTATAGCAGATTGGATTGGAATGTCTCGATGGCTCATTTTCCTTTGATTTATTATAAAAACATATTGCTCACATTATTTGTTACTATGTCGAAATAAGAAGTCGTTTGATTTAAATGTTGTATAAATGTAAATTGAATTTAACATAAATAAATAAAAAGACAGCTCCCCCCTGCGTCCTACGACCGCGGTCTGGGGCTTAAACAGGAAAGTTTTACAGAATCAATCAAACAACATTATTTCTGGCTACTTCATGGATGCAGTGGTCACTGTAGGCAATATCTTGTCATAATCTGCAGGTGAAGGATGTCCAGAGACCGTTCCAGACAACAACACTTACGAGTTTTCAACTGCACATGCGCAGTTGAAAACTCGTAATTTTGACTTTTAAAGTCGTAACTTTGACTTTTAAAGTCATAACTTTGACTTTTAAAAGTCGTAATTTTGAGTTTTAAACTCAAAATTTTGACTTTCTGTATGCTTTTTATTTATTTTTTTACATGGCGGAAACGGGCTTCCATAGTAAAGCGTCTTTGAGCGTCCATAATAGTGCTATATAAGTTTGTAGTATTATTATTATTATTATTATTATTGTCCTCCTTGCTCAGGCGAAGCTTGCGGAGCTACAGGATCTGGTCATGAGACTTGTAGCTGAGAGAAACGAGTGGTATAGCCGCTTCACCAGTGCAGCTGCCACGACCAGGAACCCCGACCTCCTCCCACTCGGACCAGACCTGTTCCACCCAGGAGACCATTCGCACACGGAGACAGACGCCGCCGCTGGAGAAGGTACACACCCCCGACTAAAGTCTCTCTCTGGTCTCTCTCTGGTCTCTCTCTGGTCTCTCTCTGGTCTCTCTCTGGTCTCTCTCTGGTCTCTCTCTGGTCTCTCTCTGGTCTCTCTCTGGTCTCTCTCTGGTCTCTCTCTGGTCTCTCTCTGGTCTTTCACTGGTCTCTCTCTGGTCTTTCACTGGTCTCTCTCTGGTCTTTCACTGGTCTCTCTCTGGTCTTTCACTGGTCTCTCTCTGGTCTCAGTTTGGGCTCGCTCTGGGCTCAGTTTGGTCTCGCTCTGGTCTCTCTCTGGTAGGGCTGGGCGATATGGCAAAAAAAAAAAATCTCCGATTTGTTCACACCAAATCCGATTTTTGATTTTAATCGATTTATTTTTTTCTATTTAAAAACAAACTACAACTGACAAAGAAATAGATTTTCCTTGATGCAGTTTAATCTAAATCCCCATGGAGCATACGTGTAACAAGAATTAAGCCTTAAAACATGCTTGTAAACGAGATGGCTCTGCCATTGTAAACAGTGAAAATGTAGCTTGACAGTTTTATAATAACTTCACTTACAATGACACTATGCACCTTCAAAATAACTTAAATCACACAAACAAGGCCCATCGCAAATATATCAATCCTATTAAACACATGCATTATTTACATGAAATATCACATTTTTAAAACTGATTACTCAAAATAGAAATGTTGTAACAGACAGTCTTTTCCAAAAACCTCCTCGGGTTTTCATGCTTGTTCTTTCAACTGTGCCTGAGTAACTGTGCTGTAGTACAACGCTCGGTCCAGCTGGTGGCGCTAATACTAACTTCAGTGACTCCCGCATTGTGCGAGCTTCCTGTTTACATTCTGATGCTGTAGCTAGCAGCTACTGTAGCTAGCAGCTACTGTAGCTAACAGACAGCGGGGAACACGTTGTTTGTATCAGAGCAATGAGAGCAATGTGTGAGACGTGTCTTTCCCCAAAGTGCAGCGGCTCAGTGGGACACAAGTGTGTGCGCGCCACGGACACGGGAGTGCGCTTTGGAATAACGAGCGTGACAGAGCGTGAAAAATGTGGCGTACGAACATAGCGTAAGAACATAGCGACCGGGGCCTGCGTGCGTGTGTGTGTGTGTTTTGGCGATTAAATGAAGTCTGATTCTTGAACGTTTGAAGTGTTATTGCAACAGCACCAACTGTGAGAGCGAGCATCAGGCCAGAGGGAGACTGTTAGCATTAGGTTAGCTTCAAAATGACTGCTCAACACCATAGACCCGCGGTTTGCGCGTTAGCGCTGTAGTTCTGCGCTGGAGAAAATAAAAATCGAATTTTTAAAAAAAGAAATCGCCCTAAACGTAAAACTCGAATTAATGATTAAAATCGATTAATCGCCCAGCCCTACTCTCTGGTCTCTCTCTGGTCTTAGTTTGGTCTCTCTCTGGTCTCAGTTTGGTCTCTCTCTGGTCTCTCTCTCTGGTCTCTCTCTGGTCTTAGTTTGGTCTCTCTCTGGTCTCTCACTGGTCTCTCTCTGGTCTCTCTCTGGTCTCTCTCTGGTCTCTCTCTGGTCTCAGTTTGGTCTCTCTCTGGTCTCTCTCTGGTCTCTCTCGGGTCTCTCTCTGGTCCCTCTCTCTCTCTATATATCTATGTCAGATATAGATATGTTTATAATCTGATTTTGCAGAAGCCATGGAGGTCGTTCCTCTCTCAGACTCCGCCTCCTCTCTGGACTCGCCATCGCCACAGACTCTCGCCGCTCGGCCTCAGACCGAACCGTCGCCGCCCGCAGAGGACGGCACGGCGCGGCAGATCATACAGCTGCTCAAGGAGATCCAGAACCCACAGGGAGCTCCGCGGGCGCCGCCGTTCCTGGGCGAGAATCCCTGCATCCCGTTCTTCTACAGACCCGACGACCAGGACGAGGTGAAGATCCTGGTCATCTGAGTCCTCGGACCAGGACGAGGTAAACGGCAGCCTCGTCCTGTGAGATCGTTACGTTCATCGACTCGATTCTTGTGCAGCATTTCTGACTTAAGTGCAATAAAGAGCCTTCAGTGAAAACCATCTCTGTCCAGAAGCAAGAGCAGGTTTTTGAATGTATTGGACCGTTCTGTGTTTGGTAGAACGGTGATGGCGCCGATGAGAGCAGGCAGAGCGCGGTGTATTTATTTAAGGTGGAGTGAAGCGGACGATCATGTCATGTGCTACTTACACAGAAGAGCTTTATTTTAGATGGAACACTACAGATCAGGGTTTTAACTGGGTCCTCAAAGGGGGCGGAGTTACGGGTTTTCATTCAGACCAAGCAGGAGCAAACCAGACTCCATTTCCTCAAGAGAGTTCAGCCTTAACCTGGAGACTTGAGTGGAGTCTGGTCTCTCTCTCTCTCTCTCGTCTCTCTGGTCTCTCTCTCTCTCTCTCTCGTCTCTCTGGTCTCTCTCTCTCTCGTCTCTCTCTCTCTCGTCTTTCTGGTCTCTCTCTCTCTTGTGTCTCTGGTCTTTCTATGCTCTTTCTGCGTCTGGTCCTGGCTCCTGCTCGGTTGAAAGGCAAACCTCCTGATACAGACTAAAGCTGTTGAAGCAAGAACCAGAAAGACAAAGAGAAAGTGAAAGACGTTTATTTCACCATCGTACATTTGTGTTTGTTTCCGACCGTTCCCGTCTTCGCCGCAGCCGCACATTCACCACGATATGTCCCTTCTGTTACATAACAATCAACCATAAACCGTAACCATATCCCATATCGCTGCATTGTGTGTGTGCATTCCTTAAAAACCATTCGTCTCTTTGGCCGGTGCTGCGTCCGGAGAGAGCAGCGCACAGATATCACAGATATTACAGATATTATTGCACTAAAATGTACAAAGCCTCATGGTTTTATGGAGAAAGAATCTTGTGAAGCCGGAGCCGTGAACGCTCTCGTGCTGAGGGTTCGTGGTCAGACCCAGATGTATTTAAACTGAATATTGTAAATAAATAATTATGGTTAAGGCGCCTTTTTTAGTGTTGGACCAACCACAACCGCCAGGAAGAGTGTGGTGTCGAGCTCATATTGGGCCGAGTGTGTAGGAACAGAACATTTAACATCTGCCTGGTACTTTCTAAAACCAACTCTGGGTTTGTTCATCACAGGAACAATCTTATGTTTCACTGTCGAGATCGTAGACGTTTGTCTTGAACATAGATACGGGACCTGCTGGACTTTGAGCTGCTACTAAAGTAGTTCTGTGAAGTCCTGGGTACAGCTACGCGACCAATGGTTTTTATTATAGAGCGCCCTCTTGTGTGCAGGGAGTGATTTGGTCTCTCTCTGGTTTCTCCCTGGTCTCTCTCTCTGGTCTCTCTCTGGTCTCTCTCTCTCCCTGGTCTCTCTCTGGTCTCTCCCTGGTCTCTCTCTCTGGTCTCTCTCTCCCTGGTCTCTCTCTCTCTGGTCTCTCCCTGGTCTCTCTCTCTGGTCTCTCTCTCTCTGGTCTCTCTCTCTGGTCTCTCTCTCTCTGGTCTCTCTCTCTGGTCTCTGGTCTCTCTCCCTGGTCTCTCTCTCTTGTCTCTCTCTGGTCTCTCTCTCTGGTCTCTCTCTCTGGTCTCTTTTTTAAAAAGTAAATCATGATATGAGATTGACCAATCAGATGCCTTCATTGAGGGAAACTCCGGCTTGCCTTAGCAACCACGTTAACACCCCGTTACGAAGCGTCATAACAAACGCCCATATAAGGACAGTGGCTCCGGCTCATGTGGTGATGTCACACGGCGCCACAGGCTCCATGGTCCAGCAGGTTCTGTAGGTTCAGGAGAAGCCGCTTACATCGACATCGGAGAATACCTGTGGATTTAAAAACTTGCACGATTTAATTCAAAACAGTGTAAAATGATCTTGTATAAAAATAGTGATAAACTCGCTGTAAAGTTGATATTGTTTTCGCACTTTGGCTCCAAACAAGATTTCTGAAATGATTTCTTTCTTCTGTCACTTTTGATATGATTTGTGGGCGTTGGAGGCGGGACTTAAGGATATTTACTGTAGATAAACGAACACTAGTGTATGTTTGTAACAGAGTATATTACTGCGCTGGGGTTATTCATGTAATCATCCTCAAAGAGACATTATTTATTTCTTTTTCTTGAGACTAATCTGTCGGAAATGACTGTGGGTGAAATGAAGGAGTAAAGAGTACGTTAATGTTTTCTTTTCCTGAATAAACTGATTGAGCAACTGCAGTGTTTCCTCTTTGTTTGTCCGCACACTGTGGGAAATGTCAGTGTTGCAGCGCACATACAGAGATCAGTCACTGTAAAGGCACAGTATGAATGGTTCATGTAGATTAAGTCATATTCTGAATTTGCAGAATTTACAATTTATTACAATAATCTTTAGTTTTTTTGGACATAAGTAGGGCTGGGATAATTTTTTTAACGATTAATCTGAAAATTATTTTTTGGATGCATCTATTAATCTAACAATTATTTTTTTCAGTTCGATTTGATTACCGATTATCTACCCATTAATTGACTAATAGCAATGTACACATTGGGTGTTGTGTGTTGATTTATATATCTGAAATAACATGAATTCCTTAACAAAATATAATTATTGCTCTAAAAATTCAAAAATAAGACATTCTTAGAGGTAGCATTAAAACCTTGAAGCCTTAAACACATCTAGATTACTGAAAAAAGTGAAATGAAAATAACACTTGATGTTTAGCATTCAATAGAATTCAATAAAAAAGTTCACCCAAAATACTTTAGAGCAAATGAAAGAATACAGTAACCAATGTAAACTTGAGGGCTTTAAAGAGCGACTAAACACCAAATCAACTTTTTTTTAACTCATAAACTGCATAAGTATGTTTATTGTAGTGCTGTCTACATATCCTGGTAATTTTTTTGACATTTTAGTTCAAATTAGATATATCACTTTTGAGCCAAAAAAACGCTGTGTGGCGCCCTCTCCACCTTTTTGGTGGTACTACATTTGAATTTGGTTCTGGCCTCTCCATTGACTCTGTTCTCTATGACATCAGTTGTTTTGTGTGACGTCAGTCTGTCAGAGCCAGTGATGTGAACCCATTCAACTCACACACGCCCCAGCTGCAGTTTGGAGTATTCTGGCGCCATCTATTAAAATTAAATTACATGAGTCATTCTGAGATTATTGCGTGTGATTAGGTTCAGGTGTGTAGCTTTACAATTATCTTAGTGTATCAACAAGGGTGGAATGAGACTTTCTGGTCTGTAAACTATTGCTTTAAGCAGCAATGACAACTGTCTGCTTTTTTTTTGTGTGACAAGTGAGCTGTCAATCACAGCCCAGGCCTGGCCCGGACTGGCCATCGGGAGATCTCCCGGTGGCCTGCGTGTCAAAGTGGCCTGGGCCCAGGGCTGGACTGGCCATCGGGCGTACCGGGCAATGTCCGAAGGGCCGATGCCCATATTTGGGCCGGTCTGTCTGCCTCATACAAAAAACATGTTTGTGAAAAGTGTACATCCGTTGAGAAATGTTTGAGGGGAGCGCGGGTGTCCGCGGGGCACCTGCTGTATGTACTTGAACGGGATTCCACCACCTCAGCGGCCGCAGTGTTCCCGCATTCAGCAACTCTGAGCTGGACGCAGGAACCGCTCAGCGGGAACCGCTCACAACACAACACGGGGAGCGCGTAGCCGCAATGTGCCCATGTACCCAAGACCATAAACGCGCACAGGACCATGCATGTCTTTTTGTAATTTGTGCACCCAATAAATACACCGCTGCAGAAAACAGTCCGCGTCTCCCCTCTCCTCTAAATTAAAGCTCTAACCCTAACCCTAACCCACACTGCCATAAAATCAATGCCCAACAACAAAACTCCTGGCCCGGACGGCTTCCCTGCTGAGTTCTATAAACAATTTTGGACTATTCTTTCCCCATTATTCCTTAGACTCATCGCTGAAATAAAAGAAAAATCACAACTACCCACTCACATGAATAATGCTACAATATCACTTATCCCAAAACCTAACAAGGACCTCAACCAACCATCAAACTACCGTCCCATCTCCCTTATCAATGTAGACCTGAAAATCATCACAAAAGTACTATCCCATAGAATTGAAAAGGTAATTCCCACCATCATTCACCCTGACCAAACAGGATTTATCAAAAATAGACACTCATCCAATAACACTCGCAGACTTTTCAACTTAATGCAATACTCAAACACACAAAAAACCCCAACCACAATAATCTCCCTGGATGCGGAAAAAGCATTTGACAGAGTAAACTGGTCTTTTCTAATATCAACATTACAAACATTTGGCTTTGGGGAGTCATTTATAAACTGGATACAAATTCTACACACCTCAGCCACAGCTACAGTAACAACAAATGGAATAATCTCACAACCATTCACTCTCCACAGAGGAACCAGGCAAGGATGTCCACTCTCTCCAGCACTTTTCACAATATTTATTGAACCACTAGCAGCAGCAATCCGCCAAAGCCCAAAAATCACCGGAATTCAGACACCCACTGGACACCATAAAATCAGCCTTTATGCCGATGATATATTATTATACCTGCAACACCCATACACATCCCTAACAGAAACAATCAAACTTATACAACAATTCTCAAATATCTCAGACTATTCAATCAACCTTCACAAATCAACCATACTCCCTGTACAACATGACAGCTGGGATGCAGTGGTCCATCCCCCTCCCATTCCCATATCTAAACATATTACCTACCTTGGCATTAGGATCTCCCCCAGGCTGTCAGAGCTGTTTCATCTAAACTACACTCCACTCCTCAAATCAATCACAGACAACCTTCAACGCTGGATGAATCTACCCCTATCCCTCATTGGTCGAATAGCAACTATCAAAATGTCAATTCTCCCCAAAATAAATTATCTTCTCTCCATGATCCCAATCACCCCAACATCATCCTGGTTCCAATCCCTTAAC